ACTTTGAAGCCCGGTTGGAGTTCAAGGGCCCATGTTCCTTGGGTGATGTTTGCCCACGGAAGTTTAGCTTGGTGTGCAGCGGTTAGAGGCACAGAGTTGCTCCAAGTCTTCTTTAAGTGACCAAAATGTTTGAGGGTGGAACTCAGTACCTTCCGGGTCATGTCCCTGTGCAGACCCCTTGCAAAGAGCCCTCCAATGGAAAACCCTGAAACATAAGACCCCCCCCCCCTTGGCCTCCGACCCATTTTTGAGAACCCCAGAAACGGTCTAATCGGGCGGGTGTCAACGGGTGTCAACGGTTGCCTGCTATTCCCCCCTAACTGGCATTTTCGACATGGTTATGGAGGCACTCGGGCTACACAACAGAGCCACCTGAAGTGACAAAGTAGTCACAGGCGTGGCTGATTTCAATATATGTCAGAAAGGTAGCGTAAAGGCAAACAAAAATAGAATGGGGTCCTAGAATACTTAGAAACTACACATTTAGTCGTAATTTCAGGAGTAAAACATTAGTATCTGTAGCCCCTTATGTTATACTTCCCGGATCGGGGAGCAACCTGGACCTTCAGTGAGATCAGCTCCCTTATGACGCACTTGAGCCACAATCAAAACCCGGGTGGATAAAGATGAGCAAGGGATAATCCCAACCATAAATCAGTGCAGCCGCATGTTTTAACTCTTTACATGATTCTGGGTAAACCATTTTAATACCAGGCTTTGATTACGACTCTCTTAGACTGACAGGTGCAAGTGCCAACCTGACAAGGGGTTCAGGCACTGGTGGGGCGACAACCCCTACGTAGTGAGTCGCAGGTCACGACGCACACCAGCTATGACTCTCTTAGACAAACTCGCAGATGGACAAAATCCTGTACCAGTTGGTGGGTTTTCCACCCCATGTTTGCGGGGCTTCATCCATCCTAGCTGGTGCAGGATCTGGTCCATCCGCAGTATTGCAATCAGGATTGCTTGCCATGACAAGGTAGCCAATTGCCTCGTTTTTCGGTGGCTTCATCACTGGGATCCGATGTCCAAAGCGATTCAGCATTGGTTTATTGAAGGTCCGGAAGGTTTTCAGGGAACCCTTTGGCTCATGACACAAGACCATGCTAGAGCAAGCACCATTTCCTGGAAAGCGGTTTATGCGGAGGTTAAATGTTATGGTTGAATTGGGTGGGGCAAGTTTCTATGATTTAAGGGAATCACACCAAATGATCGCGAATCAAATACGTGGGTGCGTCTTTGGAGGGTACTACATGGTTGTTGTTGGGAAACATTTTACATTTTTGCTTATTGTGGTTTAGTGGTTGAAATCCAACCACTGAACTGCTAAAAATTGATCAATTGTTGCTCCCCTTCCAACATCAACCAAGACTAGGGTACTGTATTTTTTCGTGGTCTCTTCTATTTACTTAAGAATATTGTTTGGTTTCCCCTGCTCATTTTAAACATTTCTATTTTTCCCAGGGGGCGAAAACGCATATGGAGGGGTTGAAAGGGAAGCCAGCAGGACACCGCCATTCTTTCTTTTAAGAGGGGTGCTCCAAAAAAGGATGCTCGCCCAGGTCGCGAACAACTCAGTGCCAAGCTGGAGCGCTTTCTTCGCGCCGACTCCTTGGATCCCTCGTTGTGGATGTGTGAGGGGAGGGAGGAAATTGGGGGCGTCTGGGGGCTGTGTTGTGTTGAGGGTATCCTTTTTAATCCTTTTGTAGGGGTTGCCTTAGAGGGAGGTCAAGAGCGAAACCACATGAATGTGGATTAGGCGCCGCACTGTGAGAAGCTTTCCTCGCAGGGATCCGCTAGAGAACCCCGGTAATGGGCCCTAAAGCCTCAAAAGGGATCCGGATTATCTGGGCTATCTGGTTGTTCAAAACAAATCCTTACTAGATGGTAGTGGTTTCCCCTATGGTCTCTCACTATGGGTTGCTGAAGAGGGATCCGACTCGCAGCCACCCAGATGTCAGTCTGAGAACCTTTCCGGAGACTCTACTCGGCTCGCTCGTTTTCGATCGATCCATTCCAATCGATTCAGGACTCGTCGCATTTGGTGCAAAGCATGGCTTCGAGTCGTCAATCGAGGCGGCCGTGGGTCAACACCAATGGTACCATTTTGGCGTAGGTGCACCACCCATTTTAGTCCAATATGGTGGGGATTCGGAAGTTCACTGGGGGCGCGGGGTTTTGACCCCTAGCCAGGTGACCTGTGATTTCGTGGCTTTGGGTGTTTCTCGTGGCCCCCAAAGAGGCGGTTACACCGACTTCTTCAGGCGTGAGCTGATTACTGGGGGTCCTGCCCCACGGCTCCTTCGAACCCACGGCTCCTTGCTTTGTGTCGCCTGGAACCCGAGGATTGACGCCCGGACCCCTCCGGAGCAGGCGCGATCAAACGAAACGCCGCGGTGTACCAGGAAACTGCGCTCCGAAGGCCAAGTCGTCATGTGCCCAGGCACAATGATGGCTACTTTTGTTAGAATGCTCCAAGGGCCAGGTCCAGGTGTCAGTGGGAATGAGTTGAAAAAGGAAGGCCCAACACCATGTATATTGATGCCCCCCCCCCCAGCAAGCGACCTGATGTTTTCTGTCGTCTAGGCCTGGAGTTTTTGACCCATTTTGCTTTGGAGTCACTCAGGTGTCAGGTTCCGTTGGTCTCTGAAGCTGATCTTCCAGGTACCCTAAAGCCGTCTGCAAGTGGGAGGAAAGGTAGCTTTGATTCATTCGGGTGAAAATGTGTGTTTGCGCTGGGGCCAGCTGTTTCGTGAGGAGTCAGCTTCAATCAGGGTCTGTGCGGTTCCTGGGTAGACCGACACCCATTGTCCCCCATGGCAGGGTCAAATTCGACTGCCTATGTTGCTGTGGGCCCTTGGAACAAGAAAGGATGGGACCAATTAGCCTATACCAAAAGCCCAAGGCTTTGTTGGGGAGTCCTATCCCAAGCCTCCGGTCGGCCGATTTGTTCATCACTCAGGTGATCAACCCTTATTTGAACTACGAACGGGGGGTCCCCTTTGTGGTTGCCGTGGGAGGGTCGTGGCGGTTTCCCGGCCCAGTTACAAGTGAGACAACCGGGCTAGTTGCAATGATTATGACCTACCTGACATGGGGTTCCACGCCCAGAAGTTGGTAGGTTTTAGTAAGGAACACCAAAGGGAAAACAACCAAGTCTTGAGTTTGGAGGGTCCCATAAAAATGACGCAGCCATGCAGCCAGCTGAGTTTTTGGCGAGCTGCGCCCATGTTTGGCAAGGCCTTCCTGGCGAAAACTTCCGCTGGGCGGCTCTCTGAGGGAGCACATTGTTATCATCAGAGCAGATCTCTCGCACGGCACGGCCCTTCGACCTTTCAGAACAATCCGGAAGCCACCATGGTTTTTCCTCCCCCCCCGGTTTTCAGAAGCACCTCAAGCAGCTTTTTTTTGCGAAATACTCGCTGACACGAAGTGATGCCCTCCCCTCAGGGGTCTTGGGTTGGGAAAACCAGTTGAAGCCAACGGGGAGTCGGGTGATTTGTATGGCAAAGGACACAACACACTCCTCTTGCTGATCGGCCTCCGACATTTTTCGGCAGTTCCCCCCTTGCCGAGCCATTCAACTGGTGGGTTTTGTGGATCCTCTCTTGCTGGTGCTCAGTAGGGAAAGGGAATGAACCCAGGGCTCCCCTTAAAGGAAACCACCAGTTGGATGGTCTTTCTCGGGGTCATTCCATGGCTCCTTCCCTGCATCCCTCGCGTTAGCCAAGTGTTGTTTTTTGTTTTTTCAAAAGGACCAAGTCGAACTTCCCTGAGAAGCAAGATAGCCACCCGGAAAGCCCTCGCGCGAGTCGCCAACTCCTTGTTTGACCGCGTATCACTGGGTGCCACATAGAGTGACCACATGTGTGGTGGTTATCTCAAAAGGAAGCCAGGGGATGGGGTTACCTCTTCCATGGTTTCTAGCCACCCTACTTTGTATGTCGCACAAAGCACGTCCCAACGCCTGAGATCTGTTCTCTAGTTGCACTGGTGCCGCCGTTTCGAGCGGCGGAACATCGAATCCCTCGCGCGTCGATCGGATGGAAAGGCCTCTGACAACACCCAAGAAGAACATTAAGGGTCCATTTGGAAGTCTCACCAAAGACACAGTGGACAACCGGATCCGGTCGGATACGGTCGATTTGCTGACCCCATGTCATGTGTCACTAAGTATTCTTGACCGCATTCCCGGGTCGCTTGAGGACGCAATCCATCCGCTTTTGGTTGTCATTTTCGACCTTAGCGCCAAACACCAACTTGAGGATCCAAAACCCCCAGGAAGTCGCTGAAACAGCCTCGCGAGCTGGTTGAAACCGAGGTTGGAACCATCCCCCAAGCCTGGTGCAAGCTGGAGTTCCTTTAAAATGAAGGTGGGGGACTCTTGAAAGAACCTTACTTTTCATTGGACAAAATGGGCTTGGGCATTCTGTTGGCTTCGGTTTCGCTACATGGGTGCTGTTTTCCCAAATTGGGGGGATTTCCTTCTTGGACCACCTCCTCTCGAAATCGATCATTGGGTTCTACTCCCGGGTTCCATTTTTGTTCACCCGATGCCCTCTTGCCTTGAGCCGCTTAAGCCAACGCAGGGGCTCAGAGCCTGTGGGTGCAAGCATCCCTTTTGGTTTGCCAATTTAAAGTGAGTTTCCTTTTAGCGGGCTACGTGAAATATAGGGAGCCCCAAGGCGGACCATCAGCGTCCCAGAGATGTGTTTCTCATCCCCTTTGCCCCAGTTGCGTCTGTACTTCCAAAAAGGTGTATTGTCCCCATAGGTTGACATCCTTCTTTTCAACCAATTCCCTTGGTTTGTGTGCAGTCATGTATGCAATTTCTGGGTGTATTGCATCCTTTTGGCGCAATCTGTTCTGAGTGGCCAGACAAGGCCAAATAAGGCGACTTTGCGGGGTGGTCTGCGACCCACATCGCAGGGCCTTGGGCTCGAGCCAATGGCGAGTGATGGGATGTCGACGCGGGTGGGCTGATGGTCTAGTGCCAGATGGGCCTGGCCCTCGCGATCTCAAAGCCAAGCAGTTGGGCCCTATCGCAACTTCCATTGGCGTTATGACTTTGCCTATTTTATAGCGGTGGTTACTTTTCGTGGCCAGTCTAGTTGCTCAGGAACTGAGTTCCGTTTTGTCGGACAAGACTCAAGAGTGGAACACTGGACTGTCACTTTAATTGTCAGGGCGCAATGACCTCTGCTATGGCTTTGTATGAGTAATGTTGAACCTGAATCAATATTTGTTGCTAATTGATATGTGGGGGTGTTTTTGAGAGGTGAAGTAGCTCTATTAGGTTCATCCCTATATTTGTAATAGGGGTGTGTTAATCTTAGGTTGATATTTTTATGGTGAGGATGTGTTGTCGTATTTATGTTTATTGATATAAGTTCATTTTAAGTTTGGTAAGTTCTGTATGATAAACATGGTTTTGTAAGTTGTTTAAATAAGTTTGAAGGAATATGTGTTGAGAAGTTTTATTATGGTAGAAGCAAGCTATGATAAAGGCTTACCGCTTTGTTTGTTTGTTTGATTGCCCCAAACCAGTTGGATCTGTGCCAAAATCAAAATTTGGACCCCCAAAATGGCTCTTTGGTTTGCATTTGCACCAATCCAAAACCATTTAAAACCCTCACTACACAGACCCATTTGGCTGCAAGTTGATTCAGCCGGCCAAGGGGTGCACCACACAACCGTCCCCTTACTGGTTTTTGGTGTGACTAAATCGCCTGAGACCTGTTCTGGAAGCAACTGGCTTTTCCAGTAGAGCTACCAAAGGTGATCGACTTTCGTTTGGGCGCAGGGAGCACCCCAGTGAATTAAGGGAAACCCAAAAGGAAACCAACCCTAGGGGACGTACCCCCGCGTTGTTGGTTTTTTGGGTCGCACGGGTCGGTTTCTGCTTTGGAGGCGCCTAGCTGCCAGAGATGGACGATGTTTACGTACCCAGCCAACCGTGGGGAATCACTATGGTTCTGGAGGTGTTTTGGGTGAGGGAAGGATTTGTTTGGTAACCCTTAGTTGGTTTGCATGGGATTTCGATTTCCAGCCTTTCTGGGTAAACGGGAAAGCTCCAAACCACAGCCCTAGGAGTTGGTTTGCGGAACTCAGATGAACCCAGTTACCCTCCGTCTGACCGCCGGAGGTTTCGCCCACAATCCCGTGGCGGTGCAGGCGGTTGGATGGGCCGAGGATCAAGGCTCGGATGCTGGCTTGCGAGTTCCGTTGCGTTTGTTTACTTGTTTGAAGCTGTTGTTTGTTGGGATGTTCATTTGGTGGGATTTGTTTGTCATGGCAAATACGGTGTGTGGGTGGGTGAGTTTTGTTCTTTTTTGGATGTCGTGACTATGCTTTCGACACGTACGAATTCCTTTTGTTGAGCTGAATTATATTTTCTGTACGACGTGTGGCACGCTGTGATTGTACACTTAGATCAACGGGGTGGGGTGCTATTAAAAGAGGACATGTTCAGGAGATACGGAGCAACGCTGCTAAACCAGGAGGGGTGTCCTGCGCCCAATGTCCAACTCTTTCGCTTTGTTTGTCGCCCTCGCTCTTGTGGAACCGCACTGAACCAGAGGAAATGAACCCCTCACTAAGTCAGCCAAGAGTTGTTTTGCTCTCACTACCCTCACTACATGAGGAAATCAAGCCCTTTCCTGACTGGCCAGCATCTGTTTGCTAGCATACCCCCGCACCCACCAAAAACAGCAAGTTTGTTTCCTGCTAGTTTCAGAGGGTTTGACGCAGCCTGCAAGAGGACGCCGGCCTGAAATGGAAGACGGCTTTGTCTTCGTTGACCAGGCACGGGAGGAGGGATCTCACAATGAAAATTGTCTCGACAACCCACGTCTCATTGGGTTGCTCCATTCTCTCTTTTTTCCTGTGAGTTGTTGCGTCTTGAACAACAGCTGCCAACCAATGGGGGTGGTTTTTGTTCGGGCACCCCCCCAAATGATGATTTTCCGTTTGGTGTCCCTAAAAAGGCACAAAAACATGGGCCACTGAACATTTGGGACAAGCTTTCCCGAATCAGTTCCCTGGTAGAAACTGATTTGGCATCCTTTGAAACCGACTTGGGCCTCTTGAGGCACATCAAAAGGAGGTTTGTTGATTGAATATCAATCAACGGTGGGTCACAAACCAAACCCATATGAAAATCAAAAGGAAGCAGGACGCTGTTTAAACAGTGGATCAATCATGTGCAGCGTTCAGAAGGGCTGGTTGTTTTGTGGGGGGAAATCAGCCAGTCAAGTGGCCACGACACAATCTCAAAAGGATCCCAGGCAACCCACTGTAGCAACAGGCAAATCAGAAATGGGGGGGAGTTCTCTTTTACCTTTACCAGTGGTCGGCTGTGAGTTTTAACAGGGAAGCACCTCGACTGGTTGGTGGGCATGAATCCTCACCGAAATGTCCATCAAATTATTCCTAATGAAGCTGGAGGTTTGCTCCAACCATAGCGCTCCCACTTTCTGAGTTGGATTTTAGTTTCGGGTGCCAAGTGGGAAAAGTTTGGACTCGTTTGGGCCAATCCAGCTGCATGAATGGTCCCATCGAATATGGAGTGCCACGCAGTGTGTCTTTTCTTAGGGGAACCCCCAACTGGTGGTTTTCCTTTGCTTTTATCTTTCAACCAACCGCACAACTGGGTCCCTCTACAAGATGAGGCCAGACCATTGACCAGGCATGGGAACATCCAGTTGTCAGGGCTTGGGCTCTGTGGGAAGTGAGGACGTTGAGAGATGCGTCCGCAAATTGAGAACATTCAGCAAGGAGAAGGTGAGGTTTTGTTGAGATCGCTTTCAAGTTGGTTTAAGGGGACACCAAAAGGAACCCGCCCATTTGTCAGGTGGTCCAATTCCTTTTTTTTGACGAGACATACCCATGTGCAGGGGGTCTTTTTGCCACCTTTTGTGAGACATTGATCGACCCCCTCGTAGTGAAGGATTCCTTGTTGAGGGGGTCGCCAATTTTCTCGCAAAGGGTGGCAAAAAGACACCCCTACCCACGTGGTCCTTTCCATTCCGCGCGTTGAGAGCCGCGCGCCGCTCCCGGCGGCTCTCGCGCGCGGCGCGCGCGAGTTCGGGGGCACCCAGCGCAGCGCCTTCTTCGCGGTCTACGACGGCCACGGGGGGCGGCAGGTGGCCGGGGGCCCCCAAGGGCTCAACGTCCGTCGTTTCAGAAGATCTTTGGTGCAATTGACTTTTTGTGTGTCCAATGGAAAATCTATTTTGCAGACGGGTCAACAGCAACCAAGCCTTTGGTGCATTTTGCCTTTCGGGATGTTAGGACTTTAACTTTTTGCCAACTGACTTGTTTTCCATTAAACTAAAAGTTAAACTTTTAGCAGGGGTGCAGAAAGCAACCGATCTTCTCTTTTCGTCCTTTTTTTTGGCGTGGGCCCAAAAGGGCGTCCACGTGTGTTGCTAAGTCCATCTGCGTGCGTCCATGTGTGTTTTCTCTTGGAATATGTTGCTAAGTCCATGTGCGTCCATGTGTGTTTTCTACTGGACATGAATATGTTTTATTTTCTCTTGTTGAATGCAAAAGGGATCTACTCTTGTTGGTTTCAAAGGGAATCTACTCTTGTTGGTTTCCAAGCGAATCTATCACTACTGGAAATATGTTATCATTGTTTCCAGGCGGCTTAAGCAAATGGAAGAAAAGAGTTTGGTGCCACAACAGACATCAGCGTCCAGTTCTTGGTCGACTCAGACTTTAAGCAGATCCAAATATGGTTTTGGAGTGGCGTGCACCGACATGTACTGAACAAATTTGATAACCCGACCATCTCAAGACCTGACTCCCCTAGCGGTTTAATTTGGGCGCCTTGGCAAATTGTTTAGCTCATTGAATATCACAAGAATTGCTATCGAATCCCCCTCGCTGAGGCTGATAATTGCTGCCGAGAGAATAAGAACCCGGCAGTGATAAAGTACTTCTCATTGCTTGCATCTAGAATGCGAATGCGGGTGATAATGCTGCTAATGGCCCGCGTTGGGCCCACGTGTGGCCCCATAGGCAGCTGGACTGAAGACTAATGGCTGTTTGGATGTAGTAGAAGTTTGGACGGAACATTGTTTTGAATTCCTGGGGACCCCCCAAAGTTATATGTATAAATAATTATATGTATATATGCTAGTTCTCGTTTTGGTTCCCCTTTACAACCGCCACTCGAGGCGTACTCTGGAACATTTGATGGCACATGGTTTATAAAAACCCCCATTTGAACCAGCAGCCATTTATTTTTTCCCAAACAAACCGAAAAAGCACACCTATGCATGGGTGTTTCTCTAAGTAGTTCTCTCAAGTGGCAAGGGTTTCCTGTTAATCCGGGTCCTACTTCATTTGCTGGAATTGGGGTATCTGGTGCGCATTCCAGATGTGCTGGTGAACAGCGTTCTGATGATGTACAAGCGAGTTGTGCAGTGTGGTGCTGCAGGACATCTTGTCGTACCTCAAAACCCATTTAAAGGTTCACGGACTCTGTCGGACCTTGGCCCAGTGGCCCAGTGGCTTCGTGTTAATTCAACCGAAGTGGTGCGCAAGTTCGCTGGGTTCTTTGAGTCTTGTTTTGCGTGGAGGGGTCACGACGACCCGTACCTAGAGCCAGACCCTTTAAGAAGGGTTTTCGAGCTCGGTTTTTGCGAGGGTTTGCTTCGCAGGGATTATCATTCACCAGGTAACCCTTATACCCACTTTTCTGGAACCCCACAGTAGTCCCCTTTAAGAACATGGTGTTCAATGCAATTAGCCTGCCTCGGCTTCCGCGCGAATGGGGAGGGACACCCAAAAATGCTAGTTCGGGGGAGGGGCAAAAGTTGGAGGCCAATTTTTTGAAGGTTTTTGCGGGTCAATTCAAGGAACCCGTTGCCATTGTTGGCACCCCTATTCTGGAAGCAGAAAGCATGAGATGAGGTTGCGTCCAAAAGAGCTGGCTTCCTTTTTTCAGTTGACAGCCACCTCAGAAAAGTACAATTTTCAATAAGACGTTTACACTTCCTATGACTGTTTTGTCACTTTGAAGGGCTTCTGCTGGAATCCTTTGCAAACAACCCCCCAACAAGGTGCCAACTCGACTTACCCTGTGGCAAATGCCAAGCAGCCTTGTTTTGGCTGGTGCCTTCATCATTTTTTGTCGAGGCAGCAAGTTTAGTCACCCTTTCTGGTCAGTCCAACACACACTCATACCCAAACTGGGATACCTTTTGACATGTGTTGCACATGTTCAGGTTCACTTAAGTATGGAAGGTTGGGAGCAGACTTCGGAATTGGCGGGACTGGTAGACCAAGCAGAGTTGTCCTGTTGTGCCGTGGCATCCTTTGAAGCTCTTTCTCACTTCCTGAGTTCTTGGACTCGACTTTTTGGGAAGACTAAACAACAAGTGTTGTTTTTTTTGTGCCGTCTACTGGGGAAGTGAGCTTGAGTAGTTTGGGTTCTCCCCTAACCATCGCCAATTTCCAGGCTCACGTTCCCTTCTTGGCCCTTTTTGCTTCAGTTGGTCTGAACAAAGCGCCTCACTCCCCCCCAATTACTTACTCCAGTTCCTGGACTTAGGCATGTCAATTTTTTAAAGGGACCCCCAAAACGGCGCCCCTTTGGTTTTCCTTTAAAACCACCAAACAACAGGCTCCAGACTGACCCGCTTCAGTCACTTTGTTGGGTTTGAAAAGCAACAAGTTGGGGATTGGTTTGTGCCAATCCGCAACATCAGAACGTGGGAAGGGGTCACCTGGGTATGGGTCAAAATTAAACCACCAGGAATCGGACCGCAGGTTTTGGTCCATGTTTCCACTTCCCAGAGTTCCAAAAATGGGTACATATTTTTTACCCACAGCTACCTGGTGCCCCTGTGCGTTCGCCTCAGGGACACCGCAAGAGTCCCGAGTTAGGTGGACTTTGTCACCCGCGAGCTGCATGAGAACTTGCTGCGGGAGAATGGGTGGCGGGGGTCCGTGGGAAGCGTTTGCGTTTCGGAATTTGGGTCGGGTCATGTTTTGAGGGTATCCCCGCAACAGGGGGTTGGTTTAAAGCGAAACTCAAAAGACAACTCTCCATTTAGGGGCACCCTGAATTAAGACGCACCCATTTGCTAGTTTCCCCTGGTTTGAAAGGACATCTATCACTGCTGTAAACATGTTCTCGTTTTTTTTTTTTTTTTTGCCAGGCGGCTTAAGCAATTGGAGGATGAGAACCGTTGATCTGTCCAACAGTAGCAAATTTCCTAGACACAATTCCCGGTTGCTTGTTTCTAAGCATTTGAACGCTATGTGTGATTTTCCATGGAACCTACAAGAGGTTAGATGTCTTATTGGGAAGGGGAAGTTGGGAGGTTGTGGCCCGTTATTTTGGGATGAAGTCTGAAAAGTCACCCGGATATTTTCGAATATGGCCGGTTCCTTGGACACTTGGGCCGCCCAAGGTGCCGCCTCTCAATCGGGATGCCGGAAGGGGCGCGCCACCCAAATTGTGTCCCTATCAACTGGCAGCCAGTCTGCAGGTGGTCCCCCGTTTCAAGTGAAGAAGCTCTTTTGCACTGGCCCGGTCCTTCCATTCCCCAAAAGGCAGTCGAATCTGGATTTGTTCATTCATAGCCACGGTTGCTTGTTCGAAACCACAAACACCCAATGCTCGCTCGGGGCCGGGGCGGGGGCCAGGGGCCGAGGTTTGTGTCGGACTACGTTGGGATTTGTGTTAAGGTTCAATTGCTTGATTGCCCAAAGGTAGACTTAAACCCAGGAGTTCCCCTTTTGGGGAAACCACCTATGTGCTGGGTTTAGGTCTTCCTTGGTGAAGTAAAACATGGAACCAAGAATCACTTTCTGGTCTTTGGCGTGACCTCATTTCTTCAGACCATCTGGACATAACTAGCTTTCCAATTAAGCCCAACAGAGCTTGGATCCATAGCTTTGAGTAGAACTAGCTGGGTTCTACTGGTTTAGATGGCTTCCAGGTACCAGGGAGCACCCCTTGATTTTAGACCAAAAGGGCATGGTTGGATCTCAGGGAGTCAACCCTGCGCTTTCCTTTTCGAGGAGCTCCGCAGGACAGGATCTCCGGCTGACTCCCTGCTCCAGGCGGATCCACGGCACGTTGCACGCTCTTTTCGCTCGGCGATTCGAGGCGACTGAGGTTCAGGACCCTCAGACGACGCCTGAAAACGTGACTGCTACTGGTAACGGATCTTTGGATCTTTGGACAACCCCCCTAAAAGTTGTCAACTTTTTGCAGGGGGGTCAACGGCAACAAAAAAAATAGATCAACTCCCTACCCTTCCCGGGGATGAATGTGAGTTAGCATGACTTTTGCCTATAGGAGTGCGATCGATGAAGAGAAAGAATGGCTGAGGATCAGCATGGAAATCTAGCTTAATGCAGAACAGCCCAAAAAAATGGTCAGTTGATGCTCAGCAAATCTCCATGGTAAATCTCCATGATGGTCACCAAAGAGTCCCGAATTGAACCAGGGTTCTGTCTACTTCCCCCTCGATGGTTTCAAACATCGCCTTTCAGGTCTTGTTGTACGGTGATGTTAAACGGAGAATACCATGGAGCGGATAAGAAGACCCTCAAAAATGGGCTGCTGAAATCCACAGAAATGAGGTGCACCACAGAGTCTCCAAGACATCATGGCGATACCGAACGCATCAATGCGGATCATCTGCGGCCTTGGCCCAGGACCTGGCACGGTCAGAATTTACCGAAAAGGGAAGTAGTCTACACTTGGACATTCATATAGCTCAAGGTGCTTGAAACGATGGAAAACGATAGGGGACTCTCAAAAACAACAATACCTTGGTGTTATAGACCAAACGCTGGAGAACGATAGGGGACTCTCTAAATTCAAGCGTACTTGCTGTGAACACCAAATTTTGACGGAACTTCTGGTGACACCAGGTGAAGGCTGGGAATAACCCTATGAACCAACCAGGAGGTGCTTGCATATCTGGGTTCCCACCCTGCCAATGCAAGCTGACTGGGTCAAAGCAGACGGTTTTGCTGACAGCAAACGGATCAAGATCCTGGCCAAACGACCAATTTGTTGCTATGACTGCAGCAACAGGGGCCTTGGAAGACAGTGTTCCTCCAGGGACACTCTTTCAGGTTCCGCACTTCATTTACATCCAGAAGTTTGCCAAGTTAGCATCCACGAGTACCCACCAACGCCGTGGTTATGGGTGTGGGGCTACCAGGCTCACTAAGCTTCAGCCAAGCCCCTTGCGCGAACCTTTTCGCCAGGCCTTCCGCTTGACGGACGAGGACATGCTGCGGAGGCCGTGGTTTTTGTTCTCCCGGTGTTTGGTTTTCCGGGTCCAAGGCACCCGCGGGACCGTCTCAAAACACCCAGAGCAAAACTCAGGCTAGGTTTTCCAGGAGGGGGGCCTTTTACCGTTTCTTTTTTGGGGGAGGGTTCCCCTACTAAAATAGACTACAGAAAAGGGGTACCCTTATTCTAACCTCTCTTTGGAGGACCTAGAAAGGCAAGAAATATATGATGGCCCTTTCGCCCCCTGAACAGGAGGTTTTGGTGCATGATCAACAGCCCTCAGAAAAGGCATCCTGGTGTCTGCTGAAGGAACAAAACGCCTCGGCATTCCTTTTAAGCAAGAGTCCTTCGGTCCTTCGGAGGTCGGATATTTTAGGGAGGTGGGATAATTTTGGGAAATGTCGGGGCTGAATTGTATCGACCTTGTGCCCTGTTTTGGTCCAGGTTCCAAAAGGTTCCACCCCTCGCTCCTTTTCAGCACAGAAGCTGAGCGGCAAAGAGGGGCGACTCTTCTTGGATGACCCCACTTAAGCAGTTTAGTCCGCATGCCGTAGGGTCACTTCGGACTTAAGCGGAGTTTTCCCCTTCTTTCGTGCACATTCCGTGGGGTTGATCCCTACCCACATGGCTGTGGGTCAAAACCGTTTTGGGACCCCATTTTGAGGTAGGTGAATTCACCACCCATTTTGGCACCTATTTTGGGTGGGGATTGGGATGCTTACCAGGGGCACAGGGTTTTGACCCACAGCCACATGTGGACAGAGGCAAGCAGTCAAGTGGGTCGCCATCCTGGGCTGTCTGGATCATTGCACGACCTCGTGACCGCTAGGCGAAAGCATTCCTATTGGGTGCGCTCGTCCATGTTTTCGACAAGGAGATCTGTCTATTCTCAGGCCGTCTCGCTGGAAAATGGTTTGGACGCGAGTTCTGTAGATTCCACCTCTTGAGGGGCAAGATATTTACACTCATTATTCTCGTTTGATCATGACCACTTGGCGTAAAGTACCCCACAATCCCATTCGAATACTGAACGGAGCCAGATTTGGATTTTGCCTAGCAAATGACAGCACCGCACCTGCCAGGAACATTACGTCCTCGGGGTGCACGGCATGCTGCTGCCTTTTGCAGGCGAAGAATCTGGGGGGGATGGCCGAACAGGGATACCGGGATACCTATATTTCCCCCTTCGATGGCTTCTTGCACAGCACCTGTTGGCCCAATTCTATGAGAGTCTCCTCATCGTGGGGTGATGCGCGGGGAAGTATAGTTGGGCCCCGCGAACGGGGAGCATTTTTTTTCATGAAAGCAGATGAACAAGATTCGCTGCGTCGTTTGTGTGATGCAAAGGTGTTGTCGTATCCCGGGTATTCAGGTATGGATTGCTGGTTTGGATTTGGAGTTGAACCTCTGGTTCTTGCGGAGGGCAACTGGGAAACCCAACCACCAAACCACCAATTGGAAGGAAGCTGAGGTACAGCATCAAGAGGCCGATAGGACCCAAAAGAGTACCTCCGGAGAATCGAAAAATTGAAGGTGCAACACCCGAGAAGGCACCAGCATCCTTGCCTTGTTGGTTAAAAGTCGATTGCGAGTCGTGCGTTTCTTGATTGCCTTTCACCAGCAACTGGCGAAGCGTCGCACAGGGCCAGCAAAGAGATCATTGGACGGTTGCTCACCTTTTGAGGTCGAATCCGCAGTTTTTAGTGCAGAGGATTGGACGCTTGTGGACTCATGAGAAAACAAAATCCCCTTGTGCCGCTTCCACATCTTCGCCAATTTTCAAGTCACAATCAAAATCTGGGTTGACCTTGCAAAGCAGTCTGCCTTCTCGTTTCCTTGCCATTTTGGGTAGACTCCTTTACCGATTCCGAGCTTAGTCACGTCCAAATAGTCCGTCAATTCACGGGCTTTCCAAAAGGTAGGCAAGACAGGGGTCTCCTATTTCCAAGGTGGACTAACAATGAGTGTGTCTTTTTTGAGGGTACCCCCTTTTGGCTGGCTTTAAGGGAAAACCAAAAGGACCATCACAATTTGAGAACCCCTAAAAAATGACTATGCTAAGCAGCATCTGAAACGTTATTTTTAAACCTTGCAGTTTGGGGCCAAGGGTACAAGTTCTATATGTATATTTGGGCCAGTTTGTTGTTTCTCAAAAGGAAGCCAAGCAGGAAAGCATGGGACAGATGTTTTGTTAGTCTTTCCAGACCCTCGGTCTGTGTCAGGAGACGAACCCCAGACTATGCTGGTTGAGTTGTCCTGACCAAGTCGATGCCTTGCTTTGGCACCTGGAAAAGTGACCCTCCCAAACGGGCGTGACTTTCTTGGGGGACCCCCAAAAAATGGTGGTCGTCCTTTTGGTTTCCCCTGAACACCAACCAAAAGTGGGTTCCCCTAAAAAAGAGACACCCAACTGGTTCCTTTCCTTGTTGTTTCCCTTCAGCTTGTCAAGGGAAACATCGGCAAGCCACTCGGACGTAAAGTCAATTAGAGAAGGGGACCAAACAAACCAGAGGGCTCAACACCACCTATCAGGTAACCCGAAATTCGTTGTTTGGATTGGTGGTTTGCATTTGGATTTGAACCCCTGGTTCTTGTAGAGGGTAAATGGGACACCTCCCTCTTACCACACCACCACCAAACCAAACCACCACTTAGAGGGAGGGCTTATGGAAAGAAGGTTGGGAGGTAGAGCTAGATTGGCAAGAGGGAAACTGTTCGCTGTTTGACGCCTGCATCTTCAGGATGAGGCCCGTGGCCGCGTGATCTACACGGCCCACCTCGGGGACAGGCGGGCTCCTTGACGGGAACCTTGATTGATACCTGAAATTCGCTTTGCGCCTGTTATTAGTCAGTCGAAATCATAGGCTTCCATCCATCCAAACTGGTGCAGGAATTTGTCCATCCGCAGTAGTAGGGCCTAAATTAGTTCTATCCCACGTTGCCATGGCACCAAGCGTCCCTTCAAGAAGAAGCTGTTCTTCCAGTTACCCTTCCACAGGTGCTACATTTTGGGGAGGAAGACTGTGGTTCTGGAGACCCTGTTCTCCCATATCCTTAGCTTCACTGGGGAGGCATCAAAGTGGACCGCTGTAGGGCTTCATGATATTTCCCAGGCGGAATTCCCTTGTATGTTGGTTGCATGAAAATGATGGTTGATGTTGGGCCCCATGCTAGTGGGGATGAATTTACGTGTTGCGGCTGGTTGACTTTTCCGCGGTGAGTCACTCGCCCCGCAAATCTACAGCAGTTTTTTCCCCCGCAACGCTCTGTACCCTTTTCAGAGTTGGTTTAAAGGGCAACCCAAAGGAACACCACCATTTTACAGAGGCCCCAGTTTCAATTCAGAAAGAATCCCAAAATAATGGACTGCAACAAACACGGGTACCAAATGGCAACTCATCCAAAACGGGAAACATTAGCTTGGCCAGACTCAGACCCCCTCAAAAAGTTAACTTTTCGATCTAGGGAACCCGATTTAAAGGCTTAAAATGTTAGCCTATGTAATGTCGACCAACTGTCTGCGGCCCAGTTTAGTTTGGGGTCCTTCTAGGAAACGAGCTGGAACATCGCCAGGAACTTGGTCAAACAGCGAGCCGCACTTCCGCGATGGATGGCTATGGGAAAAGCCTCGGAAGTTCATATTAAGGAACCGCCCCCTCCCCCAAGAGATAACAAAGGGGGTACCAGGTGTCCAACAATAACAAGGATGGTGAAGGCTAGGTCAAGGCTACTTTGGTTTAAAGACCCCTCGCCTGAAGAGCCGTTTGGGGTGTTGAGCCTCATCGGGGGGAAAGCGAGGCCAAAAAGGAGGGGTGAGACCCACCAAAACATCCCTTTGAATCTTGGATGCAATGTAAAGGTCACTAGCGACGCTGAGCGTTTTTTTTTTTCCCCGCGCACGCCACCAGTTTGCATGCACCCGCCAGCAAATTTCAGCGACCTGCGCAAAGCTGGTGGCCTGCCGGCGCGAGCCGTGGTTGACACGGGCGCATCCGAGATCTTGTACCTCTTTGGTCTGCCCTGCCACCCAGGGGGCTCAACACAGCTCGGGTGAGTGAGGCCTTTCCTGGCTGCCTCGGATTCGCAACTTGGAAGCTCGGAGTGGTCAAGATGCCCCTGACGGCCTACGGGCCAACTGCCACTATTCCCCCTCAATGACGTGGTTGAACATTCGCAAAGCGACCCTTGTGAAATTAGGGGTCCTTGTTTGGCGTTTAAAATGCGGCCAAGGCGGCAAAATGCGGCCAACGCAACCTGGGGTCTCGTTGAGATTGTCTAAATTGCGAAACAGAATCTGAAACACTGCAGGTGGACAGACTCCTGCACCAGGGGATGGATGAACCGCTACAAAGCAAAAATGGGCTAAGCCATGCACCAACTGATTCAGATGTTTGCCCTTCTACAGTATGGGTGTTTTCAATATAGGGTTTAAGAACCTTTTAGATGGTTTTCAGAAACGCACGGCCTGAGTTCCTGGACTTCAACAATTCTTAGATCCTTTTAGTGTAACATATACACAATGTTAGAAGATGGAATTAGGGGAGGGGGTGCCCCCTGGAATTCCACTTATCCATTTTCCCTTGTGTGGGAAGACTATTTAAATATGGAGTTGGGGACCCCCCACCCCCCTCCCCTCATGGTCAGGGGGGATGTCCGGATCGGCGCCGGGCTCTCGCCCAGTCGCGCGGTGCTGGCGCGCAGCGGCAGCGCCACTCGCATGACCTCGATGACTGACCACAAGGCCCGCCACAGGTCCATGTGGATGTGTCTTTGGTTTCCCCTTGGTCCATAAGTTTGTTTGTAAGGGGAACCCTTGTTGGTTTACCAGGGTCTCTCTCAAACTCGGGGAAGGAACAACATTTGCGTTCCCCCTTGAAGTTCTTTTTCAACTAATTAACCAGAAAAGGGTAACCTTAAAATTAAAATCTTAGAAAGATAGAAAGAGAGAGAGACCCATATATAAACCCTATCACCCGCTACCCCCCCCCCCCCAGAACAGAAGACGCACAGATGCCAAGTATACCTTCAATGGTGCAAAGTGGTCACAGGAACGGGAAACAACTCTTGTCGAACCTTCTCGCCGGAGCAAGGGCCCATGTATCAACCTTACAACCACCGCAAAGACCCCTCGGTTTAATAGGGGCTTGTTGGGAGGGGATGTTTTGAGGGAGCAGTTTGGTTGTTATTTCCAGGGGAAACGTCAGGAGCTATATATTTACTCACACTATGCTCCTATGATCATGACTCTGTTTGCTTTTAAAGCACTGCCCCTTAGCTCGTTTTGGGGGCTGACCCTTGTTCAGAGAAGCAACGAAGCAGGGACTAGCAAAGGCAGGGATGTGTAATCAGTAATTTTGTAATTTTATTGTTGGTGTTAAACAAAAAAAAAAGTTAGACAAACAAACAACAATCACCAACATGGACATGCTTTTGCAGAAGCATCCACGTGCTGCATGTATTTTCTTTCCGGACCATCCGTCAGGCCACAGATCCGCTGGAAGCGAAGAGGGTCATCGAAGCTGGTGCGGCTCCTGGCTGATCGATCGGCGAGGGGTCCCTGGTAGGGTACCAAGGGTGCACGGGGCGTATGAGGCTGCCCCCCCCCCCTCATGTTTGCTGGCTTTCAGGGGAATTTTCAGGGAAATCCACAATTTTTATTGGGGGGGTCCACCCATATTGGGAGTTGAAGGTTGCAATTTGTGTTAAGCAACGAAGCCCGTGTCGCCTTGAAAGGGGCACCTCAAACAATCGGTGTTGAAGCATGTTTTTGTTGAACAAGGGCTTGGCCCACTCCTGCTGGTCGGTTGAGATTCGTTTGAAACTATTTGGCGTTTACGGAAGGATTACTAAGTATATGCCAGAATCAAGCATGTTGCTTTGGGTTGGGGCGCCAAGTTGTGGGATGTGTTTTTTGTCTTCTTCTTCTGTTTTTTCTCAGGGCTTGTGATGCCACGGGGGTCGAATTCATCGAAAGGGTCGATGTTGTTTTCGAGCGTTTCACTCAACCATGCCTCAGATCTTTTGGGGAGATTGCCCTGAATTGGTGCTTTGAATTTGTGGTGTGCATTGGAACCCCCTGGTTTTTTGAGTAACCGCTAACCAGTGGTTTCGCTTGGTGGTTGGGGGATTTGAACCCCCCGAGGATAAATGGGAAACCACCCCATTTCAACACCAAACCACCAATCCACGCCACGAATTGAAGGGCAAGCTGAGTTCTGGTACCCCTGGAACACTAAACCACCAATCCAAACCATGAGGGAAGCTGATCCGGTCGACGCAGGTGGTCACATCATCAACGACCGGGTCAACGGCATGCGCTTCGGCCAATTGAGCAGGGGTGTAGAAGGTTGACAAACATGGGTAGGGCGGCTTACTTTCCGGTGGTTTCCTTTTGGTGTTCTTTGGGTTTACTTGCTTTGCTTGGCTTTCCTTCAGAAACAGTTCTCCATGGGCCGGAAGTTTTATGACAACCCTGTTGAAGGACATGCGGACCTCAGAGAGCATTATCTTTGACGGAAGCGTCAGGTTTCGAACCTCACCAACGTATGGTTTCCACCTTGCGACATGTTTCCACAAGGAAACAACATGCTCTCACAGAGCAACTGAGACGCTAGGTTCAGCATGCTCCCTCCCCCAATCTGCATTAAGAAAAACCTTCCTAATATCCAACTCATCGTCACAGAAAATGTTGGTCGCCTCGTTCGGCGAAGCACCATGCGGCCGAATAAAACGTTTTTTGGGACGGCCGGGTGGATCGTGATCGTTCGAAACTTTCGCAGGATCCTCAGGTGAAATGCAACCAAATGCCAGGGTCGTCTTCCCCTGGCCGGCAGGGAACCTAAGCAAGTTGCCGGCTGTTTCGCAGAGCCTCTTTGTCTTTTTCCGAGAAACGCATCATCAGCAGGTCACTAGTATTGAAGGGGAGAGATCAGAGACCTAAGGGCCCATTGACAGGGCCAAATTATTTGACAGCAGCCTCTTTGAGATGTTTGTGGCGCTTGAGCATGCCGCGCCCTTTCCTTATGGGCATTGGATTGCTTCAGGGACCCCAAGAGGACAACCTGGAAACTCAAGACCCCCAAGAGTTCGAGGTTAACAAGCTTTTTAGTGGGCGCAGCTCAGGCCAAACAAAGCCATTTTCTCAGACCGAGGTTAGCAATGACTCGGGCCCTTGGTGACCATGTGCTCAAAATGCCCGTCGGGGGCCCGAGAAAAGCCAGCGAATTGGAAAGGCGCATGAGAAGCCGAACGCCGCTTGTCTCACTCACAGTCCCATGAATGAACCTACCCAGTGCTTGGACGACCACCCCGGTCAATACCTCCAGGTAACGGACAGTTTTGCTGGGGATATCAACCACTTAGAAGGATCCCCCCAACAAGGATTAAATGGGGATTGTCCCAGCCCCAAAGGTTATCTTTGTTGGCGGCTTTACCATCCCTGTTTGTTTTGGAGGTGTTGTTTTGCGGCCGGGTGTGCAACAGATGTCACGCGTTCTTTGGAACCAGGGCTACTTTGTTTGACACCTTGGCAACCCGCTTTAAAGTCACAAAGCAGTCATACTTTGGATGGACAATTTGTTGGTCGGTGTTTTGTCGCATTCACAAGGCTTCATCTTCCCAATCGTGTTTTTGTCCATCCGCAAGGAAATCAACTCCATTTTGGCATCCCAACACCTCCAAAACAAAAAGGATGGAAACGCCGCCAGCAACGATCATGTTTGGTCTGTGACAATCACCATTTCATCAATTTAATCCTTGTGGGGACTCGTTATAAGTGGTTGATGTCCCCAACCACGTCTCACCATGAGGGTGAACCCCATGGATGTCCCAGGCGTTCGTATCCTTTCCAGTGGAACGAGGTAAGAGAAGCTTGGAATCAAAATGGGCGGCTCTTCTTTTTCAAGGCTTCGGTGCGCCGCCCCAAATGGCTTCGGTGCTCCCTTGGGTTCCAACTAAAAAACGCCCCCCCCCGAAAAAGCACGAGGACCAACGAAACAGAGGGAGACCCAAATGATTTGGCTTTGGTGCGCCTTGGATTCCAGGCAAACCAACCCAACAGGGCTCCTCCCTCAGTTTTGCTTGGTTTCGCTGGCAGATGCTGCCGAACGACGTGGTAAGCAACGTGCCAGACATCACCTCGACTGATGTCACCATGCAGGAGACGGGTTCGCGAAGCGATTTGTGCCATGGTCAGAAGGCCAAATGTTAACTTGGTGGCTTCCAGCCATCCGGTTGCTTAGCATTTTTAGCTTCTTAGTGTTGGGTGGTTGGATTTTCATTCAACCCACTAAACGTTGAACTCTTTGCGGGGGATCTGAGGACAGCCCAGTTAAGGGAAGCGATTTGTGGCCACTGGCAAACCTCTCAAATCTGGAGAGTTTGAAGTTTTTTTGGGCGCGGTCAAACGACCCGTGAGGTTGGTCGACCAGGTTGGTCCGGGCCACTTAATGGGGAAGTCCGCCCTAGAATACTTGCCATCTGCCAACGTAGCCGGGTTGGTTGACAATCAAAACCATGCCAACATGGTTGTTGTTGGGAAACATTTTACATTTTTGCTTATTGTGGTTTAGTGGGACATCCCCACTTAACTGCTAAAATTTAATGTTTTGCTCCCCTTCCAACGTCAACCAAGCCAACAGTCTAGAACCTCCCAACGAATCTGCCCCTCAGCCCCAAGGAATTGGTTTGGTGGATGCTTCACGCTCACTGGATCCTTTGAAGCAACCCGAATCACTGGATAGTGGCCAAGAACGCCACCTCAAATCTGGGCGACTGGACTTCCTTGCCCGATGGTAGTAGTCGGGTATCTTCCGTGAACTTTCAGGCAGGGGGTTTAACAAATCTCTTGTGCTGGCCTCACTGAAGCTGGTTTGAACCAGGCTTGTCCTTTTCAGAGAACCCTATTTGGAAAAGGGATGTATATAATCCATATTGTTGTTTGACGATTTCGAGAAATTCTGGATGTATTTAGGTTTCTTCTGTATATCTGTTTGTTCCTGAATACGTCATGTTTATCAAGCTGAACAAATTCTTATTCAAGACCTTCCAGAAAACAAGAATTGGCAGAAGAGGGCTATTGTGTACTTTCAATTTGTGTAAACATTCGGAGATTTGGTGTCCATAAGAGCCCCAACACCAGCTAAGGACAGTAACGTCACCCCAAGGTCCTGAAGCTCAATCATGGCCCAAGGAGTGACGTGAAGACCACCAAAAGGGGCATAACAACTCCTCTGATCATGTTTGAACCAGGGAGGCCATACCACAGGAACCCTCCAAAAACTCCTTCTGCTGTTATTCAACAGAAAGCCCAAGGGCGTTCTTTAAGCCGATGTTGGGGAAAGCTTTGGCATTTCTTCAAGAAGGCATTGATCAAAAACGTACATGTGAACGAGAGTCCATAATTGACCAAACCTGTGATGGTTTCTTGGGATAGCAATGACGGGTCTCTCCAACGAAAAGTTCAGGTGTTGGTCCCAAAAGGGGGAGACATGCAGGTTCACAGCCGGTCCCCTAGCTTAAGGGTTTATGGTCATTGTCAGCAAGTTACAAGTTGAGGGTCGATCCAGGCGTTGTGGGAAGTTGCATGCTTCCTGCTGTGATAGCAACGAGTTTGGAACATGTTACATCTGTTACATGTTCCAGTCAGTGGTATCACAGAAGTGGACCGGCAATTCCCAGGCAACCAAGCAACCAAGAAGCCAAGCAAGCAAACAAGCAACCAAGCAACCAACCAAGCAGCCAAGCAGCCAAGCTACCAAACAACCAGGCAATCCAGCAAGCAAGCAAGCAACCAAGCAATCACGCAACCAAGCAAACAAGCAACCAACCAAGCAAGCAAGCAAACAACCAAGCAATCACGCAACCAACCAACCAACCAACCAATCAATCAATCAACTAAGCAACCAAGCAACCGAGCAACCGAGCAACCAAGCAAGCAACAATAACCAACCGACCGACCGACCGACCCACCAACCAACCAACCAACCTTCCAAGGTCGGAAGGAATGTGTTTGTGGGTGCAATGCAACCAAGCAACAGACAGGTGCCCTGTTTGGCTGTCGAAGAGTACCTCTTCCCAAGGCTGTGTGGCCTTATTCTCCCCCAATAAGGCTTAACCCCCCCAACCTACACCAAAGTAGCCTTGAGCTAGCCTTGACCATTACACACAGGGCGGTCAATACCAAGCACCATGGTTGTTGCCCTACCTCCCTTGTTATGCTGAAATGTTGGTTCTGGAAAGCGTGTGGTAAGGGGGAACCATCAACTGATTTCCATGTTGGCATGGTGAACATCGGTGAGGCCGCATACAGACACCCGGTGGCCCCCTTTGTTTTTGTTGTTTTGAGGGCGGTTCCCTTTGGTTTGAACTACCATAGTCTGGCCAAGCCGAGCTGCCGCTCGAAATCAGCTTAGGGTGGCACCCCGTTTTTGTTGCAGTCCCCGTTCGGGGCTCCAGAAATGTATTGAAATCGGAGACCCTTCTTTCCTGGTGTTCCTTTTGATTCCCCTTCCAACCAACTCCAAAAAGTGTACCGAGCCTCATACCAAGCCCTTCCGCGGATTTGCGGGGCGAGTGACACTCGCCACTCGCCCATGGCACGCGCTGCAATGGCGCCCGCGGCGAACCCCGCAAAGAGGCAAGCCGCGGGCTTGGACGCTTGGGCTGAGGGTATCCCTTTTGGTTCAGAAGGAAGAGGTTTGGAGCTTCACGCGCTCTTTTTTTGGAGCTTCAAATGTTCACTTTTGGGGGAGACTTTTTTTCGGAGCTTCAAATGCTCGGTTTTGGGGAAGCCTCCAGTTTGTGAGAAAGATTCTTTGTGCTTGCGTTTCCCCCAAAGCCACCGTTTTTTTTCTATTGTGTTGTGAAAGAGGAAAGGACATCCCTAGAATACCCCTCAAGGGCGCAGACCTCCAACGGGCGGTTTCCCCTTTTTTTGTGTGGTTCATTTCTTGTCAAAGTGTGGAAATGGGACAATCAACATCAAACCCAGCCGACAGAAAACAAGCAAGTCCTCAGCTGTTTTCTGGAAGTCAAGGTCTGGTTCAGGAATTGACCTTTTTGGCTCTTCAACTTGAAAGGCAACGGAGACGCTCTTCCTGAATCTTTTTAGCTCACGTGTTTCGGTGAAACCGCTGAAGCGCAGGGCAACCAGAGGGGAGGGAGTTCGGTTGCATTTTCCAGCAGACTTTGGCTCCTCGGCTCGAGAAATCTCGCTTCTTCCTGTCTCCAGCTCGTTCAAAGGACACAAGTCTCGCAAGTGCCAGTGGTTCTTGATCGGAATACATGCGCCACCCCTTAGTTGTTGGAGTTTTGAGGTTTGGGGGCCGCATAAAGGCCGTTGTTGGAAGAGAAAGCGTTCCTAGAGAGAATGGAAACGGAGGGTACGGCCGGAACTGGTGCAATCAGGGGTAAGGCAGCCGCAATGCCTCCTTCCTGTGCTAGGGACTAAATCTGGGGGTAGTTTTGAGGATGGCACTGTACGGGACCCGGCAAGTTGAGCATGAATCGATTGTTGCTCAGGGGCCCTCAGCAAGGTGTGCCACGCAGTTTTTTCCCTGGTAGCTGCCCTTGTGCAGAAGACTACAAGCAAGACCAGGTGGAAAGTTGTTTTGGGAACAGACTGAATTTGGTGCAAAACCGCGGTAGCAACACTCCCAAAACGAGCTAGGCCCATGACATATAATTAGGTGGTCAAGATCACAAACACATGCGTTGGACATCAAGGTCAATGAGTTGGAGAACGAGGTGGGACCACCCTACCATTCAGCCTGTAGCAAACAACTGCCGCAGCATATTCCACCTCCAGTATGTCCCAAAAGCTGATTTATTGATGCGCAGCCATAGACCATGGCTGATATCCAGGTTTTTCTGCGCCTCTGGCATAGGAGAACTGCCGCTTCCGACCTGCAGCGTTTTAAGCCAGGCGAGTGTGTCCATTCCATGTCAGTCTGATGGTTCCATCTTTCAGCGCCGCGCTGTGTCTGCTACCTTTCGCCCTAGCGGCGCGGAACAGCGCCGAGGCAGACGCAGCCCGGCTGGCCAATGGCAGCGCTTGTGTTGTGTACATGGTTGGATTCAACTTTGCTCGCCTTTTGGAGCGATCTGTTTGCCCATTTTGGTTTTGAGGGTCGATTTGAAATTGTATGTTTAAGCTTAACCATATGTCTTTAACGATATTCCCCCCTGCCCTTCTGTTCGAACAATGTGCTTCCCTCCCTTGAAATTTCAACTATCTTTCTGGAGGGCTGTCGCCATCTTTGGCTTTGCTCTTGGAAGTTTGAACATGCGGGTCGGGGTTTCACACCGTCGTGATCCGCAAGTGACCGCTCACGGTTGTCCGTTGGAAATGTGCGTGGCGGAGGATAACTTAGCGCAGAGAATCAAAAGAAGCATGTGTCTGTTTTCGTGCTCTGTTTGCTTCGACCTTGATCTTCTTCTACATCTGGGCTCAAGGCTCTTCTTGTATATTCTGACAGCCACCAGCTAGGAGTAGAAAAAGAGAGCCATAGCTGCTTGTGCTTACAGGACTGAGGTTAGGACGTCATATGGCCAGGACACATTCCTAACTTTCTCAAAGCCATCTCTTGATGCTTCCTTACCGGTTTTCGATCTAGGAGCATGGACAATTCCGGGCGAATCCCGTCGGCCCCCCATTTCGCATCCTAGGAGCTCTCAGTCTCTGCAGTGTCCAGCTCGGAGGCGGAAGCCTTTCAGCGCTTTGTGCAGAAATTCCACCGCAGCTACGAGGTCGGACAAAGCGGACGCGGGGGCACGGGAGGGGGGGGGGGACATTTGGGCGGTTCATGTTTTTTTTCGTTGCACTTTTCTGGGTTTGCAGGAAACCAAAAAGAAACCTGGGTTGCGCAAGTTCTTAGTAATTCGAAGGGCAATCCACAAGGTAATGGTTCGGTTCGGCCGGTCAGTTTTTCGTGCCCTAGAAGGTGATCACCTGTTCTTTTCTGGGTTCTCTAGGGGCAATTGAGATGTGGATTGTCTGTGTTTTGCAGTCACTCTTCCACATTGTTGCGCATCTTGGCCCGGATGGATCTGGGTACCTTAAAAGAAGCGTGGCCCCTTACAGATCTGTGTGTGTGGCTTTTTGCTTGTCTCCGGCTCGGTGCCCTTTTAAGGAAGAACCAACCGGCAGTTCAAACATGAAAGCCACAAGTTGTTTGGGGTGCCCCCTCCCCCCCGGCCTCCCGCAACATCCGGGGGCCTTTCTTTGAGCTTTAGAGCGTCCAGGCCGTGGTTTGAAATGTCGCGACGAGCTGCACCGGGGCAGGGAGAATTCAGGGATGGCGGGTGGCTGGAGCCCTATGACAAATGGGAGAAACCTACCAACTGGTGCAGGATTCTGTCCATCCACGGAAATTATGAAACCCCATTCAGCCTTACCAAGCCGTTCTTGCCAAGAAGGGCCCTCCTGAAGGGGGGGACTTGTGTATGGCTTCATTACCCGAATTTTGAGAAGACCAGCGAAATGAGGACCTATAGATCCAAACTCGAGCTTGGAAACCCAAATATGAGGCCGTCTCCAAATATGGTGTTCCAAGTTTTGCCCCCAATATGTATCCTTTGCTTTTCTAAGACGTTGCAAAATGGGTTTGTATTGTTCTTTTGGTGTCCCTTTGTTTCCTTTTACGTTTTAAGGGCACCCGAATCCCATGGTGGCTCTCAGGCCTGAAAAGGCTTCTCACCGCTTGAGCCGAGGCCTTCGATCTCTAAAGCCTTACCCTTGGGCGGGAGCTGGGTATTGGTCCCCGGAGTTTCCCGCACCACAGAGTTGGGCGGCGGGAGGCAGGGTCCCTGAAGGGGGAAATTCAAGCGGATCACTATACCCAGGTTGAATTGTGCTCCAATTCCTTTAGAAGCGGCCATACCTCAAAGACGGAGCTCGGAAAGCCATTGGCATGTACCACATTCCCCAGTTCAAAGGTAGTCTTGCTGGTGCTCAGCTGGGAATGAAGGAATGACCCCTATAAACCTTTCAACTGGTGGTTTCCTTTAAGGGAAGCACTAGGTTCACTCCCACATTCCCACATCTCTTCGGAACCACTTGAGTCATACTCAAAACCCGGTATCAAAATGGTCTACCCTGAACCATGCTTCAAGAAGTATGAAGGCGAATTCCAGCTATTTTTATGCTTGGGAGTATCTCTTACAAAGCCTCAATCTCCCGGGTTTTGCGCCCGTGGCTCACTCGCCGAGCGCTCGCCGTCGCAGGCCGGCAGCTCAGAGTTCCTGCGGCGCCGGCGCCTCTTCGCGGAGACTCTGCGCGCCGTGGAGCGCCAGAACGCGAAGCCTTCGCCCTGGAGGGCGGCGGTGAGCTTTTTGGCGGACCGCACGGCCGAGGCGAAGCGAAGAAAGACGTGGGGACCTTGGTTGTGTCCTTGCTGGTTTTGCGGGAAAAATGGAGGGCGATGCCTGGTTTACCTGGTGGTTTCATCATCCACCAGGGCCATCTATTTGGACACCTATGGTGGGGACATGAGCCATGTGCTCAAAACCCGAGTAGATGAAGGCTAGTAAAGGATTATCCCACCTATAAATGGGTGCAGCCGCCTTTGCAATTCCTTTCGTGGCTTTGGGTAGGCCATTTTAATACCAGGTTTTGATTATGACTCGCATGGGTTCCCTCTGTCCCCTCGTTGGGTTGGTTTCAATATCACCTTTTCGTGACCCAATGACAAGACGAACCTCGCAAATTGGTTAGCAAGAGGAAATAGCTGGGTCCTGAAAATAGTTTCAGAGCCGCTAAAACATTCACTTTAAGGGACCCAGGAGGATGGTGCATGTTCTTCTTAGAACCAGTTGTCCAGAACCAGTTGTCCACGAGTCCCTAAAGACACTCCACTGCCTACCGCCAAGGGACCACGCAAGTTCGTCTTGATTTGGCTTTTAACCATTTTGAGATTTTCTAATCCCGTCCTGATTATTTTCCTTAAGGATGTTTTCGGGGGTTCCATGTTAGTGGGCAGGAGGGTATCAAGCTCACTCCCGACCTTTCCATACGATGTTTTATTTTATCTTTGTGAATCCAGGGTCCCATCTCAGAAATGGCTTTAGAAGACACCAACGCCAATATTAGCTACAACTTCAAAGTGGATCCCGCTAGAATCCCATTGACATACATCGTTCAATCCATTTAAGTCCATCACAGTATGAACTCCATACCACCCCCACCTAGTTTTTCCTCATGTCCCAGATCCCCGTTTGTAGTGTCCAAAAGCAGTTGTTGCGCTCTGACACTGTTGAGTATCGCACTTCCCAAGTTCTTGGACTTGAAGCTCTTTGTGAAGATCATTTTAGAGGTAAACAAAAGGTTTGGACCTTTTTGGGGGGGGTGTGCCACTAAAGTATCACTTCCTTGGTGGACCATCTACTCTTGGGCCATGAGTGAGATGTTTCGGGGGGAGTCGGCCAGGAGGTGGCCCAACTCCACGGTTACCGCCGCTTGGGTCTCGGAGCTCTAGCGCCGATGGCGCCCTCGCCATCGGGCTCCTTCCTGGAGCGGTCGCGGCGCCTCGGTGACCACGTGCCTTGAAGCATGGTCGGGCCAGGAAACTCACTTCCTGAGTTCATGAACTTTAAACTTTTTGGGTTTGGACCATTTCAGTGGTAAATATGAAGTTCGAACTTTTTTTGGGCCATCCACTCAGCCAGTGAGTTTGTCGGGCCAGGAAAAACCGGGTCAGCAGAACCAGCTACCCACAGCCAGCTGCCAACAGGGTTGGGCCGAGCCGTTTTTGTTGAATCCTTCTAAAGCGGCTTGGCTTTGAAGGCAACCGCACCCCGGTGGTTGCAATGCATCTTGCCCAAGCCTGAAGATCAGGGGCCCCACCACCTTTTGCACTTCTCCAACACCATTTTGCCCTCCCAATCAACATGGAACCTGACGTTCGGGCGGGTGGAAGACCATGTTCCTTTTCAAGGACCGCCTGTCAGGTTCCCTGCTAGTTTGCGGGAGGGGAAAATGGTTTCGGGACCCCAGGGTTGGGCCAGGAACACCGCAGGGTTCGGAGTCTCTGTGCGTAGGCCCAGATTTGCGGCACGTCTCCAGTGCCCTGCTGGCAGCAAGCAGAGCCGAACATCGCGCCCTCGAAAGGGGGAGTCCAAAACACTTCAATATGTTGTGAGCCAAGAACCCACGAAAATGCCGATGCGGTTGGTTTTCCTGCACCCCTAAGTTGCTCGTCCAAGTCGCGCCATGTTCCCTTCAAGGATACCAAATCGGAGATGTTTTATCTCGGGGTCATTCCAGTTCTCATTCCCTGCCTACAGTATCCTCCCATTTGCTTATATAAGAATCTGTTTTTCATACTTTCCCTTGTTGGTTTTCAAGGGAGTTTATCACTACCGGACATATTGATTGACTTTTTCCATGGACCTCCTGCGCAAATGGCCCTTCTCCCAGCGATCGCCCGACGCGTTTCAGGCACCGGGAGCTTCCGGCGGAGGTGAGCTGGGGCCATCTGTGGGCCGCGCAGCCCGGGAAGGTGAGGAACCAGAGGCGCCGAGCGCCGTCGGATGCCGTCCGCGCAGTCCGGGACAGGTGGTATAGAGGGGGGCTCCGTGTATTTCTTGTGTGTGTGTGCGTGAGTTTGTGTTTGTTTTTTTATTGGGGGGGTTGGGGGGGAAGATGTTTTTGAGAGACGCAAGGAAATTGCAGTTGTTCAGCGGCCCCATGTTTCCTTTGTTTGGTGGAAGTTCTCGGGAGGGCATTTGTCAGCGCAAAGGGAACATGAACTGAACCCAGTGGATTCCGCACCTTGGTCTTCGTCTTGGAAGAGAAGGGTTGGTCTCCAACGACCTGTTGCGTCCGACTCGAGTTTAGTGACGGGAGGGTGAATCTTTTCACCGCGGTAACCTTTCACTTCTTGACCTCCCCTGCAATCTAAGATGAGCCCGATAAGAGGGTCCCTCAAAAGCAGATTACTCTTGAAATGGGTGGTTTACAGGTACTCTACGTTACCTACTGAATCTTACAACGTATTTTTGTAATATCTCTTTGAAGGAACCCCCAGCAAGCAAAGACGGCGAGGCGTTTTGTTGGACGGAGCCAGGTGTTCCAACTGCTGGGCGGCTGCCACTTCCACTTTGATGGAGCTTCACATCGAGCTCCACTTCGGAGCGAATCGTAACTTGGTTCGCAGCCATCCGGTTCCCTAGCTTTTTAGCTTTTCAGCTTTTTAGCTTTTTAGCTTTCTGGTTAGTTTAGTGGTTGGATTTCCAAATTTAACCCACAAAAAGTGATTGACTTTGAGCAGTGGATCTGCAAACGGCCCGCCCAGTAGGCGGTTCCCAGCTTCCATGATTGGAGGATCCCCCCTCTAAAACTGGAATTGGGGGATGGGGTGACCCCGGCAGATCTCCATTTGCGATTCCACGTTCCCCATGGGGAATACTGGATAAATAGAATTGGGGGCCCGGGTCCCCCCTCTGCCTCAAGCTAGGGGGGATATTGGAGGCATCGGAAAGGGCCCCTACTTTGCCCATCGAAGGGAGTTCCTAAATGCCTGGCACGCAGTTGTTCAGTGGAGTCCACCCTCCAAATCCATTGTTTGTTGGCCTCTCCACTACACACGGGTTCCTTTTCCACCAGGCTGACCGAGTGCGGGGAAGTTGCCTTTGGGCGAACCCTTTCGTGTTGCAAAAAAAGAACAAGCAATCTTGAATACTTGCATTTTTGTTTGAAGGCAACTTGTCTTCCGGCGCCCATGTTCTTAAAGTGCTAGAGACCATTGAATCGGCCACTGAATGCAACCTCCCCCAATGGTTTTCAGCGGGTCCCATGTCCTTTCGTAGCGAAGCCACGAATTTTCGTCGGGGGTGCCCTTGTGGACCGGATCTTTTCCATGTTCTCAGCCATGCGGCGATGGGTCAAAACCCAAATCGGTTAGCCCCCAGTGAACATCCGATTCAATCGCCGCTAAAATAGGAAGCCTAAAATGGGTGGTGAATTCACCTAGCCCAAAATGGGATCCCAAAACGGTGTTGACCCATGGGATCCCATGTCTTTTTTGTTGTTTTTTGTCTCAGCTTGTTTTTTGCCTCAAACCTGCAGAGCGCGGCACAAATCCCCTGAGAAGTTGTTCGGAAGTCCCCGAAAGAAACAAGGTGGTACCCCCAACAGCTCCTTTTGAACCCCTCCTTTTGAACCCTCCCAAGCTGCCCAAACCACCCCAGAGCATATCTGGGCCTATCGACCCCATAGCTTTCAGCTCTTGGGGAGAACAGGACGTACAGGTCGAACTTTATTCGAGGTGACCTCTTGGTTTTGGATTGGCTTCGTCATCACACCGAAAGGGCTTGGGCAAAACGGGTTTCAACACCAAGGGGCCTACTAAAATAGACAGCAAAAAAAACGGGTGCCCCCTTATTCGAACCTCTCAAATCTGGACCTAGACATTGTGGTTTCATGGGTTTAGCATCGGAGGTTTGAATTTGTTCTGCCCGGGTCCGAAGGGTAGCTCCAGATCCTTTGGGCCAAGAACTTCTCGTGCTCGCTGCATCGTGTTTTTTTCTTTTTTCTTTTTTCCCCCGGGTTTTGCCAGCGCCATGTTGCTGTTCAGTGTCTTGCTGGGGTTTTGCCTGTGTTTAGCGGTGCTGCGAAAACCGCTTGAAGTCAATGTGGGTATGTTGGGTTGGTGGCTTCTGGGGTTTGTTTGGAAGTGTTTCGTGGTTGGATTTTCATTTAACCCAGCAAAACTTAAACTTTTAGCGGGGGATCCGAGGTTGAACAGGGGGCAATACATATTGCTTTGAATGCGCCGAATTTGTCCCAAAGGAAACAAGGGATTTGCTTCGATTGACCGGGGACCCGGCTGATGCCCAGGTACGGTGAGCGTGGAGTCTGTGACGCAGTGTACGGAGGAGCCGATCCCTGAGTTGCCGTTGCTTTGGCTATCAAGTGTGTTCATGTGGGTGTGGCTCAAAACTAACCAGGAGGGGTACGCAGGTTTTGGTCCATGTTTCCACTTACCAGGGTTCCATTTTAGTACCGGTTTTTTGAGCCACAGCCATGTCGTTTTCCTCAGGCATTGCGGACACACGTTTCTGAAATCTGCATGCTAAAAAACGTGTTTTTTTCGCCATGTTGTTTTCCTCAGGCGGTGTGTTTCTGCACGCTTCTCCATGTTCCAGCAATACGTTTTTGCTGCTTTTCCATGGTTTCATGTTTCTCAGCTTTCCGGAACATCAACATTTCTTATTTGTTTCCATGTTTCATGTGTTTTGATGTCGCATTGTTTTCAGGTCACCTGATTTGATGTGATCCCTGGCTGAAAACTTTCACGGAACCACAAAAGCCAGAGTCCCATGCGGACTCCACTGGCAAGCAATGCTTATGGAGTTGCGAGCTTCCAACGCTTGAATATGGGTCTGTCTTGTTGCGGGTACCGTTTTGGGGGTTGGTTTAAAGGGAACTGAAAGGAGAGCCGCCAAGTTTGAGTGTGATTTTGAGACACACCCATACCACCACCCCACTTTTTGGGGTTTCGTCCCTTCGTTTGAGAGGCAATTCGCTGCCAGGACCCATTCAACTGCGGGGGGACTGGGGGCTGCGGGGGCTCCACTCCGGAACTGGCGCTGCAGAACATCCTGGTCAACGGCATAGGTGGCGAGGGAGGTTGTCTTTGGGTGGTGTGTACTCACTCCCTGAGTTCTGGACTTTAAACTTTTGGGAAGACCATTTTAGTGGCAACCGAAAGTTTTGGACTTTGTTTGGCCCATTTAGGAAGTGAGTGTATTATTTGGTGGCTTTCATCTTACATTTGCTTAAGAATCTCTCTTAGTTTCCTCTGTTGGTTTTAAGGGAATCTATCACCATTGCAAAATACATCGTTTTCGTGAAGGGCACTCGAACAAATGGACGTCATGTTTTGTGCTGATATGGGTTTGTCTCAAAATAGGGGAGCCCTCCCAAAGTGGTGGCGTCCTTCTGGTTTGATGTAAGTTAAACCCCAAGCAGGGTGCACTCAAAAGAACTTGCTGGTGCTCAGCAGGGAATAAACCTTGCGATTCCCTTCAAGGACAGCAAATCGCGGATGGTTTGTAAGGGTCGCAGGGAATGAACCTGGGAATTCCCTTAAAGGAAACCACCAGTTGGATGGTTCATAGGGTCATTCCATTTCTCATTCCCTGCGTCTCTCGCACCAGCAAGAAAAGACGCTGGAGTGGACTAAGGATACATTTTACATTTTTCCAGTGACTCCAAGTGAAGCAAGCAACAAAATATACATTCTATAAGTAGGCCTAACTCTATTCATGGACAGACCCATGGCAGGTGAGAAGGAGGATGTCGCGGAGTGCGGCGCTGGCAAGGCTATCGTGGACCCCCACGAGCCTAGTCCCCACGAGTGGATGCCGGGCATGCGGGCTGCGGCGGCAGACAGTCCGGCCAGGAGCTTTGGCATGGACGCTTGAAGAGAAGATTCCACCTTGGTGCATTTTGCTCGGATGTTAGGACTTTAACTTTTTGCCAACTAATGGGTTTTCCATTAAATCGCTAAAAGTCAAACTTTTAGCAGGGGAGCAGAAAGCAACTTTTAGCAGGGTGTCCTTTTTTAGTTTGACTACAAATAGAAGGGTCACACTGGTTTAGGTGGGGTTTCTTCCATTTACCAGGGAAACCCATCTATGTTTCCAAAAGGCCACCTACGTCATTTATGTTGAACAGAAAATTCCACGAGGGCGATACTGTGGACGACATCCATTTCGCACCGCCTAAGAAACTATTCACTACAGGACGTGTTGTCTCCTTTTTTTCCAGGAGCTCAAGCAAATGTAAGCTGTGGATGGTTGCGAAGTCCATTTCGCACCACCGTTCAGAAACCGTGGGAAACCACGGCTTGTTGAAAAACATGCAGGGGAATCGAATCATTTCAGGGTTTCACAGGGCAAAACGTGTCAACAACCAGCTCCTGGTTTGTTTCGAGAGGGAGGTCAAAACTTCCATTTGCTGAAGAGCACATGTTTGTATTTTCTCCTGTTGATTTTGAAGGGAATCGATCTCACTTCTGGACATATTATCATTTTTTCCAGGGGCTTAAAGCAAATGTAAGCTGTGCATGGTTTCGAAATCCAGTTCGCACCACCTGAGAAACCCTGGAATGATGCTTAGGTATTAAAGTCGGATTAATAAGCCTTCCCCCCTCCCACCCATCAGAAGGTCAAACCTCAGATTAAACGGATTATATAGAATGTTAACATCAATGTGGAAACGGATTCACACACCCCTTTGTGATTAATACTGGGGTGTCCTATTTTAGCGGGCGTCCGGATCAATTTTGTCGGGGCTTAATTCTCCATTACTTTGAGACACAAGGCAGTCATGATCATGGCATGCATTTGCCCATGTTATGCAGAACAGGGCCTGTTCTGATACAAATACCAGCGCGACTGTGTTTATGGGTTCTATCAAACAGTTTGTTCTGATTGCTTACACCACAGGACAATAGGTCAGTTCTCATCCGAAAGGAACCAATTTGATAGTTAGAACCCATTTGGGGGTCACCCAAGTAACCATAAATTGTTGCTTTGGATTGGTGGTTTGGGGACTTGAACCTCCAGATCCTCTTTAAACCAAAGGAGATACGGCCCCGCCCACAAACTCCAAGCCAGCAGCACCCATTTGGGGGCGCTTGAAGACAGGAAATAGGATTGGCCTCTAAGGAAGTTGATGTTCACCACTCTGAGAAGCTGACTATTCAGCTTCCCTTTGCTTCCACCAATTTCGGTTCATTCCAATGGAGCCGGAATGTTTTTTGGTGAGCTCAGGTGACAACGAACTCATGATGTAGGTTCTTTGGTGGTCGATCCCTTTTTTGCAGTTATTGTTTAAATGTGGATTAGGACCCTACCTAGGATCTCCTTCAATATTATTTTGTAAGGTTGACCAACTATTTGAATAATATAGCTTTGTGCCTGGTTGGGCCAAGCTAGAGACTAGGTCCCTGAAAATGAATATGTGGGGTCAGAATTACTTTGGTGGCAAAGCAAGAAACAGCACTTCAGGCCGCAGAATGTGTGAAAAACTACTCCCCGGGTCCGGGTGCTCAAAGCAAAGCTTAAAGAAGGTTGTTTAAGCAGGTGGGTGTTGATCAAAAGGTCCTTTACATGAGATGACCATTGGGGGAAACTACTAAAAAGATGATACTTCCCACTAAATGAGAAAAGTTACCCTTAGTCATTTGGGGGCCAAAGGGCAGCTTGATCAACCCCCAAGTGTTAAACATGTGTTTAAACGGACTGGCCACTTCTGGCGTTTCACTTTTCGGTTGTGCTCTTTGACCTTAAATCCGCGAAGACGCCAAGGACCCCCCTGAGTGTAGGGGCTTAAGCCTTAGCGCCAATATCCAAATAGTTTGGGCCAGTCTGGGGGTATCATCAGTTCTTCCCAGTGTTTTGCCACGTTCGCAGCATCCCTGTTTGGCAAGTTCAAAAACAATCTGGTTAGTTCTACCTCTATGCTCTCAAGCTAGGTTTGCCGTGGATGAAAGGGCTGCCATCCAAAAAGGATGACATGTTGACCCTAGGTCAATGAAGCTTGCTGATTGATAGGGATCCACTCCAAAATAAAACACCCCGTGGTTATTAATCCCGGGTGCCTATCAACCGTTTGGAACCTCTGGTTTCCTTGGTGTCCGTCGCGCAGTGAGCCCCAAAGAACCCGCTGGTTCTGGTATCTGTTTAGACAAGATACCAAATACCACCTGGAAAACCTAGGTCAATGGTGGAACGAGTACCAAGATGATAGAACCACTCCGTTCCAAAAGCCCTTGTCACCTTTGGGTTTTCCTCAAGGTGGTCACCTCCTATTCCTGGGTCTCAGTTCAAAGCGAATCGACCTTGCAACCTTTCGGTTTTCCCCCTTTTTCCCACTTGAACAGGTCCCAAAAGGTGATCACCTTTCAGGCCTTTTGCGTTTTTCCCCAGCCGGAAGCTATGATCATCTCTGCCCAGATAGGTTCTCGACAAGTTGCGGCATATCGAATCGGGGCTGGGTCCCGATACCTGGGCTGATAAGAAATACAGTGGATGGTGGCGAAATCCAGAAATGCACCCAAGAAACCACGGCTTTCCCCACGTTGTTGGTCGGTACCAGGGGAATCATTGATCATTCAAGGGTGCCTGAACGGTGCCTAAGAGGAGTTTGCCCATCCACATCCTCATTCTTTCCAGGAATCCTTCTTTCTAGAAAACCATCAGAAACCCAGGGAAACGGCTGGTTGTTGCAAAGAACGATGCTTGAAAAGAAGGGAAATGGAGTCAACTGCTGGGATGGTCGACTTTTCTCGGTGCCATGGCGGATGGATTCGGCCCAGGTGGGCTGGGAGCGGCTGAGGGCGAACCGCGGGGAGGTTTTGATGCGCGCGCTGGCGGAGAAGGGCCCTGTGGCTGTGGCCATCTCCACGGACTGGACGGCAGCTCGCCTGGCTCAAGACAGCCGGTTTGGGGGGGGGGGGGGGGGGGGGGGGGGGGGGAGGGGGGTGGGAAGGGGGTCCCCCAGCAATTGGTGCCCGATTCTTTTTTTGGTTTGGGTTTGGGTTCCCCTACTAAAATAGACCTTCCAGCAAAAAGGGTACCCTTATTCTAACCTCTCTACTGGAGGACCTAGGTAAGATGGCCGATTTGGGGTGGGGGTGGGGTTGGGGTTGGGGTTGGGGGTTGCTTCGCTGTTGTTTGAGGTGTTTGTTGGTTTTGTTGTTGGGTGCTGTTCATTTCTTGGGGGCTGCAAAAAATAAAGTTGTTTGCTACAAGTACCATACCAAGGGTTGTGAAGGTTAGTGTTGCGAAGGGGTAGTGTTGGCTTGGGGTTGGTTTGGGTTTTGGGGGTGGGGGGGTGGGGTAGTGTTGGGAGGGGGGTAGTGTTAGTTTAGGGGTTGGTGGGTTTAGAGATTTGTTTAGGGGTCGGTTTGGTTGTTTTTGGGTTTTGGGGGTGGGTTCAGAGATTTGCTTAGGGGTTGGTTGGTTTAGGGGTTGGTTTTGGGTTTTGGGGGTTGGTTCAGAGACTTCTTTGGGGGTTGGTTGGGGGGGGGTAGTGTTGGGAGGGGGTAGTGTTGGTTTAGGGATTGTTTTTTGGTTTTGAGGGGGCTAGGGTGAGGTTTGGGGTTGGTTTAGCGGTTTGATATACTGTATACATTATAACCCACTGATATACCACTACCCACTAACCCAGTAAATGCCGGTTTCGGACACAGTAATCGTGACCACCTCCCCATGGCCCCCACAAGGTCCATGAAAAGCGCCAAAGCAACGGAAAACCCCAAAGACGTTGGTTAGGGCAGGGTGTTGCGTTTGTTTAAGGTGCGATTAGGGTGATTAATAGTCCACCAAGATTGCGCCAGGAAAAGGAGCACCATTTGCCCGCTCATTTTTTGCCCACTTGGTGCAAGCAGAACGTCCATTGGAACCTCGCACGTCCCTTGGCCCTGATTTTTGTTCCGCCTACATCTGCCATCCAGATCTATGGCAGCGGCATTTTCGATGGCTGCAGCAGCAGGAGCTGGGCAAGAGGGATCCAGCGGGCAAGGGAGCGCAAGGGTGCTGATCGAACGCCGTAACTGTGGTTAAATGACTTATTAAGTCGATTCGTGCCATGGTAAACATATGTAAACATAGAGCTTCTTTTTTTAACCTCAGTTGCAGCTATGGTTGTAACGACCTAGATACCAAGTAGTGTTTGCACATCCTGTACAGGAGCCTCCTTTGGGGGTAGGGGTCTTGGGCTTTGCAGGAGGGGGATGCTGAGGATGCCGAGGTTTTCGTCCCTCCTGTTAAGGCAGCGCTTGGTAGGGCCCATGACTTGTTTGGCGGTGGGGTTTTTACGCATCACCTTGTAGGTGTCGTTGTTTGTAGTATTGTTCTGCTTGGCTTAAATCGGCCAGTGCAAAGTGAACTTTCCTTTGGGTAGCGGAGGGCCTTGACTTTTGATCTGCAGGGCTACTGGATTCGAATCCCTAAACCCTTTTGCAAGGGAAGACTCTGGGAACATGAGGGTGGCCGGGGTAACGCTTAAATGGAGGTTTATCAAAATGGTGGACCCCTTTTAGTAACAGGACGCCGTTGCAATTTTTGCCCAAATTGTGATATTGTTCTGGGCTTGTTTCCCAACCATCAGACTTAGCTTGCTCTTTTGACTTGATGATGTTGCCTTTTGGGAGAACTTTAGTTGCTTTTTAGATGGAAATCAAAAGGAAAGCCGGGAGCAATTTTGTGGCTCCAATTGTCTTTTTAAGACACCTCGACTCACTCCCTGAGTTCCTGGACTTTATACTTTTTGGGGCCACAGAAACTTCGAACTCCTATTTTAAGACACCTCTGTACTTGTTTGCTGGACTTTCCTAACTTCCATTTTCGCGGAAAACAAAGAGGTGCAGAGTTTTTTTGTTTTGCTTATCCACTCAGGAAGTGAGCCCGTGCCATGCGTGGGTCGAATGGGAGCTCCCCCGATTGCATCGCCTCGCGGGTTCGTTACGTAAACAACATATTCCCCTGCGAGTTCGTTTAACGGGTTCTGATCCTCAACATGAACTTCTAGATCCCCCAGTAGTACCCTTTCACCCCTTTTTTTGGGGATACTAAAGTAGACTGCAGAAAAAAAGGTGCCCTTATTCTAACCTTTCTACTGGAGGACCTAGACTTCCGCTTGGCCGTGTTCATTTTGGAGAGTAAGGTCCTTTAAGTCGCAAAACATGTTTGTAGGTCGGGTGCGGGGGCTATGCGGCCAAAGCCTACGTACCCCTTGCCCTTGCAAGGCTTTCTTTTGCACGCCAAAAGTCAACGTTTCGAACTTCCAAGCTACTCCCATGGCCATCTAGCTGCCGAACTCAGATCTTGGTTTCGGCTGGCAGGGGCCTGGAGTAAAGCTGCCGGAACCAAAAGCTGCTGGACTTTGAGAGCTTTGTGGTACCAACCGTTTGGACGTTTTTTGGGCGGAATCCACGCGCGAAGTGAGACAGGAAGAGGGTTAGGTTTTTTTTTCAGACCTGGGAGCCGTGACCGCAAGCTGACTCGAAACTGGGGAGGGCTTGAACAAAGACATGGGACAGTTGGGTTCAAGAGGGTGTGTCGATCTTTTTGAGGGGATCCCAGTTTGGCTGGCGTTTGAAAGGGAGAGGGATTCAGCTGGCTTGGGGCGCTCCGGTATCTTGAGACATCTTTGTGTTTCTCTTTTCAGGGTTGCCATTCGAAACCCCGTTGCGATCGGGAGATCGGGAAGCACAGCCCTTTTGACCGGGAAATCGAGGACTCTTGTCGCGAGAAGTCTGACCGAGCGAGATTCTGATCCAATCCAACTGGATCTACGGCCGACCTCTTCCCCGCTCGGTGTAAAGACTTTCCCTGTGATTACACTCACAGCAGCGGCCCAACTTTTGTCCCACCGAAAAGGGACATGTCACATGTCTCAAGGAGCGTTGACGCCAACCAACGGTTTTATTCGTGGTTGAGGCTTGATTCAGACAAGGATAGTTTTTGAAGGTACAGCTAGAAAGTTGCCCCCCCTTCCCCCCACACTCGCAAAGAAGAATCAGCAAAGCGACCGGGTGATATCCCCAACAGCAAACCCCTTTGAACCCTTGGAGACCGACCAAACTCCAAACCACGAGCCCGGGTGGGTCAACCCCAACCTGGACCTTCCATTGATACCTTCTGTGCTCGCAGTTGTTCTGCTCCGCACGATTTGTGCCCGATGCTTCAATTTCTGCCCGAGCAATGAAGTGCCTGAGGTTGATATTTGCAACTGAGAACTGAGCAAATTTGCGCTCGTTTGCGGTATCAGGACCTGACAGCCCGCATGCCTCCAAAAACTGCTCGAGGTCCAAAAAAGAGGACAAGCCAAAAAAAGTACGAAATCCAAAAAGCAACCGATTGACTAGTATAGACTAGGAAAGCAGAAATTGCAGGTACGTTGGAAGGTCCAGGAACAAAAGCCGCTCCCCACTCCAAAGCAACACGGGGGAAAAAATTAAAAAAAAAGCAGAACACGCAAAAACACAAAGCAGGATCTCCCCCAGCAACAAGCGGAAAAGGACATCAACAAAAAGCACAGCACCCAAAAACACGACGGTCCCTGCGCCGTTTTAAAGCAGGAATGCGGTGATCGGCCACTCGGTGGTCCTCATCGGCTACGGGGAGGATCCCACGATTCGGGGCGACCGGGCGATGCAGCTCGGCTCCCAAAGGGCGAGGCGGTGTCCGGTACGGCCCATTCAAAGCCCTCGAAGGAAAGTTGTTTACTACTTGGTGGCTCCCAGCCATCCGGTTCCTTAGCTTTTTAGCTGTTTAGTGTTTAGTGGTTGGAGTTTCATTTAACCCACTGAGAGTTAAACCTTTAGTGGGGGATCTGAGGACAGCCCAGTTGCTAGTTAACATGTTTTTCACCTTACCGCAAAAGTAGAGATAATCGCTGCATGCTTAATGCATATTTCCACCAGTAATTAGGCGTGCGATCCTGTTTCCAGCTCCCCGCAAGACGTCCCAGAAGCACAAGATACCGCAAAATGCAGTGTGTGTTTGTGTGTGCGCTTGTACCTCGGTTCTTGGCTGTTTCTTCCTGACCTTCTTTTTTGCGGGTGCCGGGGTTCCTTTTTGTGTGCCCCAAGCCGGTCCGTCAAGAAGCCAGCGCAGCAGTCGGCATGCACAGAACTGAGGAGAAGCTCTTGATGGGGTAATCTTATCGTTTGGAAGGCGCGGCGGCTCTTGTCATTTGGCAGGCGTGTGCAGTGCTGAGCGGATACTCTGCAGCTGGTGTGCTTATCAGCTGAGAGGGTGCGCTTGAGCAGGTTTGCTTATCATTTAGCAGGCGTGTGTGCGCAGCGCTGGGCAGATGCTCTTGAGCTGGTCTGCTTGTCGTTTGGCAGGCGTGTGTGCAGTGCCCAGCAGGTGTGCAGTGCCCAGCAGTGCCTAGCAGGCGTTCATTCCTCGACAACACCCTGGGCCAAGCAAGAGGCTTCAAGCAGTCAAACCTGGCGCGGGCGCACAGGAATGATGGGAAGCGATTGTTCCAACAGATGCAAACACATCTCGCGCTTTTTGACATGTGCAGCATGGCCGGCTTTCCCTGCCACACACGGGCTCCCGCGTTTCCCCAGCTCGAGATCTTCAGTTGCAAGCGAGTCGACCGGCTATTGAAGTTCCCAACTTGTTTTTCCTTGTCCTTCCCCCACAGATGAGCGCCTTGTATGTCCAGCTCCTTTGGGCAAGTGGTTCATATTCTTAGGACATGAAGCCCATGAACTAAAGAGGGACTCCTTCAGACCAAGCCCTACACACAACCCTGCACCAGGATTTGGTCCATCCACAGTATAAATCCCTTCCTGGTTGCCAACTGAGGAAGTACTGGCTGCTGCAGAACTCTTGGGGCTCTTCCTGGGGCGAGAATGGGCGCTTCCGCCTGAAACGCCACGCGCCGGAGGCGGAAGGAAGCTATCAAGGAAACAATCGAAGTCGCACAGGTGACACCAAAAAGAAAGCACAAGTTTTGGTTGGTTCCTGCTTTTGAAACAAACCCATTTCTCCTGTTTGGTCGAGTGATTTGCGCTTGTTGAGGTGGCTTTAAAGGAGAACCAACGGAAAACCGTAGGACATATTGAGAGATCGTGCCATGGACTATGTGGCAGCCAAAATATCCAACAGGTGCAACATAGACCCGATTGGTGTCCACCAATCAGGTAACCCTTAGTTGGTTTGTTGGCGGGGGGATTTGAACCCCTGGTTCTGGTAGAGGGTTTTAGGAAAAAAGTCACCCGAACACAGCGAGGGAAGCAGCTTTCATGCGGACTTGCCTCATGGGTTGACTATGTCTGTCATGCCAACCCCGGATCAATCAAGTTTCCCAGGCAGTGATCCGGATTCCCTGGCTCATGTCGAAAAAGGGCGCGGGGAGGCTGCGGGCCCGAGCCCCCCGCCTTGCCCCGCTGCCCGCCAGCCACCCGAGCCATAGGTGGAGCAGGCCTTCTGCGGCCACGACGACCAGCCGCAGCTGGGCACCACCTGCGACAAGGGCCCCGCCTCGGTGGAGGTCTGCGGCACCTGCGGGATTCTGTTCGAGCCTTGGGTAGCGAAAGTGGAAAGTTTGCGAGCTTTTGGGGGGGGAGAGAGTGGAGGGAGGGGGGAGCCCGGAAGGAGGACAGGGTCCAAGGTAGGGAGATGTTCAGATGGGAGGCCAGGGTTGGCATTTTAAGGGGTTTGGTTCGGGTGTTGAACTCTGAACCTCTTTGTCGATTGGTTGTGGAAGGCGTTTTGTGGCAAGGTCGCCGACTAGAATTTGAGTTCCATCAGATTTCAGCAAGCCCTGTTTCTGGGGTGTACCTCAGAGTTGGATTGTGCCTTGTGTATGCTTTGGCTGTGGTTCTTGTTTATTGCTTGCTGGTTGTGTTGTGCGCTTTTCGTGTGGATTTCTGACATGTCTTTTACGACAAACAAAGGCTTCGGGGTTGGGAAAGGGGGGAAGGTGTCCAGACCCGGGAAGACTTAAAGACAGTCCCTTCTGCTATCAGAAAAGCCCTCAGGTGGTGGTTACCAAGCATCCAAGCACCAAGCTAAGCCACCCATTTGAGGGAAACTGATTATATGCGAGTTTCTCAAGGTTAGGGACCAAGTAGTTGCAAAGACAAGAAGCCACATTGGTGTCACAGAAATGGTTCTTGCCCGCAACAATGATGAGTTTCTCAAAACTACTGACCCGTTTTTTTTTTTTTTTTTTTTACGAGTACCAACAGCACGCCAGTACTTTGGCACTTTTAGGTGACCCCTATTTTGAGAAACGTTCATATACAATGTTTGTTGTTTCCTGTTGCCCCGGTTTCCTGCTCATTGGTCTTTTGCTTAAATGTTGTGTGTTTGTTTTGTGCTGTGTTTGGCATCCTCTTCAACTGCGGATCGAGGGCATTGAACATTCGAAAGTGAGCGCGGAGTCACCGTTTACCATCCACTCAGGTCCTGAGTGGTTTTGTGTGCTCTTTGGGTCTGATTTTTTTTGTGGGGAGGTTGGGTTGCAGGGAAACCAATTCAGACAACTGCCTTTGTGTGTGTGTGTGTGTTTCTTTTGGGGGGGGTCGTCTAGGAAGACGAGCCACTCATGAAAAGAGGTTCACGCGAAGCGCCTGCTTTGAGCCGCAAGGACACGGTTCTGCCCATCATTCAGAAGCCCAAGTGAGTGATGCTTTCTGGACACCGCTTCCTGCGTGCAAAAGGCGCCCGCGCGGCCCAAGACCCGACGCCAGGAAAGGCGGAGTGCAGTTGGGGGTGTCTTTTTGGAACCGCTCTCAAAATGGTGGCTTTCCTTTGAGTTCGCCTTTGAAACTAGCCAGAAAGGGTTCCCTTCAAAAACAAGACACACCCATTGTGTGAGCTGTTGTTTTTTTAGTTGTTTTCTTTCTAGGAGTTCAGAAAAATGGACCACCGCACATGATTCTTGGCTCCCCATAGGTCAGGCTGGGGAAAATCGGCCTCCGTCCGATTTTGTTTCTTCTGCAGGACCTGGGATCGTGGCGTACCTACGTGCATACCAGATTTCGGTTCGGTTCCCGGTTCGGCTCCTTAGGCTTTGTGTCGCGCTTTAGGGTTTGGTGGGGGTCTCCGTTTCACCCGCAAGTGTTTTTCTTTTCTTTTTAGCAGGGGATCAGAAAACGGACAGAGGTTAGATACCTTCCCGTCAGAAAAAAAAAGCCCAAGCGGCGATCGCGCTTGCGGGTTGCTCTATACAAAGAGCGTCCAAGCGCAAGCGAGATGAAGCTGAGAGATGCTTTCATTTCCCTGGGCCAGTTTTCCACAAGTGGCAAACCAGAAAAGCAAACCACACCTCAACGAGAGCTCACAGGCTTGGCCAGTTAGCTGGAGCTGGAGGCTTCTCTCTCCTCGAGTTTGTGTTTCGTTTCGAGTTTGTGTCCTTTTTTGTTTTGTGGTTTCCGTTGGGCTGTGTGTTTGTTGTGTTGTTTTGAATGGAGAGGCATGTTCAACGCGTTTGGTATTCCAACTTCATTGACATAATTGTGCCGCAGACTGCGTGGCTTTAATTTGGTATCGGTTCGAGCTGGGGAGTGTATTTTTTGGAGGGTACCCTTCTTTGGGTGGTTTCGAATGGAAACGCACTGAACCCACATGACGCCGAGCAGAGCCGCTCATCCCGAAGGAGTTAAGTGGAACGCGTCAAACCCAGGTAGCATGTTTCCATCAACCCAAGCTTCCCTTTGCTAAAGTTAATGTGTTGTTATTTTCCCCTGTTGGTGTTAAAGGGAAGCTATCACTACCGGATTCTATTTTACTTTTTCTCGGTAAACTTAAGTAAGTGGAAGCAAGCGTTCCGGGCCAGTGAACCTGGGTCAAAACTTGCAGTTCGTCTTGCGTGGTCCCTCCACGTCATCGGCGGGGTGGGTTGGTCGAATTGAAGCGACGACATTTGTGTCACTTCAAATAGATTTCTAAAATTCCGGCGGCCTCCATCTTACATGTTGAGTTGGCAGACAAGCTTTTGTTGAAGGGTCAAGGCAACCAAGTTGAGTCACTGTATTTTCGGCCTTTCACCAAAGCCGGCCAGCCATGAATGTTCTGTGGCAACGGAGACCTTGCTTGGAAGGAGAATATGTGGCAGCTTCGTGGCCATTGTCTGTGTTGTTGTTTTTTTTCGGCAAAGGCGATTGGCCCCGCCCCCCCGGCAGCAAACCTTTGACCTCTTTGACCGCGTCAAATGCTAACCTTTGACTGCAGATGCCATGAGTGAGAGGGCCCCTATGACAGAATCCTTGCCGAATCTCACGCAAGGAACAAATCATATGAGATGGTATGAGCCAGAGCAATATTTAGTGTACCCCAGGTTACATTAGATTCTGAAGCATCTCCTTGACCAGACAGACTGCCGGCCAACTTCGACCGCTTCCCATACTTGGCCCACTCGTTTAACATGTCTCCGCAGACCAAGGCTATCCACAGCCGCTTAATGTACAGGAGGGGTTTAACAGCAAGGTTACGGCCCTGCCACTTAAAAGCACCCCCGCACCCCAAACCCCGCCCCCCCCCCAAAAAAAAATAAAATAAAAATAAAAAATCAAAAAGGAATCTTACCAACAACAAATCACCAGGCCCTCGCTGGACATCCCAAATAGGTGCCTAATCTCTGCCACACCCCAAGTCTCATCTCAAAGCCGGGGACATTCCAGATGAGAGATGGGTATATGGCGAAAACGCGTTTTGGACCCGCAAAACTGGGAGTTGTCCTTCTAGTTGCCATTTCGGACCACTCCAAGCACACAGACACAGCCACACACACACAACAAAAAACACAAAAAGATAAAAATAAAAATAAAACGCAAACAACACAGACAAAGCAAACAACACAGACAAAGCACACACACTACACCAAAAGCACACGCACAGACACCTACCCGAGCCTCCACCCATGTCGGCGCTGCCGTGCTCAGCGCCGCCATGGCGCTCAGCGCGGCTCTGCGCGTCTCGGCCCAGCGCGGCGCAGGCGGCTTGGAGCGAAGCGGCGAAGCATTTTGGAAGCAAGGGAGGGTCTGTATGACAACTACAAGGTAAATCCACTTTGGGCTGTCCAAAGAAACAAACTGGGGAGTGTCTTCTTTCCCTACAAGGGATGGGGGGGTGAGGGATGGGGGGGTTGAGGGATAAGGAAGGGCGGTGAGGAATAAAGACGGGGGGGGGGGGGTGAGGGAGTGTTCTGGAAACAAGGGAATGGCTTATACATTAAAGATGTGAGTGTTTCGTATTTAAAGGTGGTCCACAAAATGGTGGTTGGCCTCTCCACAATCAAAACCGGGTGGATGTTCGCTGCTCTTTAATTCTTGAAACTGGGTTCTGGGTAGAACATTTTATTGCCAGGTTTCGATTACGACTCACATGGTTGTTACAGGGAGCTTTCTTTACGGGGCGCACAAAATGGTGGTTGTCCTCTGCTGATTTCCCCTTAGAACCGCGACAAGCAACCCTCTGAGCCATCAGGCCTTTCTCGCAAAAAAAAGAGGGCCCTGTTGGGATCGGGGAGCTCCTATTGAACAAGTTGCCCATAGGCATCAAAATATCAAAATCGAGGCTTGGGAATTGGGAATCGTAGTCTTCAGTTTTTCCGGTTGTTTTGTTTGCTCTATCTTTTGGAAAATAGATGGGTTTCCCAGGTAAATGGCACAAAACCCATCTAAACCAGTGGGACCCATCATTTGTTTACTTCCTGATCCCTTTGTGCAGGTTGAGCTATGCTGTGATTGCAGCTACGTTTCATCCGCTGGAGCCACCGGCTGAGGCAGCCGCCGGCAGAACGCCCCGCGCCCGAATTCCGCGCCGCGCGGAGCTTCCGCGCCGTGCCGTCGCTGGCGAGGCGCCAGCGCTGCTGGCGCGGTGCAAAGACCTGGCGGTTGCGTGGAAGCCCCGGGGCTGGTGCGACAGGCCCAGGCTGGGAAGTTCTCGGCAAGCGAAGCGGCCGAATCTGAGCTTAAGTGGTTGTGGCTCAAAACCTAAGGTGCCAAAAATGGGGATGGCCACCACTCCGCTGTTGTCTTTTTAGAGGGCGTTCTGGGTGTTCACCGGGGCACCGCGGTTTTGACCCATATCCAAGTTTCCCCAGGTTGGTCTATGTTTCAGAGGTCTCAAAAGATGCAGCTTGCAGTTCCAGCTGCTTTGGTTTATAATTTTGGGACATGAACCAAAGAGGAAATTCCTGAAAACGGGGTCTAAAGGAACCCTTTCTTGTTTGCCCCCTTTCCTGTTTGGTGCCCTTGACAGAGAAAATACGGAACTTCCAAGAAACGGGTGTTCCTTTTAATTCTCCTTTGATGACTTGTGGAAACTATTGTTGTACGTGCGTTGTTTGTTTTTGTTTTGTTTTTCTGTCCTTTTTTTCTTTAGAACAAATATTTAAATAATTTGTATTCCTATGCCAGATGCCTGATGCTAGCAACTGGCTGTCTTTCAGGCATGACCATTCTGCCACACCAACGTCAACTCAAAGCGTGCCCAGTTGGTGAATCAGTTGGGACGGATCTTAGCGTTGCCGGGCCCCTACCAGACACGTCAAGGTCACCAGGCTAACCGTTTCGCTAGACTTATCAACCTCAAGCCTTTGGGTGCTATCAAGCGCTGCTAGGGTTCATGGGATCCAGTGTTCCAACCATTCAAACTAGCTCACATGGATCTTGCCAACTGTTGGTGGGTCTGTTTTTTAAGGGAGACCTCAAGATGGCTGGGTGTTCTTCTTGGGTTCCCTTCAAAACCAACCCAAAAGGGGGTACCCTCGAAAAAAGACATGCTGGTAAGGTTTCTGCGAAGCCTTCGGTTAGCCACAAAAACACATTCACCATGGGCTCCTGTCTTTGGATTATGGTCCGCTCAACGACCGTTTGTTCGGTCCCTCAGGAAACCGAAAGGCCACTTGCACAAAGACTTTCTCGCCTGGGCAGCGCAGGTGCGGATTGGGGTCGGAGCTCGGATGTACAATTTGGTTTGCCTTTGGACATTGCAAGACTTGCACTCAAAAAAGGATTGTTTTCTTATATATTATATATATATATATATTAATATGTTGCCTGTATGGTACTTGTTTAGCTTGTGGGCAGGTGTCGTTTGTTCCACTTTAGACAAAGCTCGCCAAGTGTTCCAATCCCATTCCATATTTGTCCATCTCTTCCTTACATCATCCATCTTTACAATGAAGCCAAACGCAAACGGCTTGATGCGAATGAAACTGAAAGGAGATGAAGCCATTGACTTTTGTGTGCATTGATTTATCGACGCCCCCTCTCCCTCGCTCCTCCCGTTTCTTTCCCAAACAAAATACCTTGTACGGTCTCGTTAACGCTTGCTTTGAACTGGAGGAATCCAAGGGAAGGGGTTATGATATACGGGGTGTTCTTGTTTGAGGGTGCCCTATATTTGGTGGTTTTAAACGGTAACCAAGTCCCAGCCATTTTGGGGGTGGAATGAAAAGCCCGGCAAGCTGCGTTGTGGGCCAATGGTGCGTGGAACGCGCGGAAAACTACCAGTGCACGGTCCCGGGTGGTCCTTTCGGCTGCTTCAAATTAACCACATCACAAGGATCTCTTTTGAAGTTGTTTGACCTGTTACCTTTCATTAACTATGCACCAACATGTCATGTTTGCTCGAGATTAAAAAAACAGAGGTAGATTTGTTTGCTGGTTCTTAGGGGATGAACAGTGTTGAGAATGAACCGTTTTGGGATGGGATCTCCTCAAAGGAAACCAGCTGTTGGATGGCTCAGTTCGGGTTCGAACACATTCCCTGCCCATCGAACCAGGGGGGTGACAAACATCGCAGGCTCTGGATGCAGATGAGCTGGATCTGAGCTCTTTGTACCGCTTGGGCGAAGCTTGGAAGATATGGGTCTGTCTTTTTTTTGAGGATACCCCATAAAAGAGAAACCTGCAGGAAAACCCACTCATTTTGGGGGTCCCTGTTATGTATTTTTGTAGACGGAATGTTGTCCAGAATTTAAGAACTTGTTAGAGTTATGTGTTAGGGGCGCGATTACGACACCCCCAAAGATCCAGCGATCTATAATCCTGGATTCACAATTCTGATGGCCCAACCACGCACCAGCACTTTTCCCATTGTAACCATGTAAATCGAGAGTACCGATTCGGAACGTAAAACGCTCGCCAAACCCGTGAAGGTCTTTTGCTTGGGGAACCCTGTTGTATTTTTATAAATGATGCGACATTTGCAGAGGGTTGTGAAAGCAGGGTTTGGCCGAATCGACCGTCCCATGTCTTATGGGGTTCTCAAAGTGGACCCTCTGTTGGTTTAAAGATTGACAAAAGACAACCAACATGTTTTAATGGTCTGGGGGGAAGGGGGCCATGAATTTGTAGTACATATTTCTATTTTCCATGAGTCAAGAATTCAAACTCCGCTAGATGGATGGATTTGTTTAGCTCCAAGAATCGAGAAGTTCCATTCAGAATTCTATGGGGAACCCTCTTTCCCGGGTTTGCTCGCCAGAAAGATAAGCCAATCAAGCCAGCAAGTAATATATATATATATATATATGAGGGTCGTCAGAAAACCCCGTCTCTTGTATTTTGTCTATAGCAGAATATAGATATAATAAATCTCATCCCAGACATATAAACACACGACGTAGGCGCAAGAAGGCGCAAGGGCGGGCGCAAGTGCTGCCACTACTAGTACTACTTCTACTACTACTACTACTACTACTACTACTACTACTACTACTACTACGACTGCTACTACTACTATTACTGCTGCTACTAGAACTACTACTACTACTACTGCTACTACTACTACTACTACTACTACTAATACTACTACTACGCGGTATTATGATTAAAAGTATTGCAAACTAGTGTTCCTGCTGCTGCTACTACTATACTGCTATAACGCCCCGACCGCGCGCGCGGATGCCGCGCGCGCGGCGGCCGCGCGCGTTGAGGCACGGAGGACAATAAACTGGACTCATGGCAAGGCGTGATTTTCTAACTGTGTGATCAGTAATACTAGTAGCACCTTCATCACTTCAGCACACCAGTTGCCAAGGCCAACAGGTTTCGAGCGCAAGCTGTCTCACAAGGCCGCATTCTAGGCTAGGCTTCAACAGCCAGTCTGAAACAGTCTGAAAACACACACACAAACGGGCGCACGCATCTTCCAGGCGGGACGTATGTATTTAGGTGGCACTAAGTAGGCCTGGGACCGGTGCTTCCGCCGCTACTAACGTGCTTTCTTATTCTTACTACTACTACTACTACTACTACTACTACTACTACTACTACGACTACTACTGCTACTGCTACTGCTACTACTGCTACTACTGCTACTGCTACTACTGCTATCTAGCACTACTACTACTATTACCACAACAACTACTATTATTACTACTGCTGCTGCTACTGCTACTGCCACTACTACTACTACTACTTCTTCTAGGCATGGCTCCCGCAGCCAGTCTGAAACAGTCTGAAGCCACACAAAAGCAGGGCACGTGCCGGCCCTGCAAATTGGTCAGGCCTTGCCTGCTGCACGGAGGCTGTCAGAGCTTGCGCCTTGTAACCTCCAAAGTAATGCCCACTTATTTGACCAAGCGCCCGCGTTGTGGCCAGGACTTGTTTGTATAAAGCCTGCCTTGCATGCAGAAGAGTGTCTGAATTTGTCTGAAACACTCCAATTTGTAATGCGCACGGGCTATTCCTGAACAGTTGGTTGGTGGGTGGGTGGGTTGGTTGGTTGGTTGGTTGGTCACTTGGTTTGCGCTTGTTTGCAAAAAGCCGGGGGAGACGTTTTTCAAATACCGGCGCCAAGCAGTGTTTAAATCCTGAAAGATAGGCAAAGCGCCCGCATTGCACTGACTACTTGTTAGCATGAAGCCCGCCCTGCGTGACTAGAGGTGTCTGAAACAGCCTGAAACCTTCCAGCTTCGAGCGCCTACAACGTGTTCCTGACCTGAAGGGCGTTGCTTTGTCGCAGGTTTCGCCAGGAGGTTGTACTCTCTTCGAATGTACCTTTCGTGGCCCGAGCCTTTTGGTACAGCTTAAAAGCCACATTCAGCACCTAATTTCCCATGTGTCTCGTACACGAAGATGACGGCATAAGCAAAAGCACGCGTAGGCGCAAGGAGGCGCAAGGGCGGGCGCAAGGGATCCTAAAAGGAAGCCGTGGAACAATAATTTTCGACAACCCCCATATATATATATATATATATATTCATGGTGTTTCTTCCCCTATATGTGTTTTTGAGCGCAGCGGTGGGCCAAGTCTTGCTTTTGCCCCAAAGCCATTACAGGCCAACCAAGTTTCTTGTTGTTCTTTTAATCTCAAACCTGGTTTGATTTCAAAGAAAGAAAAACACGGTTTTGTGTTTTTGTTATCCACACCCGTTGGTTGAACCTTAAACGCCCCCGTCTTTTTCTCGCCGCCGAGGTCGCCGGCTGCGGCGTGACGCTGCTGGGCTCCCGAAAAGCGCTGCGCGGCGTCGACGAGTCCAAGGTGCGAGGCCTCGGGCCTGGGGGCGTCGCTTTAAAGGGAGGCCTGGGCTTCCGTTGAACCCACAGAAAATGCGGTCCTCCTCTTGATTGCCGTTGGGCTTGGTTCTTTGCACTTTTCTTTTACTTGGTTTTTAACGGAATTCAAGGGGCTTCACTTTTTGGGGGAACGGTTCCATTTCTAGGTCCCCCAGCCAGGTGCCCTTTCTCACCGATTCCTTTTTTGGTTGGGAGGGTTCCCCTACTAAAATAGACTACAGAAAAAAGTTGGTACCCTGATTGTAACCTCTCTACTGGAGGACCTAGAAATGTTTCCTCCTCTTGATTGCTGGTGGGTTTGGTTCTTTGCATTTTTTCTTTTTCGGAATTCAAGGGTATTTGTTTGAATCAAGCAAGTTTGATCTTTAGGATTCGACTTTCTTGGGAGATCAAGGGTTTTCCATGCAGTTCCCAGCAAATCGTGCAGTTCCTTAGGTTTTGTTGGTGGTTTTAGCCGGGTTTGGTGGTAATGAGTTTCCGAATTTACCTCCCAAGTTACAAACTGTTTAAAATTTTAGCAGGGGATCGGTTTGGGCAGCCCAGCTCCATTTTCCTTGCTGCAACTTCCAAGAGTGGCCATCGTTTTAGTGGAAGCCACCAGAAAATGTCAACTGTTCGAGGGGAACTCCAGCGACGCTGACCTTCCGGTTGATTTTGAATGGAAGAAGGAAAACTGTACTATTTTGATTGTCTTAAAACGGACCCAGGTGGTGGATTTTATTGTCAGGGGTTCTCGAAATGACCGTTGGGGCCCGGTCAGGATTGTGAGAAGCAGGCTGGTTGTTTCCCACTTCTCTACAAGGGAGCCTCCCCTTTAGTTGGCTCAGTAGTCATTTGGAAGACCATCTGCTGTCAGAAAAATGCGATTCACGCGGCCCTGAGACCTGGTCGCCCGTTAAACCACCTCTCTTGAAGAAACAACATCTGTCCCAATTTCTCCAAGGCTTCTCGTTCGATTTTGATCGACTTGTCCATTCGCTTTGCCGGCGCCCCGGGTCCCGATTTTCGATTTCCGAGTTTCCCGACACGGGACACGGACACGGCCCCAACGGACTCGCGCGCTCGATGCGCCAGGTGCGGGTGACCTGTGCACTGCTGGTGGCAGGGAAGCCGAAGATGGAGGGCGTCCAGGCGGAGAGTTTCCATCCACGCGGAGAATGCGTCGCGGAAGTTTGGGGACCGGTCCGTTTGGGGGCAACCCAAGTCCCAGGTTTGGACTTTCTGCGGGCCCTGATAAGGAATGGATGAAATATGTTGATGAGAAAAACAATGAAAAAAGAAAAAAGAGGTGTTTTAGAGCGAAAGTCAATTTTAGGTAGAAGACAAAAGAAACTACATAATAAAAGGGCACTTTAAAAGCCAGATCCTAGGGCGTGGCCCAAGATCTTCAACCCGGCCCTGGTGTGGCTTTCTTTCGTTTGGTACTTGTATCACTCCACCCGACAGAGGGTCGAAGAGGATTTTTTTGCGGGCCCCCCCTTTGGGGTTTCCAAAACGAATCCTTTCAAGGCGTTACCTGGTTCACATCCCCCCAATCCAAGTACCCTGTCGGGATGAGAAGCCCAACCATTCCGCGGTGAAAGTTTGGACTGTTCAGTGAATTTCAGTGCAAGGCCAGGTCCCCCAGCTAGGTGCCCTTTCTCACCGTTTCTTTTTTGGTTGGGAGGGTTCCCCTACTAAAATAGACTACAGAAGAAAAAAAAGTGTAGCCTTCTTCTAACCTCTCTACTGGAGGACCTAGAAGGACTTGTTTGAAGATGTTTGAAAAAGACTGTGACATGGTGTTAGCTTCGGATTGTGGAGGACTCTATTAGTCTCAGGGACCTACTAAAATAGTTGATCGCCTTAAAGGGGAGCCGCCCCTGATCGGTGTGGCGCTGAGGATTATTCAGAAGTTAACATTACCAAGGAACAATACACAATCAAGCAAACCTGGTACTACACAAAGCGAGCAATTGCATAAGCAGACGTGTTGCATAGTTGCGTCCTTGTGGTTCCCTCGTCTCCTGGCATGCAATTTAGCCATCAATTTGCAACAATACAAATCATGAGCACATGTACCAACATGGGCACCATGGGTTTTTGTCGCCTTGCAAAACTGCATTGATTTCAGACAATGGTAACAATATGTAATATGTATGAATAGTTGAACAAACGGCTTTTAGAACCCAGGAGGGTCCCCTAGATTCCTCTAAACCGATGCGTGTAAAACCGATACCTCTAAACCGGCAGCTTTGCCGCTTCCATGTTAATCTGCAAGAGTTATTGTCCAAGTAACGAAGACTTGAAAACACCAAAACAAACGCCACACAATGAACAAATCAACAAACGGGTTCGTGTTTCCTCAAGGTGCCCTTTGCAGGCTGGTCAACAGCCAGCAGGAAAGCAATCCACATACCCCAATTGTTGCATTACATCCCCTTTTTCCGTTGACCTGGGCAAACCGAAACGACTTTGCTGGGGGGGCTGCCACGTCACCCATGAAGGTTCCTCGCGTGGAGGCGTACTTCTCTCATTTTTTGGTTTTTGAATTATAGATTGCCCAGGAAAACCATGTTTTTCTTTCGCGTTGTGGTTGGCCCTCTTGGTGTTACGGGAGCCAAAGCCCGGTCTAAACCAAATGGGTTTCCCTCAAACATCATCCGAACAAAACGAGCGCCGTTTGTTGCCCGTGGTTGATGTTTGATTGGATGGAGGGCCTTCCCTTTTTTCAAGGTTCCCCCCCCACCCTCCCCCCGCCCCAAAAAGAAAAGAAGCAAAGCGACCGGGTGATTCCCAAACAGCAACCCCCACTCCCTATGCAAAAAAAGTGACCGGGTGATATCAACAGCAAACCCCTTTGAACAGTTTCCTCCCATGGAAATTCACGAAAGGCAATGCCAAAAGGAAGCGAAGCGACCGGGTAATATCAAAAGAACACCCCAGTTCAACCTCCACTGGACCCCCAGTCCTAAAAAGAATTGAAAAGGCAAAGTGCCAGACCAGCCAACAAAAAGGCAACGCCAAAAGAGGGCTATATCAACCTCCAAGCCTTTTTCACATGAACCTCCACTGGACCCTCCACCTCCGGTCCAAACCCAAACCTTTTTCTCATGAACCTCCGCTGGACCCCCCAGTCCAAAACAAAACAGCTGATATCAACCTCCACCCGCTTTTGAACCTGTTCCTCCCATGGCGATTTCCACCGAACTCCCGGGCCCCCCACCCCCCCCCAAAAAAAAGAAGAAAGGGATATCAACAGCAACGCTCAAGGCCCCCCAAGGCGATTCCACTGGGCGATTTCCACTGGGCCCCCCAAAGCCCCAAGGCCCCGCCCCGAACCTCAGGTCCTGCGCAGCTCCGAGGGCCTTCGCCACGGCCGCCTCAGCCTCCTCCGCGCCGACGCCTCAGATTCGGCGGCGGAGGCGGCGCCGGCGGCGGTGCGGAGGCTGCGGCAGCGGCTCAAAGCGGCGGGGCACGAAGCGCCTTGGGACCTCCCGGGCGTCCCTGTACCCCTTTTCTAGGGGTTGATTCCTTGTCCATTCTTTTCAACCATCTTTCTTGTCAACCGGATTTGTTTCCCCTGCGTTTTTGATGGTTTCCTGAAAAGACTTGGATCCCTGGAAAGAATGGGAAAGGTACGCCTACACCTTTGCATCAATGGAACTGAACGATCAAGGCTTCCCCAAAAGGGTAGTCTTCCAGAACCATGCAGGCAGCTTCCATGATTGTTGGGGGGAGGTTTTTAGATGTTCTCCGGGTTCAGTGGGGACATCCGGTTCCTTGTTCCTTCAGTTTTTCTTTTGTTTGAGGTTTAGTGGTTGGGTTTCCATGCGCGCCAAGAGTGAAGCGTTTAGCAGGGGATCCAACAGCCCAACGAACTTGGCTTAAACCTGCTTTCAACCTCACTGTACATCTTTGCAGCTGTGTTTACTTAGTGGCTCCCAGCCATCCCTTAGCTTTTTAGTTTTTAGTGTTTAGTGGTTGGATTTTCATTTAACCCACTAAAAGTTAGTCACTTTTAGCGGGGGATCAGAAAACGGACAGCCCAGTTGAGTCTTTCAACTTCAACCCTTTGATCATAGGTGTCCTTTTGGGTTGTTTGGTTGAAAAATAGAGGGCGATTCCTGGTTTACCTGGTGGTTAAATCATCTACCAGCGAAACCCATCTATTTCCCCTAAAATGACCTATGCCTTTGTTTGTCCGCCTGACCACCCCAGACCCCAGGTGCAGGGGCCCAACGGTGGCCGGGCCTGGAACGCCCAGGCGGACCTAGGGATGTGGAGGGGACGAAGCAGCGAAAGGTGCAAGGTGAAACCACTACACCCAGAGCATGGTTGTTGGTGGGAAACATTTTACATTTTTGCTTATTGTCGTTTCGTGGGAAATCCCCACTTAACTGTTAAAATTTATTTTTGTTGAGAGAGGGTCCAAGTACCTCATGAGGATGGCTTTTGGGGGGTCAAAACGGGTCTAAGTACCTCCTTAGAAGGTACTGGGACCCTCTGAAACAATGTACCTGGACCCTCAAACTACCCGTAAAAAAGGAAATTCACCCCATTTTCTTGGGGCGCAAAGTCATGCTTACGGCAATTGTGAGGGTCCAGGTATGTTTTACATCAGGCCGGGCTCCCACTTTGGAACCTACACCTGAAATACGTTTAGGAGGATTGGGACAAGGAACATCACATGGATGTAATCTACATTGTTTGTACTTCACTTGGTTGCGGAATGTGTTTTGTGTTGTCAACCAGCCTCCTGTGTCTCCCGCATACAAGCGTGGTTTAGGCAGTGAGTAGTACACCTGATTTCACTCTAATGACAATTGGGGTCCACAATCTCCCTTTTCACTGTTTTTGTTAGATACAGATTATGACTTTGATAATCGGACATGCTATTGACGCTCGGATGCCGATTACAAGTAGTTTGCATAAGTGGTAGTAGTTCCCATAATATACCTGGATCTTCCTAAGTCCGATTTTCCTGCCTTTTCGTGGGAAACTGCTTTTTCAGGGAAGGTCATCATATTCTTGCCTGGAGGCAATTTTCCTGAGTTTTGTTTTTTGGATGTATGCAACAAACTGGCGGAGGCGTTTTTTTCCGGATACAAAAGCGTTTTTTGGCGATACAAAGGCGTTTTTTGCCGAACCCTGTTCGAGGCAGGTGTCCCAAAGGCGCTTTTTGAAGGAACATGTATTTTTTGATGGAAGCGACTAAAAACTGTGTAGTTACGGCAAAATGCGGAAACTCTCCACTCCGGGTTTTCTAGGTATTGTATGTTTGTAACTATTCTATTATCGCTCATGCTGATTTTCAATTCAAGCGTTTCTTTCTTTTTTGTGTGTGTGTACTGCAAAAATAGGCTTTTGCACGTTCATGACTTTTTTGCTCACATGGTCAACCACATTGTAATTGTTGTATTCATTATTGTATAAGAGGCAACAGATGTCTTGCTTTCTCTCAAGTCTTCTTGACCAGGTGTGTTGAGATCACATATGGGTGGATCTATATTTACTTGTGATTATCGCTGATATGTATCCTGATTGCTTCAGGATTTCCTGTGCTTGCTTCGGTACCTTGCCATAGGAACATAGAAGGGAACCGTAGGTCTCCGAACTACTACCCAAGGGAAGATGCAGGTTGGCGATCTGTTCATTTCGATTTTGAGTTTTGTTGATAGGGGTTAGAAACAATAGTACTGTTGCGGCTTGGAGAAAATGGCGTCCAGTTTCGGCGGAGGATGTCAAACATAACTGCATTTCCGAGTTTGGCCGACAATCTTTGCCTTTTCTCCCCACCCAGACATGAAGTAAGGTACTGGTCCAGTACTTTCTGGCTTTGTTTCCATTGGCTGGGACAAGTCGAGGCCTGGAGAATGAACAATCCTCCATCCTCGTTTCTGTGGCTGATTTCAACGCCAGGGAAGCTCAGAGGTTGTGCCCGAAACAGGATGATGCCGGGCAAATGAGGCCTTGCCGAAATGGGGAGGCCGTAGATGAGAGAGGCAAGTTTGGACATTGCTTTCCCCAGGCGAAGCCCCCTGGAGGGCCAGGGGATGACAACTCAGTGAGCCCCTCATTCGGCTTGTAACAAAAAAATCCCCAACGGACTTAGGATAGCGCTCAGGCGGTCGTCCAAGTTTGAAGCGCCGCGGACCATCGATGCGCTAGGTGTCTTTGGTGGGCCTGGTCGCTTTGCTTTCGGACACGGAGGTTTTGGAAGGCACCGTGCCTTTCGTGCCGCAGCACCTGGAGGAGAGGGACCCTCCGGCCGTGCATGGCTTCTCAGTTGATTGGAACCGAAATATCCTGCTTAAAGTTGTTTAACTTTTAGCAAGGGATCAAGGAACACTGTCTATTTTAGGGGGTGGTCTTGGTTTTGCAAGTGCAACAACGATTTGTCATGACTGTAAGGGGACTCAGCTATATTGCTCTCCTTGTAGCTGACTCCATGGTTACGTACCAGCGCCTTCTGACTGCCAGGTGCCATTGTTTGGGGTGCTGGCACTTACCAAGCAACTTAAACATCCAAGTAGATTGTAGGGGTATCCACTTTGGGTGGGCTGACTTTATCAACCTTGTTGGGATTTCATACCTAGAATTCCTATCGGGATCCTCTCGGCAAAACACAATGCGCTGGTTTTACGAAAACCAGATGAGCACATGAACAATGCAAGCTTTGAATTTCTCAAGGAGGTTGTGCACACCTTTGGTTCACCAATCATATTGCTTTCCTTACCAGTTCTGGTTGGAATGCCATTCGTATGGTACCTACTTGCCAGTGTTGACATTGTCCGAACATGTTTTGTTGTTCTTGGGGGGGGGGGGGGAAGCGGTTTGTCCGGTTTTCTTCCCGAAGCGCGGAACAATCTGGGAAATCGAGGGATGTTGGCCACGCATTTTGGCATCACGAGAGTGGGTGAGGTGCTTTCTTCGTGCGCTGGCCTTTGAACACTGTAACGCACGGACATGGATTTGTTCAACTGATTCAAGCTCGCAGCTCCACCCTTCATGGCGCAACGCCATCACCAGAGCCGCTTTTTGTCTTTGCTGAATGTGTGGTTCAAGACCTGGGAAGAATTGCTGAAAGCCTGTTCTAAGGGCAAGGGGATCAGAGCTGTCTTTGAAACTTGTCGCTTCTTGACATTCTCGGCGGAAATTATTGCCGTAATATCTTCTCGGCAAACACAAATGCCAAGGGAGTCTATATGCCCACAATTTGTACGAAAACCTCTCCAAGTGGGTGGACGTGAATTTTCGAAAAAAATATCCACCAGGTCCATCCAAGTTCGTTTACCCTCGAAACGAGAAATCGTTTTTTGTTTTCCCCCCCCCCCCCGCAGCGCAGGAGGTCCTGGACCGTGACCGTGCGCGGCTTCGGCGCTTGCGTCTGGTCACCCACAGGCACTGGTCACCCACTGGCTCCGGCTGGATGGACTTCTGTGGGGCGCCTCGAGCGAATCGGTCCTGAACTCCGTGCCGTTGTCTTGCATTTTCTTGGTGGCCCCCAGCCATCCCCCTTGGCTTTTTAGCTTTTTATCTTTTTAGTGCTTAGTGCTTGGATTTTCATTTCACCCACTAAAAGTTTTGTTTTTGGCGGGGGATCTGAGGACAGCCCAGTTTTCTTGTAAGAATATTGGTTGTTTTTCCCTGTTGGTGTCTAAAGGGAACTTACCTGGAGATATGATTGGCCTTTTTTCCAGGGGACTCAAGCAAACGGAAGCGGTTTTTTCCCGCTCTCCTTGTCACCCCGTTTGGTAGTAAACGGGAAGCCACCGATTCCAGCTGACCTTCATCTCCAGTCCAAACAACCCGGGTCCTGAGCTTTTTTTTTCTCAGCCTTTTCTGAGGGTGCCTTTGGTTTCAGGGGGCTGGGGAACAGTCCCATTGGGAATAAACAGGATTCCGCCTAGATGCGAAAGCTCGCTTCCCCAAGTCTTCGGACTTGATTCTTATCCAAGTCGTACCTTTGGGTCCGCAAAGTAGAAAAGTGCTGTGTTTGAATAAGTAGTTTGGGCTGGCTCCATTTGTTTTGTCGTTGTTTCAGGTCTTCGGTGAAATGTGTACTTTCCTGGTAGTCTAGAGTGCTTGCTTGCATTTGGCTCTTGGACAGGTCGGGCTTGTCGGTTTTCCCCATGTTGATTGGAGATCCATCATTGCGAGCTCACCGAGCCCGAGAGTGGGGCATAAGCGAGCCCCGTGATCCCTTCATTGTTCATAGACTTAGCTTACCCAGACGGTCCAAGTACCTCATGAGGATGGCTTTTGGGGGTAGAAAGGGGTCTAAGTACCTCCTTAGAAGGTACTTGGACCTTCTGGGTTTCCTCTTCAACATGTTGTTTTTGTTGGTACCTTTCTGCCGAGACCAACGTGGCTTCTAAGGGGTGACGGGCTTGCTCCGAGCTTTCAATGAAACCAAGGGCCGTGCATGCGTTTCATGGTTTTCTTTAGGTGTTTCCAGCTTTCTAGCCTGCCGTGCCGGGAGCAGTCTTGGGGGTTCCTTATGGACTGGGTCGCTCCTTATGGAGTTGTTGTTTTTTGTCATTTTGAAGGCTGGCGCCGGGTTGTGTTTGGTGATTTTTTGGTCAGGAAACCCAGGGGTTCATTCGTCGAATTCCGGTGGCCCATTCGAGTCTCGAGATGCCCTGCAACCAGCCTCAAAACTTTTTTTCTGATATGTTGCATATTGAGGTTGAAATGTGAAGAATCTTGAGACATCAGATTTGGTGTGTGTGCCCAGGGCCAAGCAGCAGGCGAGGCTCACACAATTTCATTCCCTCAACTTAAAGATTTCCGCGTTCCGAGGTACGGCTGAAACTGCACCGCGATGCCTTTGTGCCGCGCGGGGAGAGCCGACACCTGGCGGGGCAGCAAGTCGCTGCGAGTCGGGGGTAGCGGTTAAGCCGGGTGGGGTTGGGGGCAGCGAAGATTCATGGCGGTGTGTCAAAACTGGGTACCGAAAAATGGGTTGCGCCGTTAAATGGAAGGGAAGCCTGCAGTCCCCTGGTGGTTTACTTTTGACTCATACCCTCGTCAAAGAGCTCGTCCTGCGACTTTTTGGCCGGCTATGCCAGCTCGAAAAAGAATCCTCAGGTTTCGGAGCTGCAAAGTCTGCAGACTCGAAGATATCGATCCTCGACATAGTCCCAGACCGCCGTGCGTTAATTTTGATTTTTCAACTTGGAGGGGGCAAACCCGTCAAAAGTCAACGACCAACAAGAGGTGCCCGTCAGGGCTGGTCGTGAACCCGACATGGGTTTCGACAATGTAAGGATTCGTACGGAGAGGGAGCCATGGCCAGGACCCGCCATCGGAGTTTGATCGTGGAACCCATGAGGCTCGGGAAAACAAGATCTCGGCTCCAAATTAGACGTCCGGAAAAAAGTGGGTAGCCTTCTAAGCTCCAAAACTGGACCTCGTCTCTGAGAAGCTTGGGGCCGCCATCTTGGGCAGGTGGCGGCCGTGCAACGCCTGGACCTCTTCAAATCTTCGCACCTGCGGGTGGCAGACCTTACGCTGGGCGCCTCGTTTGACGCGGGGAAGGAGAACCCCAGATGAATCAAGCCCATATGAATACCGGATGCCTGGTTTTGCTGGGGGTTCATCATATTTGGAGACCCCCCGACAATTAATGAATTTCCGAGGTCAACATTAGATTGCCTTCGGGTCCGATCCTTTGAGTTGTTCGATTTTGGCCTTTGTGTGTCAACTCAGGGCTTGAGATTCTGGGCTTTCGTCACTTGGGATGACTTGCACAAGTTTGGACTTCTTTTGGGCCGATCCGCGCAAGTGAGTATGCCCCGTGATATTTGAATCATCCAAAAAGGGAAATGCAAAGGACACCTCCCTCCAGATCGAAAGCGATGCGTGAACCCATATAGACCTTCCCTTCAGAAAGGAGTGCTATTTCAAGGTCGGTGGTCCCGAATTTTTCAGATTCTTTTTTTTTGGGGGGAGACCAATGGGTCAAAGGACCAGTCATTTCGGAATATTTGAACCCCACTCTTTGCTCCACAAACACGGCTGGTTGTGACCAAATCTCCAAGGAGAGACCGACCTGTCGGACGCACATGGGTTCAGAAAAAAATGTATGATTTCCTTTTGGTTTCTCTTTGAATTCAACCATACAAGGGTATCCTGAACAAAAAAGACGCACCCAAATGGCTTTTCCATGAATCACACCAAGGGTGGTATAGAGCCGTTGCTCCTGCCGGGGCGGAGGCAATTTCACGCCTTCACGCTTCAAACAGCCCTGAGAAAGAGAAGGGAAGGTGTTCCTTTTGGCGTCTCGTCTCTGCCACTTCGAACACATCCGGGAAATTTGCTCAGATCCGTTTGACCAGGTGCTTCAGAGCCCAAGGCGGTGTTTCTCCAAGGCTCCCCGAAATGGGAGCCTTGTCGCGCTGGATTCCCTTTGAAGCTCCCATCGATTCGAAAGGCTTCGGTCCCAAGGGATCGTTTTCCGGGGGAAAGTTGCAGAGTTCCTTGGCCCAGTCCTTTTTGAAGAGACGCAGGCCTGTGGTGGTCTCCCTGCATCCATCCTTTTTGATTATTTCTCTTTTCATGCCCTTATGGGGGCGTGAGTTAATAAACAACTTTTGAGCAGGCCCAGTTCATTAGATGAAACTCTTTTCCTGCTGGGGCTCCGTTTCCGCTCAGAACGGAATCAACCCCAAACAGAACTGAATCGGTACCCTCGACCGCGAAGGAACCCCACGGATGGGCTCCGTCCCTATACCGGAATGGGTGTGTGTCAGGATAGGGGACCCCCAAAATGATTGGTGTTTCCATGCTTGTCCTTTTAGTTGTCCTTTAAAACCACCTCGCAGAGGGGGCCGGAAAAAAAAGAAAGAAACACTGACACATCTGAGCGGTTCCCTTTTCTCACGCAGGCGTGGGCAACGCGCTCCTGGCGTTGCTGGCGCAAACTCGCCGGGGAAAGGCCGGGTGGGTCCTTCGCTTTGCTTTTGCATTGCCAGGCGCATTTTTGTTGGATACCCTCCCTCCAACCTTGCCATGGCATTTGACAGGCACCCAGTCCCTCCAAGAGGAAATTTATTTCCCTCTAGCCTCGCACAGGCGCAAGGTTAGTCGGAGGGCGTGTTTTGTTTTGCTTCGAAGGCCCTTCCTTTATGTTTCCTGAGCAAAGAGTAAACTTAATTTTGTTGTGGTTGGGGTGGGCTGAGTCTGGCCCAGTTTGACTAGATCTTTTAGCCTTTAGCTTTTGGGGAACATGAGTTTTGAACCAGCGGAAGCTGAGACCTCTTGGCAGCGGTCCATGTTTCGGTCAATGAGTCTTTTGTTTCCAGGTGCTTTGGTTTTGGTAGCCCTCAATCGTTCAGGGCAAATGTGAACCACTCTTTGGCCTCTGAACCACCAATTGAAGGGGTGGGTTGATTTCCTTGAGCTATGCCACTCTTTTCCCACCAGCTTTGCTGGATCCCGGGGGGTAGCTGGTTTGTGAAGAAAGCTCAAAACACACCCACGCCCCCGATCCGAAACTAGGTCGCCCAGTAGTGCCCTTTCTCACCCTTTTTGGGGGAGGGTTCCCCTACTAAATAGACTACAGAAAAAAAGTTGGTACCCTTATTCCAATCTCTCTACTCAAAAACCTAGCAAAGGCTGCTGGGTTGCCTTTGGGGCGAACTTCAGGCCACCGGGGTGGGCGTGGACGTGAGCGCCTTGGCAGTGCAGTTGGCCCAAGAGAACGCGGAGCTCAACGGCCTGGCGGAGCGCGTCACCTGCGAGGCGGGCGGACAGCTTCTAGGTCCCCCAGCTGGGTGCCCTTTCTCACCGATTCTTTTTTGGGGGGAGGGTACCCCCACTAAAATAGACTACAGCAAAAAGTTGGCACCCTTATTTAACCTCCCTGCTGGAGGACCTGGGCTTGGGGCTGCGGAGTGGATTTGTTTGGACACATAGAGGTGGCAAAAAAAAGGTGGGTGCTCCAGTCAGTGAGGGGGAGGGGGTGTTGCGGTGTGCATGGAGATGATTTTCGGAAAGCACAGGTGGCAAAAGGTGGTTGCTGAATTCAACCGTGAGGAGGGGGGAGGTGTTGTTTGTCCCAGTGTTTATGGGGCATATAGGGCTTCATCTATTCCATTTGGTGCGAACTTTGTCCATCTATTCTTCCAAAGTCCCCAAAGACCCTCCCATCCCAGATGGTCAGATGGGGGCTGATCAATATTCCCGTCGGCCTCAAAATGACCATGGGTAGCTTTCCCATTTAGTGGTGAACATCATCTTTTGGGTGGTTTCCCTGGTCACCAATCGGTATCACGGACCTTTGGATCAACCCCCAGATTGGTCCCAAAGGATGCACCCAGACCGCCCTTCAGCCTGCAACCTTGGACCGAGCCTTGGGTATTTGGACACCCCACTTGTGGTTGTCCCCGGTCAATAAGTCTGAAAGATGGGCTTGACCCTACATAAAAAACCCAGGGAATGGGGCCTTGGGGATCACCACTGGACCAAAAGGGTCGATGACTACGGATCGCCGATCCTATGCCAAAGGCTTTGGACTGCCAACTGGGGAAGCCAACAGCTGGGAGTTGTGCTCGAGTCTCAAGCGAGCTCTTCAACCCTCCAAGCGATCCCTTTAAGCGCAAAATATGCCAAGCTCGGTCAGGGTCAAGCGAGCTTAGGTTCGGTGTCGGTCGGTGAAGGTTTTTCGGGATTCCTTGTTTCCAGTTTGAATGTGGTAAAATGGCGATGAATTGGAATAGGGAACCACCGATCAAAAAGTGATTGGTGGACACGAATCCGCACCTAGATGATGTCCGTTTCGGGCCCCCGATTGAGATTCATACCCAAAAATCTGCCCAGTTGGATCCTTCCTGACAAGGGATTTGTGGTGCCAAGGGAGAACGGAGTACCGGACTGGCCCAGTCTCCAGCCCTGCGCTGACTTGTCCAAAGGGGGCTCATATCTTTCAGCGGTACTCCCAGCAGCACCAAAGGCTATTGAAAAAACACAATGGTATCATTTGGTACCTGAAACCCAGGGGCCCAGGGGTCAAGTATGAGAATGCAGCCCAGACCCCCGGCGCCGTTTGTTCAATTGGTTTTGGGAGGGGGTTCGCTTTGAAATGAAACCAACAAAGCAAAACAAAGCAATAAAAGGAACGCGCCCTTTTGCCCAAGAGGGCTGGGGGAGTCTCCTGCCAAGGTCAGTTGGGAAGAATCTGGGTGTGGAAACTCTCAGTGAGCATGCATTGCTGAAGCATGTTCGTTGATTTCGCCGCGTTGGCTTGAAACTTGGCGATATCCCTGGGGAACTTCCCCGTGTTGGTTCTGAAGGGCCACATGTTTGTTGTTTTGTTTCAAGGGGCGTGCTTTTGTTGTTCCGTGACATCTTTAGCGACTAGCAGACATCGGCAGGTGAAAGATTTCAGAGACCTGGAGGGCGAGTTCGAAGTGATTCTTGCGAACCCCCCCTACTCGGCTGACAAAGAGCAGCGCATGAGGAGCTACCGCGACTCGGAGCATCTCGGCAGAAGCCCTGTTCGCGCGTCAGGTGAGAGGCTTGTTCCAGTAAATTTAAGCCATTCAACCTGCCCCAAAGCCGGTGCTTCCATTTGAGAGTTCCATTTTGCAGCTTTGAAGCCAGGGTTCGACACACGTGGGCCACAAGACGTCCATGTGGCAAAGGATGTCTGAGCTGCCACTAACACCCAGGACTCGCTTGGGTTGGCGCCGTTGCCATGTACCCTTCCTGAGGAGTTGCGAATGCACTTCCTGTGAGCATCCTTCATTTCACACATAAGTTTGGGGTATTGTTGGTGAGTTTGAGCTGCATTCATATTTTCTGATGTGATTTGGACACACATGTTATGAAGCTGTGTTTAGCGTTTGAAACTGTGTTTGCAAATTATGCTGGAGTTGTTTGTTTGCAAAGGAACAGCGTGGATACCTTGAGCCACAATGGACATGTGGTGGCCAGTGACGTAGACTCTGTACCTAGACTCCTAGACTCAAGAAAGAAGCTTCGCTTAGGAGACGCGCGAACTCAGAGAGCTTTGCCGGTTCTCAGGGAATGAGAAACGGAACGACCATGAGAAAGCATCTTCGGCTTTCCTGACCTTACAATCCCCACCGGTTCATTCCCAACGGACTCGGTTGTCATCCCTGTCGCACCAAACAAGAGCAAGTCACGTCTTTCTCGCTCCGGATGGTTCTTGACGCACACCTCCACCAGCAAGAACTTTCAGAAAAGAAACAAGAAGCTGCAAACGGAGCCTCAACTCGATTCAAGCGGTCAACAAAACTTTGGTGCATTTTGCATGGATGTTAGGACTTCCACCTTTTGCCAACTAATGGGTTTTCCGAATTAAACCACTAAAAGTTAGTCACTTTTAGCAGGGGAGCATAAAGCAACCGAGAAAATGTCAAGCTCCCAGGTCCATCTTCGCGAGTATCGGCCGCACCGCCTCAGCGCATTTGGCGCCCGTTGGGCGCCTGGTGCTGCAGGTGCCCAAAGGTGAGACCCAGCTGCCTGGCCGATGGGAGGGACCCCAGACCGCTTGAAGCCCCCGTGTTGTTTGTTGTTTTTGTTTGCATGGGGGGGGGGGGTGGCTGTAAAACATGAAGTCGAAAACAACTTGAATGGTCTCCCACCGTTTTTCGAGATCCTTTCAAACATAAGGCCCAAAACAACTTGAAGGATCTCGACCATTTTTTCGAGATCCTTTCAGGCTCTTGCGACTGCCCATCAGGGTTTCAGGGATTCCTGAAGTTTATAGCGCAGACCCTGGTCCAGCAGCAGGCAAGCTGTACGAAACTTGGGCGAGGATGGCGTCGGGAGCGGTGTGGAGAGCACCCAGCGAGCAGCCAAGCAAAACCCATTTTGTACCAGCACTTGCACTTAGCCCATTCTTGAAAACAGACTTCAGGTGTCTGAGGATAGGTTTTGCTTTGTGGCGTGGCTGCCTGTAATATCATTCTTCAAAGCACACTTTAGGGGCAAAAGGATGCGAAGGGTGGTTCCAGACCCAAACGAGGGCTGGATGCTGAGCTCGCATAGGGCTTCATGCAGAGCAACTGCTGCAGGTTTTGACCCATCGACAGTATTTCACGGGAGAAACGTAGGAACAGGAACGGAGTTTGCTCGGGCAGTTGTCAGGTCATGTTCTTCTGGCATTCCCGGCTATGTCCCACCGGATCCTTCAGACTTCCTGATTGGAAACCTGTGGAGGTAATTAAGCCACTCATCCGGGAGAACAGTTCTGACCTAAACTCGTTACAAGAATTCCTCCTCTCAGAACCCGACCGGAGCTGCCCGTGAAGTAACCATGCAGGTTACGATGACACAGGGGCACACATCGACCCTTGGGGTTGCATGGCTGAGATATTTACAAGGGAATACAATGGTTATAATGGTTCTCCTAGACTATAGGCGTGATTAAAGGAATTGAGTTGGCTCTGCTTGAGGGTGCGTGCGCTTGCGCATGGTTTGTAAGAGTAGAAGTGCAACTATCAGAAGGTGAGCCCTCTGCGGACTGTGGCGGGTCTACCAAAAAAATGTTTTTGTTTTTTTTTTTTTGCATTTTTCACTTCGCTTGCGGAACCATCGGACTTTCGGGCGGTCACCTCAAAAACTCGGCTTTCGGAGTTCTTGGCTTCCGCGAAGAGAAAGCGAAGAAGAAAGCGCATGGTGAACAGAACAAGACATAGAAAGACAAAAGAGCAACGAGCAAAGATCAAAGAGAAAGAGAAGGATCAAAGGACAGCAAGAGCAAGACAAGAGAAAGAGACGGAGGACAATAAAGAAAGATGAACAAGAGAAAGCAGGAAAAAGAGAACATCAACAGAAAGAGGGAGCAACGAGAGAGAGAGAGAGAGGGCGAGAAAGAGTAGGAGAGGGCGAAGGGGAAAAGAAGAGTGCGCCAAACTATATAGTTCTTACGTGTTTGAATCTTCCGTCCCCGACTTCGCCGGCTTTCCGGGTACAAATAAAAAATGATATGTGCATACCCACATATACAGTACACATATATATATATATATATATAAAGATCTTCAACGATCGGATCACCTTGGGTAAGCAGAAGGGAAGTATAAGGCTTCATTGCGGTGTACATATCTTTAAATACGCATGGAGCTACACACACACACATGTTGGGAGGCTGGACATATATCTATTCACATATAGTCATACATTTTATCTATGAAGACGATGTGAGGTATTTATGTATGCATATATATATATATATGTATTTGGTCAGCACTAAGATACATGTATGTTATATATATATATATATATGTATGTATATGTAGTTATTTGTATACCTATATTTCTGCACATTCAGCGGTTTGCGGCCAAGGTTTGTCTCCGAAGCCCTCGGGCCTTTTGGCTTCCGGGTGGAAGCGCGGACGCTGAACACGCTGACCTTGGCCCTCGCTGAACGCGCGCGGGAAGAGAAGACGGGGCGCCTGAGCTGTTCGAAACTCTGTGGAGCGTGCTGCGCCCTGCGTCTCTGTTGATGTTATCACAGGATCCCAGTGATCCCCCTACAGATGATACCCCTAAATGTAACTCGCTTAGGAGCAGTAAAACTGCACATTTGAGCAAGGTCCCCAGAATGGTAAAATTGAAGCACAGGGGGTTGTCAAAGTCAGAAAAATAGGGGTTAGTTCCTTCTAATGTGGTGCCTGTGATCATGGTGAATTAATGGGGCCAGCGCATCGCAGCTGTTGTCAAAACTCATCTCGAGCTGACTTCAAGCCCTGATAGTGGACATGTATCAACTAACCAAATGGTTATGAGTCCACCAACTTCACTCACAACCATGTTTAAATCCTGTACACACGGATTGACAGTTGAAGAAAGGGATTAAGGCCAAAACAAACCTTGCGGAGGGGCTTTGAAAGACTTGTTTTCGGGGGGGAGAGGGGTGCATCACATGTACCAGTGCCGTTTTGGAGTTAGCGGGATCTTTCGAAGGCGTTGGACCGAAACACCGGGCCTTTGCCTTGGGCGCGACTGGTCGCCAGGCCGGCGCCGGCAGGCTGGCGCCGGCGCGCCTGCGGCGGGCTCTGCTCGAGACTCGAGTGGCAGGCGGTGGGGTTTCTTGGCTAGGTCCCCCCAGTAGTGCCCTTTCTCACCTTTTTGGGGGGAGGGTTCTCCTACTAAAATCGACTACAGAAACAAAGTTGGTACCCTTATTCTATCCTCTCAAATCTGGAAAACCTAGTTGGAATGAGGGTAGATCCCCACCTAATGGAATTGGGGGAGGGTGACCCCTGGACTTCCATGTATGGCAACCCATTCTCCCTATGACTAGATAAATGGAATTGGGGTCCTGGGTTCCACCTCCCCTCCCCCTTAAGGTAGGGGGGTTGACACTACGTACCTTAAGGGGGAGGGGACAGTAGAAGCTAAGTTTGACTGAATAAGTGTTTGTTTGGCATACGCGCCGGGCAGGGTCCCTGAAATGTGCAGCTATGTGAAACACAGTATTCAGTCAGGAACATGTCCGTTTCTACTCAAGGGGAGCAAATCCAATTTGAGGACCCAGAAAAAGAGCGGACTTCACGTTTCTGTGCAAAATTATAGGCGGCTTCATATATACGTGACGGGCTCAACAATTGTCCTGTCCGAAGCCTGGAGTAGATACTCCAGATATGTTGTTATGCATATATATATATATATATGTATTATTATTTGGATATACACCATGGTTATGTTCATTGCCTCGTTCCACAAGCGTGTTCATATGGTGTACATATGTACATATATATATATATATACTGAGGCACATTCCCTTCGAACTCGCGGAAGCCGCAAGCCGGGCTCGGCGCAAGTTTGGCTCAAGAGCCGACGTTGATCCGCGACAATGCAGCATCCTCGTCCAATGCTTCAGGCGGGGAAGCTTTGTCACTGCGAGCCCCTTGAACGTGAAGTAGTCCTATGTATTGCCCACGGCACAGAACGGGCCGGAGCGTTGCAGGGGCCGACCGGGCCCCTCCCCCGTGCCTCTCCCACAAACCCCAAAAACGTCATAGGCCACGACCAGAGGCGGTAGTAAAAGTGAGTCAGGCAAGCCACGAGCCAGCCGGGGGCTAGCATGTTGCTTGGCTGGTGTTCATGCGGTCAAAGCTAATATGAGTACGTTGTCTTCTGCTGGGCAAGGATATCGCCAATATCGCTGTTCTTCTTCCAAGGCCATTTCCACACACCTTCAGGGAAAACCTGGAACCTCCAAATCACCCTCGAAGTAGGGGTTGGTCTAGTGCCGGACTTTCGTTTCACAGTAGTTGATCTAGGTTTAAAGTGACCCCAGAATCATGTTCATTTCCAGGTGTCAGGTCCCCAAATCCTTTGGGGACCCATCTTGGTCTGGGCCACCAAAGAACCTTTCAAGCAGCCAGGAGTCTTCTGGCCTTTCCATTTTTTTCTTTTTCGCATCATTGTACCCCAACCGAAAAGCGGTTTTTACTTTGGGAACAAACCCCGTCCTGCGGCCTTTTGTTCCTAACTGCCGGCGAGAGCGAGCGCAGGTGGCATTGGCTTTTGCCGTGACCGCCCAGGCAAGGAGGAGGAAAGTAAAGGGGCCCTTGGTGATGTCTTGTCTCAATCCCTTGACTGCTATTGGGTTGGATCTGTAGACTTGAACTTTTTGGTTGAAATCAAGTTGGGTTTGCCACTGAACACCCAAACAGTTAAACTTTTTGCAGGGGGGTCAACAGCAACCAAGATCCCCCCCTGCTAAAAGTTGGGGGATCGCCCACGATGGCCCTTTGGGGTTTTAGCATCACCTTGGCCAGATCGAAGAGAGGTTCTTTCTGAGGTGATAGGATAAGTCGCGTTTCCCTGAGATCTGGTTTGATTGTGGAGCCCTGAGGTGTCAAGCTTCGGGCATGGACCACGCGTATCCCCGTGCGTTTTTCCCCCGAACCAACTCATTCCCAGCAATTCAAAGCAGCAAGGCAGCCGCGAGAAGTTCATAGCCCCTTGTCTGAAGAATGGCCCAGAAAACCATCAGGATTAGTAACGTGTTTCGGCTGCAATGGCTCCCCTTGCATTGCGAATGAGCTTGACACTGAGAATGAACTCTGAATTAGCATCTTTGACCCTTGGCGAAACATACCAACTGTACATCTCCATGGCTGCCAGACCAGAGACCATGACAGTCCTTGAAATGGACTTATGCTAAAATATAGTGATGCAACCATGTTTCCCTGCCAAACTATGAAGATATTATTGTGTTTCACTTCTATAGGCTTAGCTTGCGTTTTTCAGCTTCTGCCTTTTCGGTTTTCCTTTCATCCAGCAATGGTTAACTTTTTTTGCCGGGCATCCACTTCCGGGCTTTCAGCTGGTTTCCACCAGGGCTTCGCCCTTTTTTTTCTCCGCGAGCTCCGCGAGGCATCCGTGCAGCGCGGAGCTCGGCGTTTTCTCAAAGGCCCAGAGGCTCCCGGCCATGGGTCAAAATCCTATCCCAATCCAACCACTGAAATGGGTTCTAAAATGGGTGGTGCACCGAAAACCCCCAACATGGGATCCCAAAACGGTTGTGAGCCACAGCCTCCCGAGAAATTTCGGGCCCGCAAGCAGCGGGGTGTCCAATGCAGGGGTCTGGGGCCCACCCATTGAAAGCCCGAGGAGGCTTTGGGGGAGTTAATTTGGGAGTTGGCGGAAGTCAGTTGCGGGTTTCCACTCGGCTTGCTTTTTCAAGGCAAACACCTATGGGCAACCAAGAGGAAAGCCACCATTTTGGGTGGGTCCTGGGTCCCCTTAAGAAAGACACCCCCATTTGGTGTCCTTTGTGGATTTCCAATTGAAATGGATTGGGAATGGCGAACCTCCATTTCCAGAATGTTCAGGGCCTGGGGCGGAACCTACAGTAGCGCCTAGTTGGGCCGAATGTGCAACCTTTTCTGGCAGATGGTCCCAGAAATTATCCGCTTTAATTGTGGGAACTTTCGGCGAGACCATTGGACATCAGAGCTCGGTCGGGATGTGTCCACCGACCTATTTTTGGACCGGGGGTTTCCTCATTCAAATCAATTGCCATCTGGGCTGCACTGTGAGTTGGGATTGCCCCGGACTACCAGAAGTCATTTTTTGGATGAATGATCCTGTGGGGTTGTCTTCATTGGGAGTCAATGAAGGAGCCGCTCAAAAACGGGTTTTCGAAAACTCAGACTCACAGTAAAACCATCTTAAGAGCCCCCGAATTTCTCAGGGGGTCTCAGGGCCGCATGGGGTCCATCCTCCCGCCGAAAAAAGAACCGAGCCTTCCACCCCTTCAACCGCCCAAGCCTGGCCTTCCCGGCGAAGCCTGCGACAAGTGAAGCCACAAGGGGTCGGTCAGTGGAGAACCCACAAACAACGCTTTGGAGGGGGCTTACTTCACTTGGCAAGCGTTGAGGTGTTTGTTGCGTCTTTTGGTTCTGTTCATTTTAGGGGGGGGGGGGGGGGTTGCAAATGTCAAAGTTGTCTGCAGCCATACCAAGGGTTGTAGAGGTTGCTGTTGGGAGGGGGTTGGTGTTGGTTTAGGGCCTGGTTTTGGGTTTTGGGCTGTGTTCAGAGATTTCTTTGGGGGTTGGTTTGGGGGGGGTTGCGTGCTGGGAGCACATGTGTCCTTCGAGGGGGTGGACAAACCCGGTAGAGTTCGGAAAACCACGACGTGCAACCTTTGGGACACGACATCAAGGAAGCCTTTAGGACACGACATCCATGAAAACCCACATTTTTTGAATCAGGGAAGAGGACACTGTGAAATAAAGACCTCTTCAAAACAGCGGGCAGCAGTCAGAACAATCCAATTTCACAAGCCAAAAGGGTTGGAAGACTATGGGAGGCAAGGCCAGAACACTTTGGTTAAACAATAGATGGGTTACACTGCATAGATGGGGTTTATAAACCTAAGCCTAAGACCGCCTGTGTCCACAAAACGCACCGGGGACGGATGAAACCCGATTAACGGACTTTCTATCACCAAGTAGATGTCTGCCATGAGATAGTCAGATAGTTGTGAGGCTGGCCTACTTTGCTGCAGAAAACGGGACCCCTTTGCCCCTAATTTCTTCTGCGAAGAAGGCGACCAGGAGCCATTAGCAACAGTTTGTTTTTCTTCTTGTAAAACCATAGAATCCCAACCCTCCCCCCCTTCCTCCGTTTACCCAACTTACGGCAACTTGATGTCAATGGCAACCAGGGCTTTGCCCTCCACTTCTTCTTCTTTTTTTTGGGGGGGTGGGGGGGGGTTAAGGGGACACCAAAAGGAGAAAACCGGTGGCGCCAGTTTGGAGGGGTCCATTTTTTTCCTGGCGCATTCATTCGGGGCTCGTGCTGTTTGAGGCTTGGTGCCAACAGCTCCCAGGCCAGGGGCGGGCCGGGTGCCATACTGCCCCGCATTCGACGGGATCTCTGGTCATCTTTGGGACATGTTTCGTGGCCCTCAAACGGTGTTCCACTCGGGATCCTCCGATCGTCCCAGTTGGTTTGTTTTTTTTGTTTTCTGCCAGACACGGGAAAACCAAGAAAAAAGGGAAACCTTTCTATTTCTGGGTTTGTAAGGGGCAACTGGGACAAATGTTCAACACTGGGTCAGTTGGACCAATGTGACGGAGCATCAAATGGAGCGACTCCCTTACCTCCAGTATCCCTGCAAAAACCAACCAGCTAAAGACACGTTAGTGTGTGTGTGTGTGTGTCTGCAATGTTTTAGGCAAGCGGGATTTGCAGATACACTCTGGACGGGGTGCGAGAGTCAGGAATTGCCTCGATCAGCCTGCAACAAGAAAGTCTGTGTTGACTGCGAGGAAAATATGCGTGTATCCCCCAAGTGAGGGGAGCCCCGAGATGGGTGGCAAACCTTTGGTTCCCTTTCAAACTACCCCAAAAGAGCTGCCCTCGAAGAAACACACCAGTATTGCTCTTTGTGTGTGAGTGCTTGCGCGTGATAATAGATATGACCAATCCGTCGCTTCTAGCAAGTCCATCGAGAATGTGTTTATTTCCTGGGGCAGGGCGGCATGTGGAGACTTGGATTCGTGGACGGACATCGGTTGAAACCGTGGATTTGATTGTCGACAGGCCACTGAAATGAGAACGCCGCACTGGGTGCTGAGTAGCCCGGCGTGGTGAATCTTCCTCAAGGAAAACCAAAAGAATACGGGTAGTTTGAAAACACAGACCCCTATTTTGCACCCAGAACACAAGGATAGAAAATTGGTCAACGGTTTCGTTTAGTTTCTCTTTGCCAACACCCTTCCTTCAGTGATGGAAGCTGTCAGGAAGGAGTGATTCTTTCATTTTGGGAAGTCCCGTCCACTTTTAGGATTGTTGGATTGTTGTATTTGCCGTGGTTTTAAACCAGGTGGCAATAGGCCATGGTCATAGACGTGGAACGTGCACGGGGTATTTAGAACAACTCGGACGCTCGCAGGATGAGTACCAGTCTTTGCGTGGGCTCTTTCCTGGCCCTTTGCCCTTCGGCTGCACTCAAAGCCAGCACTCGGCATTGGCGTTTCTGACACCAAAAAGGGCAGGCATCTTCTTGTACTGCAATTAATTGGGGTTGACCCTCAAAATTGGTGGTAATTATTCCCTTTGTTCTCCCTTAGAACCAAGCAATACAGGGTACCATCTCTATACCATCTCTTGGGTGGTTTGGATTGGTTTGGGAATTTGAACCCCTTTGTGTATAGATGGGAAATAGGAAGCCACTTAACCACCAAGGCATCGGGCTAACCACAAATTCGTCTAGGTCCCCCAGTGCCCTTTTACCCTTTTTGGTTGGGAGGGTTCCCCCACTAAAATAGACAAACAAGAAAAAAAGTGGGTACCCTGATTCTAACCTCTCTACTGGAGGACCTTGTAGTAGAAAGCTGAGTAATCACCCTTTTTGGGGAACAGGTTGGGCAGCTTCCAAACGGAATCCGGGAAAGGGCACCTGGCTCTTTGGGGTTTTGGGATTTCAACTGATTGATTGAACGCGGGGCCTATTCCAACTCCCCCTGAGAAATCATGTTGCAAGATTCCGTTCCTCAACATGAATTATGCGGTTTGGTTTGCAGGTGAGCATTTGCACTGACCAAGGAGCTCTTTGGTTCGACTTTTTTGGCAAACGAGTGTTCCAAGCAGCAACCATCAAACAGTGGGTAGCTCTTTGCAGAGGGTCGATTGGACCAAGTGAGGCTATTGTTGGTTTGTTGAAACAGTCTCTTGTTGTTGCCCGTGTTAGCTGAGTTTCTCCTTGTTAGGTTGGACATATTCAGAACCCGTTTTCCCTTTTTGGGCTAGGGTTACGAGACCAACAAGTTGCCGGATGCTTACCTTTGAACATGAAACCGGTTTTCTCAGGCCTTATCTGTTAGGGTAGCTGACCCACTTCCTTTGAACATTCATCTCTGGGTTTTTCTTGGTGGTTCCCAGCCATCCCCTTAGCTTTTCAGCTCCTTTTCGTTGGTTTAGTGCTTGGGTTTCCCTGATTTCAACCCACAAGTTCTTCACTTTGAGCAGAGGCACTTCGGGGCCGCGGAGCACCCGGCGCCCTTCCCGGATCCGGATCCTGTGGCTCGGATGGCGAAAAACCTCGGCTGGCTCGGTTTCGTTGATTCATGGGAACCTGGATTTTAGATATGGGTTTGTGTTATGAGTTTAGATATGGGAACATGATTTTAGTTGATCCATTTGGTTTAGTGGGTTTGCGTTTGGTTAGTTTTGATTGGGGGGGGCTTCCTTTAGTGGGAATCCGGATCGCTTTGTGGGTGACAGCTCCCTATTAGTAGACTGGGCTTCTCCATGCGGGGTCAAGATTAAGCCCTGGGGGGCGGAAGTACTGGATTCCTTCTGGAGGTATGCCGAACAACTTCCAAGGTCAATTGGAACTCAGTTGATGATAGTGTTGGATTACCGACAGGGTGGTGTGGGCCATAGAGGGACTGCCTGAGATTAGCAACCAAAGTTTGAGTGAATTGAATAAGCAGCTCGTTGATTTTGATTGGTGGCCGCAACCCATTGAAGAGGGAATGCGGATGACCTTGGCGCAAAGCCCAGGTTGAAAGAGCACGTGCTTTAACAACACTTATTCGCAAGAGTTTCTGGTGCAAGACTTGGACATCAGTTGAAGCTGTGCACCAAAAAGGGTAGCCGACCCAGGAAGTTGAGGGCGCCAATATCATGAACCCCTGTCATCAGGGGATCAGGCGACAGAAGGATCGACGTTTCGTTTCCCAAATGCCCTGCGCGAGTATTCCTGATTTAAAGATGCGCGCGACGGTTATTTTGAAAAGGTATAGATGCAAGCTGTGGTTCAATGAAATGCAGATACACATGGTTTGTCACCCTCTAGTCATGGCTTTCTGTTCGGAAAGGCTGGCCCAAACAAATGACCGCGCTTGGGGGAATCCGTGCAGGCTCAAGTTGACCCTCTTGATTTCAGGGTTGGGCCTCAAGAGGGATAAACCGATATCACTGCAGCCCACTCGGAACCTAAAGACACGCCCAACCGTTTCGGCCATATGCTCTTTGGGCGGGTGGTAGGGTTCCTCACAAATCCACAGCGAGGTGAAGTCGGGGATTCACAGCTCATCGCCCACTGGATCACTGGCTCACTGCGAAGCTTGCCACTTCATGGGGCTTCAAACGAGAATAGATTCAATATATATACCTGGACCTTCAAACTCCGGGAAATTTCTGGGTGTTTTAGGAGACCCCTACGATTTACCGAATTCCAGTGGTTTAGCTACAATTTGGGCAAAACACATACGAATTGCGTCGTTTCCAGTCGTGCATTGGCCATACAAAGTAAATACACCTCGCAGCACTTGCCAACGTGCCAGTGAACCCCATGGGATGCCAAAACTACGACTTTTTCTGATTTGCGGGAGTTTGCGGGTTTTTGTGGGAGATTTGCGGAAATTTGCGGCCGTTTTGCGGTCAAAATGGGCACGTTTTTTCTGCACCGCACAACTTTGGACCGCCGTTGCATGTGTTGACAAACTTTCGGGCTGCTTTAAGTCGAACAAACCCTGCAAAGCTTCTTTTAACCTGTTAAAGGCCACGAGCATTGCAATTGTGTTTTTTTGGAGTTTTAGGAGTTTCAGGTTTTTGCGGCAAACAGTGCTACGATTTCCTGAATATCCAGTCAAAGGCGGAAACTACGTTTTTTTTTTCAGGAGGACGAAGATCCAGGTATATATATATATATGGCCATGGGTCAAAAGCCCGTACCCCCAGCAAACATGCAAATCCCCACTAAAATAGACTAAAACGGGTGCAAAATGGTACCATTGGTTTTGACCCACAGCCATATGCAGGTTTGTGTCCAAACAGGAACCTTCCAAATTCATGATGGGTTCCTTTTGCGCCCCTTTTAAACCACCAAAGGAAAGGCCCCTTCCAACATGTACCCCCAACGGCTAGGCAACGGCACCAACTTTCCTAGCGGGACGAAGTTGTGCACTTCAAGCCATGTTGGGAGGGTGTCCTTTTCCAATCATGGAAGTGGACCATCAGGGGCCTCCCCCAAAAAGTAGTCTTTCAAAACCCTCAGCTTCTATGATTTCTGGAGGGCCCCTCCCCCCCTAAAAAGAACCCCTGATGAACAGCTGGCAGATGCACTAGTCAGAGGTCAGCACTCGTGTCATTGGGGGGCAATGACCATTGACTATGGCCCTAAGGCCCCCAGACACCCGGAGAGTTGCTTTATTTCCCTCCCTGGAGGGGGGTGGGTTTGTCACGGTCGGCCAAAACGGGTGCCCTTTGTTGGACATCCACCGGTCCAGGGACCTTCAGGGTGTGGGTGAGACATGGCCCTGCTGAGTTGGTGCTGGACATGTTCTCCAGCTTGAGCAACACCATCCAGGAGTGTGACTCCGGGGTTCGACCCCCCCGATGTTTTTTGTTTTTTTTTCCCCCCGATTGTAAGGTTTACTAAATATGTGAACCAGAATCAACACGTGTTTTTTTTGGGGGGGGGAGCAACATCTGAAGTATTTATTTACACTTGCTTCCCCTTACAAACCAAAGCCAGGAACGATAATGGGGAAGTCCCGAAAGGGGGAGGTCCTGCATTTGTTTCGTGGAGATTCTGCGACTCACGGCAAGAATATGTTTTGGGCATGCTCAATTTGGCCGCCCCAAGTATAGTGTATTTCTCTTCAAGATATGCCACCTTCCCCAAGAAGGTGGCACCGTTACCAGATAAGATTTTATGTTGGGGGGGTATTGGGCAGGGGGGATACGTAGCATATGTGCCAGCATGGAGAAGTGATCGAACTCACAACATCAGGTCTTTGTTTCAGAGTTATTTCATCTTGTTCTTCTCTTGAATACTTCCTGACTTCCTGGACTTCACACTTGACAAGTTTAAAAACAAAAAGCCCGCAGTTTGGACTTGCTAGCAACCGCAACCACTTCCCAAGCTGGATCTGGCATAGGTGTTTCTCGTTTTCCCGAAACAAGAAACTTACACGAACTCTTATCAACTTTCAGTCTTGTCATTGTGTGTCTCGGATGTGGAATTTTCAGATTACTCCCCATGGGTACAAACTTATGTACACTTTCAGTTCGTGCACTTTGAACTTTGTGGGAAGACCATTTGAGTGGCATACAACTAGTTTGATTTTTTTTGTTTTTGGGGGCCATCCACTCAGGAGTTGAGCACACACTCGGAGCATCCAAGCGTTTTTTGGTCCGAGAATGCCCCTGGTGTCATCGTTTCGGGTCCTCCAAAAAGTCATGGCCCATGTTGAGGATTCCCTCAGCCCCAACTTGTCGGACGCGCGAACGCGAAGTTTGTTCTCATGTTCTCATGGCACACACCTCGAGGGCACCCTCCCACAGAGAAAGATAGATAATTCCTGCACGGGAGTTCCTGAAAGATCATAATTTACTTTCAGGGGGACATGTTCCGGTGTAAGTTCTTTCGGTTTCTTTGAGGGTGATGGTGAACCATGCAGGAGCTGGTGATGCCGAAGATGCACAAGGCGAGCTCCGTGAGCAACGCGCCAGACGCCTGCCGTGCAGATCTGGAGAAGCATTGCCCCAACGCACGGTCCCAGGCGACGGGATGCGGGCGCTTGGGTGGCTTGATCCGGGCCCGCAAATGACAGGACACGTCGGACACGTTACCCCAAGCATGCTGTCTTGCCCGAAAATACGCATCTGGAAGCTAGACATGGAAGAAGGTGCATCTGCCTTTGCATTTGAAGCGCCATTGTGCACGTGGAGAGCAATTCTTGTCAAACAAGGTACATCATGCAAAAAGCCTCCAGAAAGCCATTCCAGGATCACATGGGATCTGCATGATTGGTTTGTGGTTTGTTTTGGTTTGAGCAAGGTTTGTTTCTGCTTGCTTTTTTTTGATGTCCCGTTTCAGGCCTGTGTGCAAGATCGTTTGCGTTCAAGTGCACATGTTCCTTCATGTTGCTTTTTAATGAGCAACAGTTGACTCTGAGGGTATGACAAATTCGTGGCTCCCCCTATTTTGACACCCATCTAGCTCCCTTGAAGCAGTGACATTTCTCAGCAATTTCTCGCTTAGCCTTTTGGCTTTTTTGGGTTTAGTGGGGGTGTCCATTCAACGAATTTGGGGTTTGGTGGCGAAACCTTGGAACGCACACCTGTAATTCCCTACAGCGACTGCACCCTCTCTCTGATATTTGGATGCTCTATTCTGCGAAAACAACCGAAACCATGGTTTTTCAATTTTGCCCCGGCACTCAAGTAAAATCCCGCTTTGTCCCAGCGGAAACCCCGCCCGAGGCAGTTTCAGGTCTAACAGCTTCTCTTTAGAGAATACACCCATGCTCCGAACAGGCAGTCCGGCAAATTTGAAAGGGGTTTGTCTTTTTTTGGGGGACCCCTGAAAATGGTGGTTTTCCTTTTGCTTTCCCCGTGAAACCAGCCAAAACGGGATACCATGAAAATAGGACGCACCTGTAGGTACGAGAACTGTTCGGTATTCTTTTGCTTCCCTACACCAGGAACCGATGGGCCGTTGGGGTCTTAACAACCGTCGGGGTCCATTGTCGATCACCCAGGCAGCTATACATAGCCCACGGAGTCTCCTTTGGAGGAAATCAATTCCGGGGTAGATTTGCGCCAACCTGCCCATTTTCCAAAAAACCGCTACCCCCCTCTAAAACAAGAAGAGAAATATTGAGGTAACCCCCCCCCCCTTTACTGCTCCTGTAGCACCTTTATAAAATTATGTTTGAATTTTCCTGGGAATGGGAGTGGTGATGGATGCTAACAAACATACATGGCATATGTTTACTATAATGGTCTATGTCCAGCAAGGGAAGATACCTGACTACCCAAAACTAATAATCCAACTCTGTTGCCACCAGACATCGCTGACTACCCAAACCGATACCTGGCAATATGTCAGTGCCTCAGACGGTATGGTAAAGCTTACGCGTAATAAGCCTGAAGGGGCACTTGTGGCCAAGCAAGGCATTGCCGCTTGGGGGCATGTCTCTGGGGGGTGTTCTGGGTCCCAGGATCAAGAAACTCTTGGTTGAATCATAGGGTCTGTGGTTATAGGAGCCTAAGGAAACAAGTCTGTTTTAGCACGGTGGATGCGCAAAGTATAAGTTGAGGAGTTGAGGAAATTGCAGGGTTTCCTTTGTTTCAGCCCCAGTTGAACTTGGAGTTAGATTTTGGCCGCATGCAGGGTTGCTGCACACTAACCCCTCATCACACTTCCTGAGTCCTGCAAACGATTTGGCCAATCCACGGAAGGCTGTTCAAACGTGGCCAACCCAGGGTTCCTTTTTTAAAGGTATATAAGCCACAAGAGGTTGTTTCAACGTGTAAGCCATGCTTCTCCCCAATGAAAGCTCTGGGGTCTCTGAACTGAAAGTTCAGGGGTCTCCGCCCAAATAGGCTTTGGTTTGGGGCAACTTTCAGGGAGGGTTCGAAAAAGGTTTTCGGAAGGGTTTCGCGATACCTGGGCGGATTTTTGCGGTTCCTTTTTCAATAAGTAAGCCACTGGCGGTTGTTTCAATTGTTGGTACAAGCCATATTGATTGCTTTTTAAGGATAAGCCACACAGAGGTTGCTTCAACTGTTGGAGTAAAGTTTTTGTTTGTTCCTCACCTGGGTTGCCCCCTGTTTGTTTCAAGATCCACGCGCGGGGCTTGCCAGGTCCACTGCTTGGGCGAGCACCGGGCGGAGATCTCCGAGCCCTGCCGCAAGGACGTAGGCGCGGCGTGCGTGAAATGGGCGGCTCGTCTTGGCTTGTTAAAGGTTGGACCCCGTAAGACTTGGTGGCTCCCAGCTCTCCGAATCCTTTGGTTTGTAGCTTTTTAGCGGTTTAGTGGCGGGGTTTCGGCTTTTAGCAGGGGATGTGAGGACAGCCAGGAAAACTACTACTCGGTGGTGTGGGAATCCGCCGGAAACACATAGCTTTTCCATTCAGCCCGCAGAAGGTGATAGACCTTTTTGCTTTGCAGCAAAATACCACTGCAAATAGCCCAGAATTGTACATGTCCCTGCCAAGTAGTTTTTATTCTTGCCCAGACCTCTTCCACACCCAGGACCTTTCCTTGAATGCCGAAAGCGAAAGCTGACAAACATATCTTGGGATCAACCACGAAAACGGTCCAAGCCGAGCTGTGATTACTGGCAACCTGTTTGGGGTCCAGACCTTTCCCAAAATTGGTCGTTTGCTTTGGGGCGTTAGGAAGGCCTCACGAGCAGGACTGCTCCGAGCAAAGAGGCTTACGCTCTAGGTTCCTGGGCTGTAAACTTTGAGAGAAGCCCAGCAAACAACACGTTGAACATGTTTTTGGCCAATCCACGCAAGAAGTGAGTGAAACGGTGACCAGCGAGCAGCACAGGAGGGTACTAGTAGAACATTTGTGAATAGTCTCCATTGATGTCCATTCAACAACACTCGCGGGTAGACATTGCGTTGAGCATTCAACGTTTGTCCATGGGGCATTGTTTGGTCACGGTTGGGCTGAGCCATTACTCAAACCTTAAGGCTGGAAGTCGTATTTCATGTCTGCTTTAGCAAACCATCTTGGTAGAAGGAATGGTCAATAGGTTTTGGCAATGCTCATGTGGGTGTGGGTCAAAATTAAACCACCAGGGGTTACGCAGGTTTTGGTCCATTTCCACTTAGCAGGGTCCCATTTTGGAATTCCTTTCTTTTGAGCCACGGGAATGTGGGTGTCATTGTCACTGAACCCTGTTCTTGGTTTTTATTTTCCAGTGAAACCAACGGCAAATCAGTAGCTCAGCTCGCGCGAAGCGCGAGGAACTCCAAGTTGCCTTGAAGCCTAAGACTTATGGGATCTTGTTAGAACTTTGAACTTGCTTTCTCACTTCCCGAGTTCCAGACTTGTTTGGACCATTTTAGTGGCCAGCAAAAAGTCCAGACTGTTTTGGCCACTTGGGAAGTGAGTTTTGCGTGTGTTCAGATTCGCTGGGAAGCTTTTTGCCTATGGCACGCTCGCCGTTCGGGGGGCAAAGCGAGCTCACTGTAGGCTCTTTGCTTCGGAATCCCTCCGTCAGGTTTGGTTGAATTCCGTGGATGCACAAAATCCTGCAGTTGGTGGTTGGTCAACCAGTATTCAAATCATTCTTACCTATCCCAACTGCTGCGTTTTGTGGACTTTGTTCATTTCTTTCAACCAGAATCTGAACAAATTTCACATGTTTAGGGGCCAGCGCCGAGTCATTCTTGAGGTCCATGAGGGGCGTTCGAAAATCCGGCCATGCCGACGCGAAGGCGCCTCCGTGCCTTTCGTGTGCAGCAAGGCGATCGGCGAGTTCTGTGATGCCGGGAGTCCTGGACAGTTTAGTAGGTGTCCTGGTTTTATGGGGTTATAGTTCATGGTAAAGCATATGTAAACCTTCAAAAGCCGTTACAACCCAAAGTCAATGGGTGAAACGGGCGGTGCTCGCTGGACAAATAACAAGCTCGCCAAACGCTTAGGACCCTCTGTGGGTTCCTCTTTTTGAGGCTCGGTGCTCATTTTGAGGAACACCGAAGTTTATTGGGGTCCGTTTTCAGACCGGGATACTCTACCAAACTCCCAACCCGTCAGAACCTGCTTGCTATGAGTAACGTGTGAGAGACAAAAACAACTGGACAGTTTCAGAACCACAAGACAACATCATGGACACAAATATGCACATGTTCAATCACCGACCAACTAGCATGTGTTTCTTTTTGGCGGGGGGAGGGGGAGGGTTCGTGCGGTTGACCAGATTGACTTTGCTTCAGGGTTCCAGCAACGGGTGTTTGTTCAATCCCCATTTCAGTCCCTGGTGGTGGGCTGTTTTGAGCTGAAAAGACGCTGAGGTGGAATCCTGAGGTCCGCAATCATTTATCCCTAAATCTGGTGGGCCAAACTCCCCATCTGACTATGTCTTCCGCACAAATCAGTTGCCAAACAAGGCAACCTTAAATTCAAAACTCGCACGACGCGAGCTTCAGTCTCACGGAATGAGTAAAATAGCATTAAGAGTAGATAGGTTTTTATGAACCATATAGGAGGGACACTTATCTATTTGTCCAAAAGGTCACACTTGTTTCATGGGCTTCCCTATTTTGAGACACACCCATGTCATCTAGAGGGGGCGGCATTTGTTTGTGTCAATGCGACACCCCATGAAGGACTCTTGCCGTGTAGGTATGGCTCGTCTAAACGCGGGACCATAAAATTGTGGTTTTCGTTTTGGTGTCTCTTTGAAACCTTGAAAAAGGGTACCCTTACAAGTCGAACACACACCCACATGGCTCCAAGCTACACTTGTTCAATGCTGTAAATCGTGAAGGGAATGACATTGGGTGGCACACGCATCAAAATATAATAAATTCAGGATCAAAAACAAGCTATTCCAAACCATGTAAATGAGAAGGCAAAGGCAGTTAGCAAGTTAGTATCCGGTGCACCCTGGAGCAAAGGGCGGGTAGTAAGCCAGTATCCGGCGCAGAGACACAAAATAAGTTAATAAGTTAGCAAGTTAGCACGCTAGCCTGTCAGCAAGTTAGTAAGTTAGCAACTTAGTAGGTGTGCCAGATAGAAAGCTAACAAGATAGAGTGGAGCTGGAGGGGGGAGACGAAGTTAGTGTGGGGGAAAGGGCGGTTAGCGCAGTCGCAGTGCCAGTATACTACTACTACTACTACTACTACTGCTACTGCTACTGCTACTGCTACTGCTACTGCTACTGCTACTGCTACTGCTACTGCTACTGCTACTGCTACTGCTACTGCTACTGCTACTACTACTACTACTACTACTACTACTACTATCGCAACAACTACTACTACCAGTACCAATATTATCATTACCCGCAGCACGTGTGGCCCAGAACCACTTTCTTGTCTTTTTCCGGACTTTGGCTTACCTTGCACCATTCAGGGTTCAGGTTTCCGGTTTAACTTGCCCTCAGCCCCCGCCGTTTAGGGTTTAGTATTAGGTTTAGCTTGCCCTCAAACCCTTACTTTAGGTCAGGTTTTGGGTTTCACGTTTACGGTTTAGTTGTGGGCTTAACTTGCCCTCAAACCCTCACTTTAAAGTTCAGGTTTTAGGCTTCACTTGCCCTCGTTTTGGGTTCAGGTTTAGGGTTTACAACTTGGCCTGACGTGTTTGCCCCATCAAGTGGGGGAGGTGTCAGAGTGTATTTAACGTGTTTCTATGTTTCCGGGTGTCGTCAAGTTTAGCCGCGCTCAAAACTATTTGCGGTCTCTTGCCGGGAACGCTTTTGTTTATCATGAATGTTTTTGGGGATGCCTCAGCCACATTGAGTCCACCTATCACAGTGCCAATCAGCAATAGAGATGACCAAGGGTCCCTAAACGTCATTGGGGCCAAGAAGTACCCTCCCTCCTACTAACATGGCACCTGACAGCAGGTCCCTCTGAGAGGATAACGATTTTCCAGAGGTGCCATGCCAGTGGGAGGAAGGGTAGGTTTGTTTTCGCTCATAAGCCAAGGGCAAGAAAAGTGGTTGGCCAAGGTCGATCGTGAATTATGGGCCCTTTACCAAGCGAGGAACGCACTTAATTTCTGCGAGGATCTTTTGTGGGTTGAACTATTTGGAAAACACCTGTTCTTTTGCGGGGAGATCCCCTTTCACAACAAACCCGACAAATGGAGCCAATTCCTTTTGTCATTCGATACAATTTGGTGCTTATCCTTTTTGATTTCCGGACCATCGAAGGGCAGGTTCGTGCGTGTTTACACTCGGGGTTTTCAAAGGACCGTACTCTAATGCAGTGTTTGTCCCTTTCTCCCTTGGGTCAGCCAAGTGCTCCCTGTTGCTTTCCCATACCCGCCCAAGTGCAAAAGCGGCAGCTCATGGCCCTAAAACTGGAGTACCATGGCCAGAACTGCTAGGCCAATCAACTGAAGCAAGAGCTGCTTCCAGTGCCAGGCAAAAAGCCTGCGAACGCTCCGTTTTGGCAGGTGTGGTGCAATGAAACCAAGCTGTCTCCGTCCACACCCCTTTTCTTGGCGTTTCTCAAAATCAGGGACCTTCAAAACAAAAACCCTTTAGGTAAATGGATTATCGGTAAACCTTCAGGTGGTTGGTTTCTATTCTGTTTGTCCTGAAAACCATCCAGACAACCCCAAAGGGCTGACTCCGCTGACCATCCCTCGTGCTTGAGGTCCTGCGCAGCGGGATGCTGGGATGCCTGCAGAAGCATTTGCCGCAGCTGCCCAGGCCGCGGAATGCGACACCTTGGGGGAGGGGGGGGGGGTTCCCAAAAATAAGGGTGTTTTTTCTTGGTGGTTCCCAGCCATGCGTTTTTTTGTTTTTGTTTTGTTATTATTATTATTCTTATCATTATTACTATTAGTATTATTTGTTCAAATAGCTTTTAGTTGGTTTAATGGTTGGGTTTCCGTACTTAACCCACTAAAGTTACGCTTGTGGCAGGGGATCTGCGGACAGGCCAAATTTGTAGGGCCCCCCCCCAAAAACAAGAGATGTGGTTTTCCTTTGGTTTCCCAAGAAACACACCCGGATGTGGGTCCTGGCTTACAGGGAAACGCAACCATTTCTAGGGCACCCATATTTTTGACATAAAACTCGCTGCCCAGGGCGAATTAGGCCTGGGAATGGGAGATAAGGGTCGAAGTAATTACTACTGGCATACTCCTGTCATCATGACTAAATATGTTTTGAAGCAGGCCACAATATGCTGACTGTCTAGGCCCTTATGGTACCCACCGGCCCCAAAAAAGGTTGGGGTACATTAAAACGGCAGACCACAAGAGTTACGTCTTGACTGCTTGCCTGTTTGGTTTTCATTCATGTTCCAGGTCCATTTCAACTGGCCCCGCAAATCCCCCAAAGCGGGTGGTTCAAAGACACACAGAACGGAGAGATCCCATTTATGGGGTCCCCTTGGAACAAGATGCGAAGGACATGGGGGGCGACAGGCTTGAAGGCTTTGGGGCCAGCTTCTCGTCGTGGGCTAGGTTTCAAAACTGGGCACCAAATGGATGCTTATACACCTTATCTCAATGGAATCCACCGTAGCATTGTCTATTTTCAAAGGGGGTACAACGAGCGAGCACCTAGGATGATCCTTTGCTTGGATCCCGACACGGTCGAACGCCGCCCTCGCAAGTTTCCTAACAGGCTTGTCGCCTTTGGAGGAAACTTGGGTGAGGGAAAGTCAGGGATTTGGGGGAAGGCCTGCGAGGAAAACCATTCTAGCTTCAAACAAGTTAACCGCAGCAAGACTTGAGCACATCCGCAAAAATAGTTGCACACACTGACCTTTGTGCTTGTCTTGTGGTGCTCTAGTTCTCGCTTTGGCATCAAATCTTGATGGCCCAACGCCAGCCGTTGGATCTTTGGTTGTCCCAGGTTCCTTTAGTTATGATGAGTTGTGATCCAGTGTTGTTGGGGCTGCAGAAAGCTTCGCTTTCCGCTAACCTATCAAGGGTTGCGCAATTTTCAAACCAGCACACGCACGTATATCGAGCTCACCTGGTGATAGCGATCCTTACTGGATGATCATCGCACATGTCCTACTTTGTGCAATAGGAACCAACGACAACAAGGAGTAAATGTGTGCGGATGGAAGGAACAGACTGGCAAGTTGTTGGTGCTTTGCTGGTTGACTCCTGCTTGAGACTCGGGGGCTGCAGCAACTCACCACCTGAGATTTTCAATCTGATTGGGAAGACGTTTTTACTGACCAGCACCAAGTTTGGACTGCTTTTGGCTCATCCACTCAGGAAGTGAGGTTCCTCTTTGTCGGACAAGAGTCAAGAGTAGAACAACTGGGTTGGGTAGACATATTTATTGACGGTGACTGCCAAAACAACCAGCTGCTGCATTATTTGGCCAGTCCACTGAACAGGTCATTATAAACGGCGTTTAGGGTTGGCAGAAGCACCCATGAACTTTGCATTTGTTTCTTTTTGGAAGGCCCGTGTTGGTGAATTTCAATCGCAAATCCAAAGGAAGCCCAACATTCCGGGGTGGCCCAACATTTTCTTTCGTTTGACCAAGTCTCCTCTTAGACCTTTTGCATCAAAGCTGCAAAAGCTCAGTTGCAAGCCGACATTGTAACCTTTTGGTTTTCCCTTTTTGGTTCATTCTTAGTTCCCAAAAAATAATCATCTTTATTTCTGGGCCCCCTCTCCTTTTCCTCCCTTCCTTCTTTTCCTCCCTTCCTTCCTCCCTCCCTTCCTCCCTTCCGGGGCAACTGAGAAAGGTGATCAACCTTCGGTGGGAAGAGAACCCGCCAGGGACTGCCGGGACGCGGTGGAGATGACGAGCAGCGCGCTCGGCAGGTGGGGGCCGCGGGCCGCGGGCTGCGAGAGGGGCAGGGGGGCTGCGGGGGACGTGACCATTCATTCCATGGGACTCCTCTAGAGCTATTTTATGTTTTCGGGTAGACTAAATATGAGGCACGCTCTGATTTATTTTTGCATGTTTTTGTTTCTGTGCCGCAAATGTGGGCCAAGATGCGGGCGAGGGTGGGGGGCGTGCATTTTTAGTAGGTGGTTCTACCTGGCTGCAACAACTTTTATAGCCAGCTCGGTAGAACTTCAACAGTCATGGGCGAAACGGCGCTGATTCGTAGGGAACCACAGGAAAAAACCCATCCCACTGCTGGTTCCCATGGCAAGCACCAAAGGCAAGCCTAGACTGCTTCTAGAAATATTTTGTTGTGTGGCCATCAGATGATCATACTCGGAGTATGTGGGTATGTGGTACCTCATGTTGAACATATTATACACTTCGCTCACTAAATTTGAACCCAGAATCAGACATCTTCTTTTTGGCTGGGGGCAAAGGCGGCGTTATTTGAGTCAGGAACTTAGACAGCCATTGGAAGGATTTCCCAGTCAGAGCCCTGACCACACGCCAAGATCACATTGGCGTCAATGTGGACGCTCCCAAATTGTAAACTCAGCTTGGTGAGTCCCTCTTTCTTTAGCGGATCCACACAATGGTGATGTTCCTTCGGATTTCCTCTTAAAACCAACCAACAAAGTTGCCTTTGTGTTTCTTTTCTCTTTTCCTTGTTTTTTTTTTTTGGGGGGGGGGGGTTACTTCATGTTTCCTTGTTGACTTGTGGGGGTTCTAAGTCTGGCCAAGTTTTGGGAGGATTAAGCCCATTTGGAGAGGCCGAGGTACTTGTGAATGCACCTCTACATCCACCCAGTAGAAGCACCCGGCATGATGCAGTCTCCTCTTTCCAGACAAATTCCTTCAAAGTTGACCTGACAGATAGTTTGAACATTTTAGGAACCCTGGAAGAAGGACTAAAATCGGTGCCACAACGTGCGCTTACCAGTAATTTCTCAGTCAACCGATTCCCGCCATGGTGAATATGTTTGTCAATTCTGTGCATGCGATCTACCCCTGGTATCGCCTGGTAGGAATCTGATGATGCCGTCATTTACTTAACAAGGGGGATGCTGTCGTTTTTTCATGTTGCCTTCAAAGGGGAACACGATATATAATTATATATAATTGCACATGATGACACCTTGCTTGAAGCCTACTTTAAGGTTCCATATTCTTTCTATTCACACCCAACAAGCTCCAATAGACCCCCTTCCCATGCCAGAACATTGTGGGAGGAGTTTAAGAGACCTCAAACGAAGAGGGGTGTAGCTCAGAGGGAGAAAGCCCTTCGCCCCTCATTTGCCCGGTCCAAACATCTGGTGCCCCGCTGCATCCAAAACGCTGCGCACGGAGGCTCAGCCAAGCCCCGAAGAACTCGAAGGACTGCGCCAAGTCTGAAGGGCTCCGTTCGGGAGCTTCCATGGAATCGCCCGGGGGAGGGTATAGAATCTGAGTTTTGTTGGTTTCCCATGTCTAGTTTTGGTGGTCCCAAAAGGGTGACCACATTGGATTTCCAGCTCCCTGGGGCAAGTGAGATGCCACTGGCTACCTGCAGGGCAAACACGGCCCGTACAGCAGCTGCGCTTGAGACAGGTGAGCCAGATTCATGGAGTCAGTATTTTGACGGTTTCGGGGGGGGGGGGTATCAAAGTCAAAACCTGGTCACCCTTTGAGGACTTGGGTGAAATTCTGTGGAGCGCCCGCCAGATTCATGGGCCAACCGGCAGCGAAGTAGCTCCGAATGGCTTCACTTGACAGATGTCCAGTGTTCCCAGTCTTCCAGTGTTGCAAAGCTAGGTCCAGTGCCCTTTCTCACCCCTTTTTTGGGTTTGGGGTTGGGTTCGCCTACTACAATAGACGTCCAGACCCTTATTCTATCCCCTCTGCCGGAGGACCGAGAAAGTTTTCCAGTGTGCCCACCCGCAAAACTCACTTCCTGAGTTCATGAACTTTAACTTTTGAAGACCGCTTTAAAACTTTAGTGGTAAATATAAAGTTTAGCCAGTGAGTAAAGGAGACCCGCAAAAGGAGACCTCCCAGATCTCCAAGCCTTCCGGCGCCAGGACCCGCTGCTCGCGGCCCACTCGCCGGACATGGTGAACCAGCTCCGCGCCGCGGAGAAGCAGGCGGAGGAGTTCGGGTCAGACGGCGTGCCTTCCTTCCCTCTGCATGGCTCCGAAAAAGATACATTTTGCAACCATTTGAAACATGGCTTTTTCCACCAAAATAAAGGGGAAACCACTATTTAGAAGGCAATGCTCAGGTGACCGGCTCAGGTGTATATAATGCAAAGATCCCTGCTTTGCTTAAGAATTGGCCGTGGATCAAAACCGTTTTGGGATCCCATTTTTGGGTAGGTGAATTCACCACCCATTTTAGAACCTATTTTAGTGGGGATTGGGATGTTCACTGGGGGTACGGGATTTTGACCCATGGATATATGTTTTATTTTCCCCGGTTGGTTTGAAAGGGAATGTATCAGTTCGGACGGGAAATATGTGTATTTTTTCCAGGCAGCTTAAGAAAATGGATGGAATTGGTAGCGTTTGCACCATGGTTCAAGGGAAGCCAAAAGGAAACGACATTTGTTGGGCTCCAAATCCCAATTTTGACACATATCCAAGTCGTTGTTTTTCCTGAGGAGCAATCGATGGCAATCACCGTGTTTCATTTGCCCAAAGGGAAACCAAAAGGGGATGGGTGTTCTTTTTCCAGAGTCCCAACTGCCAGTAACGGGCGTAACCACCTTGCTTGCTCACGTAGGGGAGGATCCCTATAAGGCACGAATGGATTTTACAATAGAGAATAGTATGTTGTTTAAGGCCGGTTAGGCGTTGTTGAAGTTGGTAAAACATGTTGTTTTGGGTAGGGGAGGGGGGGGGTTGGAGGGTGGGGTCCTCAACAGCCAGCTAAACGATTCCACGCATTTCTGATCATTGCTTGAATTTGTTTGAAGTACCCAGGAACCCCCCCTTTATTGCAATACAGCTGCCCATATATTATGACAAGCTTACCGATCCGGGATAAAAAAAAAAAAAAAGAAAAAAAAAAAAAGAAAAAACGCAATCCCAGAATGATGGTCCCTTCCTTGGGAATCCCTTTCCAGTCTGTGAATGTGCGGGGAACAGGGGGGGGGGGGGGCGCACCCATGGGCTGCCAGTGCTAAGCGGGCTAGCGGCCATCCCCAAAGCGATGCGAAGCGTCAGACGGCCACTTTCCCATGTCCCTCTTGGGGAAACAAGTGACTATGGGTCAAAAGAAAAACCAATAGAAGACCGTAGGTTTAGTCCTTATTTCCATTTGCCAGGGTTCCATTTTGGGCACACTTTTTTGACCCACTGCCAAGGAAATTTGTCCGGAGTTCTAAGGCCATACCCTTTTAATATCCAGCAGGTAGGGCTGCCTAGCCCGAGGTATGTTGAGCCGTTTGCTCAAGGTGATGGTGTGATATTCTATGTTTTTGAAGGGAGAAGGTCATGTCTTGATGTGCATGCTTTTAGTGGCACCTTGAACATGGAATTTGTTGTTTCGATTGAACTGTTGACTTGTTGCAACCTACGCAGAAGTGTAGGGTCAAAGAAGAAGACCCCCATACGGAAGCTCAAAGACACCCACCGAAGGGTTAGGGCGAGAATAGTCCGCAAGGCCCCTGAACGCCTCAATGGCTGGGAAGGTTCCGGAATCTGCTGCGACATACTGTGCGGAGGACAAGTTTCAGAAGGACATGAACCAAGTGGCAACGCTTCTGTCCAAGATGGAGGCTGGAATTCGACATGGTTGTGGAAAATTGGGTTTTAGGCCCACTTGCTCTGAATCCAAGCGAATCTTCTTTGAAGTGATGAAGGAGTAGAGCTCGCTGTGTCACAGAAAGCAGCCGAACTCGAAAGACGGTGGGTCAAGGGTCAAGTTTTTGCTTACCCCCCCCCCACCCAAACAAACAACTTGAGCCCAGTCCATGTGTTCCGACGAGGATAACACTTGGAGGTGACCAACAGTTTCCGACCAGGAAAGCGACCCTAGGTGATCCAGCTCCATGTGGTTTCCTCTATAGGGCAATCTTTAGCCATTTGCCACCCTGCAGATGAACGCGGAATCCGAACATCCATCATCTGTAGGGGCAGTTGTTTTTTGAGATCTTTTCCTGGAGTTCCACGTTCATGTGCAGAGTAAATCAGCAACCCCTATGAGGTTTTGTAGACGTAAGGGGCTGACGAGTGCTGCAGTCATCAACCCCTTTGATAAATGTCAGGGGCCTTACAAACCACCTTCCAGAGATCCTATGTTTGTCAAGAGATCCAAAAGAGGTTAGTAAGCCGTATTCAGGCGGAAAGAGTTGCCGAGTAAGACGTCAACGCTTGGGTCGTGGGGTGTCTTTGAGGGGTGTTCTTGCAACGTGCCTCCACCTTGCGGTGGAGTGGTGCCAGCTTGTTGTGTTCCAGTGCTTGGAACACGTTCATTGCGGGCTGCGCAAGTACATGGACGAGATGCGCGCTGCGTGCCGGGGTGACGTACCGGCACTGACCGCAACCTGGCAGAGAGCTTCGCGCACTTGAAAGGATGACCTCTGCCGGTGCGCCGCAAGCGCGCGGCTGCCGTCTTTAACGCCCTGGGCGCTGGCTTGAGGAGACGGCGAAGCTTGGATTCGGATAAGTGCCGCGCAATTGCCAAACATGGGACCCTTTGCGATGTCATTGATATCGAGATGTGTTTTGAACTATTTGAAGGGGCCTTTGACAATATCTTAGATTTGCGGCTTGTACTGAAGCTCACCTACACAAAACAAAACGGCCTTAGACTGTCGCAGTTGCAGATTGCGGTCCATGTTGAGTCAAGGCAACCCATAAATGATTATCATTTATTTCCAGGATTCCAGTGGGGCAAATGAGTATAACTTGGCCCCACCCTTAAATGAAACCTGGGGGGTACCCCCCGGCAGAAGTTTCATTATCCAATTTCATTTCTCATTATGTTTCACAGAGCCAGTACTAGGGGTTTGGGCGTAGATAGTATGACTTTGCCCCTTGGGACAACATCTTCGTTCTGGAGCTACGTTTTGAAGCTAGGCTTGTTAAATCAGCTAAAGATCTGCAAGGGGCCCAGGCCTCAGAGTCCAATCAGCCAGTCCCCGGCTGCCAGTTGATTCCATCCCCTGTTGTTCTTTTTTTCTGAAGCTTTCAATTGAAACCACAGGTATGGCTGTGGAGAATTTTGTCGGTTTTGCTTGCCACTTTCATGGCAATGAGTCTCAAAAGCGACACTCGCGTCAGGAATTTGGGTTTGTCAAAGTAGGGGAGCCCTCAAAACGGGTGTTTTCCCTTTTGGCTTTCCTTCAACACGACGCAACAAAACCCTAAACCCCATGTGCCCAGAATTTTGTCCGGAGGTGGACGTGCAGAAGAACAGCCGCAAGCTGCCCAGCGTCGCCTCCCGCCTGGAATCATTCCTTTTGCTTGCGTTTCCCAGGTACCCAGCGGCACCCGTTGTTTCCATGTTTGTTTTTCCCAGAGAAATGTGCCTTTCATATCAAACAAGCACAACTAGGGCTGACTTTTCTCAGGGTTTCCGAGCCATCTCCATGTTTGGAACCTCCAACAGTGGCGATCGCTTCAATATAGCTACCATGAAATTGATCAACTTATGATTTGGGGAAATCCAGTGACCCCTGTTCCTTTCCCATGGCTACCGAAGGGCGGCCCGTGGGTCTCCTCCAGATACCTGTCATGCGGCCCTGGGGGGCGCTGTGATCTAAGGGCTCTATCCCAGTAAGGCCTTGGGTGATAGACCCTCCATAGACCCTCCATAGATTCACGGACCCTTGCATATCATGGATATCCCATGATATCCCTTTTTGGACTGCCAGATATAGCCTGGTTTTGTTGGAACATGTTGGGTTTTTTTCGCAAGTCATTGGGGGCAACAGGTTGCGAATTGCTCACAGAGACTTCGGCCGCCGCAGCACGTGATCGGAACCCCCAGAAACCGGAAGAAGTGTCTAGGAACCTTTCCACAGATGGGGTTTGGGAGGCTTTGGGTTCCTGACAATGGTGACGGTATGGTGACGGTCCTGTTGGTTTTCGTTTTAGCCAAAGTGAACAAAAGAGAACCCTCAGCAAAGCCCCACCCAGTTTTTACCAATCATCAAGTTGGTTCAAACGGCAGCCCACACGAAAGCCACATGTTTTTTTGTTGGGGATGGGGGGGGGTTCCCTGAGGAAGTGTCACAGACCCACCGGTTGAGATATGTGGCCCTCAGGCAGGTTGGGTTCAGCAGCGAGTGGCCTTGGTCATCATCATGGTGATGATTTACTGGTTGCTCCGCACCTCGCCTTGTGGACGCCTCAACCGTATTTGTTTTGGCATTGCTCCTACCCGGGCTTTCCGGAAACGTGGGTTGACTTGCTTGACGGGCTTTCCAATTACTTTCACCTTGTCCTTACAAGTTGAGTGGTCAACCTTCCAGCCCTGTTGACTCAGCAAGGTACTTTGACGGTTTTGGGAAGGTATCAAAGTCATCATTTGAAATTTGGGGCTTGCGAGTCACTCGTTAAAGAAGGCATGAGGCACACGAACAAGTGCCTTTACAATTGCCTTTATTGACTTTCGGGAATTGGGGTGGAAACAAATTTCAAAGCACCCCAAGGGTTGGGGGAACCGCTTGTTTGAACACGTTTAAACAAGGATAATTGATGTACCAAAGGCGAGACCTGCGGGTTGCCCAGCCTTTCTTTCTTTTGGCGGGGGAGGACGTCTGTGAATTTGAGCCCCTTTGAAGGCGACTACCAACCAAAAGTGACAAACATTTTTGTGCCCTTGGCCACTGGGGTCTGGGTCTAGAACCCTACGGTGACATAGGCGACCAGCAAACCATGACTCGGTGTCAACCAGATAGGTGAGTTGGGGGTTGGCTAATTGGTAACCCTCCCAGTTATCAAGGGTTCAGAAACGTAAAGCTTGGGGGTTGGCGGTGCAGCGCACACCATTGGTAATTCCTCCCGGACCATCAAAGTGTAGGTTCCTGCGTGTTCCTCACTTGGATTTGCCGTACCCGGCTACGTGTTGTTCCAAGACTCCCTTTGGTCATCCAAGTGCTCAACTCCCTGTTGCTTTCCCTTCCCCATTTTCCTTTCACTGTCATTTGTTCCAGCACATGGGACAACATTTTAGAGGCACACGTACTGGCTGCCCAGCGGAAAAATACGGGTGCTCGTTCGGCCGTTAAAACCATCTTTTTGTGGGGGACCCCCCCAAAATGGCGGTATTCCTTTTGGTTTCCCTTTCAATCACCAAAACGGGGTACCCTCAAACACAAACAGACTCATTATCCTTTACTTTTTCCTTTGACGTTGCAAGATCTACTCAAAAGTCCCTCTGGTGTTTGGAGCAACGCTGGGTGACAAACAAGTAGCGTTTGTACATATGCCAACAAGGTACTTTTACCTCTTAGCAGGAGAACAGCTTGTGGCCCCTTCTCCATCCTCAAGAGGTCGGAGGTTTAAATGGACCCGTGATCCGCAGGTACGGAGTCCGTCCAGCGTCTTGGCGCACGAGACAGACTCCCTCAAATGCAGTGGAGACCATGACGTGGTCAAAAGACCTGTTCCTTTACGTGGGTTTGGTAGGGATGATGATTGAGGAGTTTGGACATGTTTGGACAGCCATGAGGATTCCTGTTCAGGGAGCCGTAGCCTTGGCTCATGTTTGTTTCTTGGTTTGGTAGAGTCCCTTTTTGTTCCAAGGAAGCCAAGGATTCATCAACCCTGTTGGCTTGTTTTGCTCATCCGGTTGATTCATCGACCGCCTGCCATGTTTTGCCTAGCCCTAAAGCGGAGGTCCAATGAAAGCAAAGCTCGTCTAAACATGAGTGTTTGTTTTTGTAGGGGGGGTCGTCCAGGTTATTTTTTGTTTTTAAGGGGGGAGGGGTCCAGGTTAATTTGGAGTCTAAACTTGTGTTCTGCTTTTGGGATTGGAAGCGGGTCTACTAGGGGAACTAGACAAACTTTTACAACCAGCTTAGAACCAAACATGGCCAAAAGGGCCAAAACTTTTCAATAGGGAAAGAGGAAGCCGGAGCCCTGGTTGGCCGAGACAAGCAGTTTGGGCCGTGGGGGACATAAATCCCAAGCTGAATGATCTCTACCAAAGGGTCCCCAATTAGAAGTCACACGTGTACAACAACTAGCACCAGTCGCTCCTTTTGAGTGGTTTGTGCAAACCAAAGGGAAAAACTCACTGGCAACCCCTATTGGGTTGACTTGAGTTTGCTCTTGGGGATGCCGGACATATTTCTACAGCTTGATTTCCCGGTTCAATTGTTCTTTTTCTCGTCCAAGAAACCGCTTCCATCCCTGGGTTTTGGTGGATGTTTGAAATCGTAGACCGACCATCCAACTGCAAACCCACCTAACAGAAACCCACCCGCCCCCAAAGCCAAAACCGCGGCAAGGAAGGCCTCTGGCATGTGGAAGCTCTCGGAAGATGGCACACCACTCCTGGAGAAGGCCGTCCGAATCTCCGAGCCCTCGCTGACCTCAAACCTGACCTCTCCACTTTTGCTGGGTACTTGAAAACCAAGGCTGGGGTAGACTTAGGATATTTACATTTTACCAGTGACTCCATGTGAAGCAAACTATAAAATATACATTCTATAACTGGGCCTAACTCTAATCGTGGCTTGCGAACCTCCCCTACAGTTTAAGTTGCCCAAAAGTCCGAGATCCATTAGGATCGGAATCTCATCTGGGAAAGGGAGCCCTTTTTGGGTGTTCGGGTCAATTTGGGAAGTAATCAATCCCTTGATCTTGTTTGCAGAAGGAATCCCTTTCCGAGCTTGGCTTGGTGCAGAACCCTGCATGGAAAGTCGTCCCAAAGGGGTTGTGGCATACCCATGTTTGGTAGGATGGTAACTCATTAAGCCCTAAAACGGTTGGTGTTTGTTTGTTTGTTTTCCCTTCCAACAAGATTGGGTCCGAATTCCGAATTCCAGTTATCACTATTGTAGGTAACCAGGGGCTTGCGCAAGTCTTGCGCATCCATCGGAACACCTTGTGAAAATCCCGTGGTTTGCCACCTTTCGTGGTAACTGGCAACACCGGGCTAGGTTAGTTGATACGTACTTCAAACTGTGATCGGAAGCGAAAAGTCCAATTCGAATGGTTCGGAAACTGGAAGTGAATGGCAACCTGGATGTTCAGCTCCAAAACAGGGTGGTCCTTTTTGTCAACCCCAAACTGGGGCCATTATTTTGACTGTTTGGGGGCGGGGGGGTGTGGTCAAAGTCAGAAGCTGGGGGCCTATCACTTCGGGGGTGACTTGGACATAGTGGTAAAATAATCGGGCCAGCCAAAGCAGGCTGGTCTATTTCCCCAGATCAACGGGACCCAAAAAAGGGTCCTCAAAAATGAGAGGTTTGACCAATTTGAGGCTGCTTTGGATTGTACACTTTTTATCAAATCGAGGACCCACTTTGACACATGAGCACTTCGCAAGCCATGGATACCAAACAAAATCAACAGGTGGTGGCAATCCGGAGGTGTTGCGGAAAGCGTTGTTTCCCTTTGCGTTAAGACATCCCCATCCCCGACAACATGGAGAGGCCGCTTTTGTACACGTGCCATCACCGATGTGTAAACCACAAGTGCGGTTCCTTTGGCTTCCCGTGTCCATGTGCCTCAAAATTTGTTTAGTCTGCAAAACAGCTTGTCGGTTTTTCCTTTTGGTTTCCCTTGAGCACCAATTAAAAGAGGGTACCTTCAAAAAACAGATGCCCCGACTTTGGGTTCTTCCCAAAGGCTTGGCATGAGTTGCCCTCTCCAAAAAACCTGGGGTAACAGGCCTCAAATCGGGGCACGTCATCAGAGATATGAGCAACTAGTATCATTATTGGACATTATTGATAGTTGACTGTTGTACAGCCAGCACGTCCCGCTAAATCCAGAGACCAACCCAATTTACTTTGTCCTCCTGGGAGCAAATAATTATTGTCCATGAGTCATATGATGTCCCTTTCGCCCAATCCAAACAGGTCCACTTTCAAAAGAACTTCACCTCTATGTACGAGTTCAAAGCACCCTTGCACTTGGGGTTGGACCCCGTCATCAACCCTGAAACAGGGATTATGGACCATTGTCAGGGGAACCATGAACGTGGCCGGCCCACATAATCCTTTTGGGGCTGGTTTAAAATTGACACTAAAAGGGTATCGAGAATTATGGTTGCGCCCCTATGTTGTCCTAATTTTAAGTGGACATCATTTGGGTCGGGATTCGTGTCTTCGAACTATTTGGGAGGGTATATTCGGTATGCGGCATTTTTCATTTAACCTTCATAGCCATTAGCTTGCTTCTGGGCTTCTTGCTGGCAATTTCCCATTCGTCGATTCGCGAGGGCAAGGAGTTGCCCAAGTTCACTGACGAGGATTTCTTGTGAGAGGGTTGCTCCTTTGGAAGACAATGGGCAAAACCCGCGGGTCTGCCAGTTCAAAAAGAAGCGGAGAGCAAAAGGCCGCTGTGCTGCACCTGCTGAATGGTGGTCTTCCTGTTGGTGTTCCTTTCAATCCACCAAAACAGGACAGCTCAATTGGGTGTCGGTCGACACCCAGAAACCCGTTTTTGGGTAACCCCCCTTTTGTTTGGTTCATGTTGAAAGGGAATCTTGGGTGGGGTGGTACCAGGGTTTTGACCCACAGCTCAACTCTTGCTTTTGGCGGTCCTTTAAGAAAACCTGCACATTCAATGGGGTGCCAAACAAAAGAAGAAGAACACCATGGCTCGCGCATGACCACCACGAAAACAGAAAGGCTTGGTGTTCTTTGATTGCGGCAGCAGGCCACCATGGCTCAAACCAAGGGGGCACAAGAAACTCTTCCTCGCTGATTTGCCCAATCCACGAGGCCGGCGTGCCGTTTGTTTGCTCGCTGCAGCTCGCGAACCCGCGAGGTGTTTTCAGCGGTGTCCTCTCGAAACCAAGACGCCTTGGCTGGTCTTTGGTGTGTCAGCCCGGTGAACTTTTGGGATGATATGTTTTTTCCTTCAAGCAAACAAAAGGCAGATTTTCCTTCAAGCAAACAAAAGGTTAGACCTTTTGCTGAGGGAAGAAGCCAAACTCTCGGCCTTCGTCATGCTGTTCTCGTCACTCTCGCCACTGTAGAACACAAAACACACTTTGGCGGCAACGGATATTATAATGCAACCATGAATTGATGCCCACCAAAGGGTCTCCAAATCCAATTTCATACTCAAGCAATGGAGGCAGCCTACAGGGCACCATTAAAAGCACCTGAGATATGGGTGTGTCTTTTTTTAGGGGAGATTTGGTTGGGTTTGAATACCACAGTTTTGGGGGTTCCCTAACAACAAGACACCCATATGTGTGGGTTTCCTTTGTGGCTATGGAACTCATCTTTGGCGATGCTCTTTTCCTGGTGGGCATTCCTCCTTGCTGGAGTGGTAGCACGCCGGCAAGGGAAAACGCCACTAGACATCTCAAAGCAGCGCTCTCATGTCCGATTTTGTCAAGCGCCTCCCGCATTTGGGGCCAACCCCAGTAGGGCCGATCCCGGCCCTTCTTTCTGGGCCAATCGCCACCCTCATGCACTGTGACCGCACCTTGAGGCATAGATGTTATGTCCATGTCCGGGTGTTCCAGCTCCTAACATCCGCTGCCAAGAACATGTCAGTGGCCTTGGTCTTCAATACCACGTGAATCAGGGAACCTTCTCTTAGCGCTTGGCCAATTACCCCTGCGGGGTATATGTGTATAGATGATGTGTGTTTGTGTGTGTGTGTGCTTGTGCCGCACAGAGTCCCAGTATAATTAGGTACTGGCGAAGAAAAATAAACATGGATACAAATATTTTCAGCATCCATCCATCCATCCATCCATCCATCCATCCATCCATCCATCCATCCATCCATCCATCCATCCATCCATCCATCCATCCATCCATCCATCCATCCGTGAATGCATCCGTGAATGCATGCATGCGTTCATTCATGCCCGAGTGTGTGTGCGTACGTATGTATGCAAGTACGTACATACATACATTGCAGAACCATCATCAACATCAATATTTCAGTCAGTACAGTGCATTACATAACATCCGCATGAAGTCAACATCACATAATTGTGTGCAGCGGGTCATTTAATGCTTACGTTTGCATGTACAGCTTACATGGCCTTACATCACCTTGCAGTACATTGCATTGCAATGCGTTGCAGTGAATTGCAGTGCATAGCATGGTTTAGTAGTGAGGAATTGCGAGTTCAAATTTCCACGCCAATCCAAGCCCCCAGTCTTGGCGGACTTCAGCCATACCCTCCGACGTTGAGGAACAAGTATTCCGGATTCAGAGGGATTTCTGCCATATCCAGTCAACAGTTCTACTTGTAGCAAGGAATCAACGATCGATGGGGGTAAGGTGATCGATTCGATTTCGCGAGGTCCATAACTGGCATGCGCCACGTATGCTTGGCCTCCATCCTGAGCTGCCAAGCTGCAGAGAGCCGGAGCTGGGGCGATGGGTTCAGTCAAACACTTCCCCATTCCCACATCCATGACCGACTAGATTTCCTCGAGTCAGTATGGCGCCGAATTCATAGGCGGAATAGTCGTAGGTACCAAGAACAAGACTATACCAAGTATAGTCCTTGTTCTTGGTACCTTCCCCCGAAACATATCTCCAGCTTTGGTCAATTTCTGTCTTTTTCAAGGGGTTGGCTTTGGGGTACAACAAAAGCTGAACGCCGCACTATCAGAAATACCCGCATAGCCAAGTGATCGCCGTCAGAGTCAGATAAAGGCTGGAAGAATGAAACAAATTCTGAATCAACAGGTTTCATTTGTATTCTGGGGCTGGGCCAAGTCATGTCTCCTCAAAGGATGTCTCCTCAAACTCCAAGCGCATGGCGAACGAATGGGTCATCGTTTCCCTTTTGGGTACCCTTTTGGGTGTTCTTCGTTTCCCCTTTTGACCAACACAACACAAACGTCTTTGCTCTTTTCTCTTGTTGGATGTCCTAAAATGTCCCTTCAAGCGGCAAACTGCTATCTTGTTGCGCGGAAGTCTGGCTCGGTTTTGGGTCTGGTAGAAAGCTGGGCGAGACAGCCAGAGATGGGAGGATCTGTGTCCCTTTGCTTGGGAATAGGGATGGTCATCTATCATGGTGTTGCTGGGAAACATTTTGCATTTTTGCTTGTTGTAGTTTAGTGGAAATTCCCCACTTAACTGCTAACATTTAGATGTTTGCTCCCCTTCCAACGTCAACCAAGCAAGCTATTGATGAATAGGGAATTCAGGAACCATCTCAGGAAAACCACGAAGAAAGCCACACAAAGTTTTAGCAATGGCATGTGGCTTGGCACATCGTTTGTTTGAAGCTTTGAGCTTTTGCTCTCTACATAACCCTCAGTTTTCGCCGGGGTATCCCTCAGTTCCCCAGTTGTCCTCCACTTGTGCAGGTATCCTCCAGTTATGAACCACTCAAACCCATGAGAAGCTAGCAAACTCCCACTTAAAACCTTCTGTAACCTCCTGTCAACCCCCAGTGCACCCGCAGTTTAACCCCCCCCCAACCCCCCACTCCCAGTGAACCTCAGTTAAACCGTTGGCAAAGCTCCAGCTGAATCACCCAGTCAACCCTTGTATATCTCCGCATTTCACCCTCCACCGAACCACCCCTCAAACCCCTCCCAAAAACCTCGCTTGATATGCTTGGATAGAGCCAACAAAGGCCAAAATTGCGGCCGATAAGGCCTGAACAGTTGGGAGTTGGGGGGTCTTTGGGGGGAGTTTGGTAGGGTCCCAATCATGACGAAACTTGGTTTTGAAGTACCCTCCAAAGCACATAATATTTTTGACCTTGGTTCTGGGGTCTCCTGCACAGGTCTCATATATTTTAGGATCGACCAGATATGGCTGTCTTTTTTTGAGGTTGCCCCTTTTGGGGTGGTTTTCCACAGGGAAGCCAGAATGAAAACCGGCTTTTTCTGGGCCCCCCTGTTAGTTTGGGACAAACCCGCATGAAACAGAATCCGACCATCGTTTGGTTTTACAGGGAAGCCAAGGGAAAACACAATTTTTGGGGAGGTCTTTTAAACACGACACACTCAGATATGAACAGAATCTGATTTGGGCGACCGCGGCCGGAGGTTTCTTGACTCTTGCCAAGTCCTGGCCCCTGAGCTCTCGACACGAGGCATGGACACGTCACGTCACGGCCGGGACGAAAAGCAACAACAAGCAACGAGGTCAAATGAACTCGGGTTCAGACATCTGCGCCAAACAGACATGTATGAAAGATTGACCGACGGTTTCCGCTGCAAAGCGAATCGACCCTTTGATCGTTTGGTTTCCCAATGTTGGTCAATTTCAGTCCCCAAAGGCTAATCTGTTATAGCCAGCTCCTTTGGGCAAGTGGTACTGCCTTGTGGTGTCGCTTTCAGTTTTTCGCTGACCCTGAGTTTCTGCACTTTGAGCTTTAGATCGTAGTGACTCTCCACCGGTCCATTCAGGAAATGAGTGAGCTTTGGAATTGGCTTAGTTTTGATGATCCCTTAAGACCTGTGTTATCCAGATGTCGCCCAAACAATTTTGCAAACTTGGTGTCAGGGAACTACTCAAACTGCAAATACATGTACGAAGACAAGCAAATGGGTTTGTCTCAGAATCGGGGAACCTCCAACACGGGCCTCGGTTTCTGTTATCCATTTAAAACAATCCCCAAAACCGTAACCCCAGAGCAGACGTACCATATCAAGTGAAGAGACCCAATTGAAGCGACTGCAGCCGGCTGGCCACTGGATTAAAGGGACACTCATGCTAACATGGTCTTTCCACCTCATATTTTCTCATGGGTGATGTTCGCCCTACGTGGCCATGAAACCCAGGCGGGGACTCCTAGAAGACTTATCGATCCTCCCCTGCCGGGCTTGGGATCCTCTTAAAGCGGGTGTACACCGACGAATCAAGGCCAACTTGCCCTCGTTGTCTTTGCAGTGGCCATGAATGAAACAAAAACACCTCAAAAGTGGTGGACTTGAATCTCCAGCTAAATGTGTCCAACGGAGGGTCCCGTATTAAAGCCAAGGGACCCTTCGTTCTGTATAGAGTCCCAACCTGCCTCATGTGTTTCTTGCCTCCGGGGTCCTCCAACGCCTTGCCTGGGCTTTGTAACAGACCTCAGGGCCCTGGGTTTCTCTCGACCCCGGAAAGGGTAAACTTGAAGATGGCCTTTCAGAAAACTAGTACTCTGTTTGTGTTTCCTTTCATGCTTCTCAACCTTTGGAAGGTAGGGATGGACACCAACCTCTTCTTGGACGGTTCCTAAGGGCAACAGTGCTCGTGCGGGCTTGTTGCTGCTCCCCAGCCCACCCGGGAAACACGGGAACGGCATCCCCTCAATTCTTTGTGGTGAGGTAGCTTGGAATCGACCAGGCACACCACATCGAGACTGAGCCGCTGGTTCGCAAAGAGGCACGCAGAGGCGCGCTCCACCGCAAACGGGTGGGGGCAGAGCCGGAACGACTGGGGCCAGGCAGGGTTTGCTAACTTGATGCAGCCAGAGCCTGACATTTTCTGCATCCCTTCGGTGAACGAACAGGTGGTTGTTCAAAGGAGTGTTTGAACGTAAAGTGCGCAGCCCAACCCTGGAAACTTGGTGACCCCAAAGTATCTTTGTGCTTCTTCGGGTCCTCAAACGAGCCTTGATGGAGCTACTTGGTGGTTCCCAGCCATCCCCTTAGGTTTCTTCTTTTGGCTTAGTGGTAGTTTCCAACAAACCACTAAACATTTAACCTTTTGCAAAGGATCTGGGAACAGCCCAGTCTACCGAGGTCTCGGTTGTTCCTTTCGGTTCCTGGTGATGCTTGGGTTGGAAGTGGGTGTCAAGGGGCGGAACCCCTGAAACTCCAGGACTGGAGGAGCAAGGGCTTGCCTTAGGAAATGAGCGCGCGATGTGCCCTTGGCTTACTTTTCTGGGTGAAGTAAAAAACGACCTCACACGACCGAATTTACCCCAAATGGTGGTTTATGTGGGGAATACCCCTCCAACCACCTTATGTCAGGCTGGTGAAATATGATAATTCACCCAGACTTTTTGAAGACCAAATCGCAGGATGGCGCGCAGCGTTTTAAGCAGAGGACCCAAGCGCAAGGGCTGTCAAAAATGGATTCGGTCCTCATGTGTTCCTTGTCCAGGCACTGTCTACCCTTGGTGGCTCAACTGAGCATTGGATTCATTTCCACAATAATCTTGCTGCTGCTCGGCCGGGAATGACCCAGGATTTGGGACTCTACCGGAAGGGGATTTCCTTACGTGAAATCATAGGGGATAGTTTATAGGGTCATTCCAACTCATTCCCTGCCTATCGCACCAGAAAGTAATGGAGATTCCCATCGCCAGTGTGCACGCACGTCGCCTGGGGCGCCAGCGTTCTTTTTCTTTTACTGTTTGTATTTCTTAGACTGGGGTTAGGGGTTTGCTTTGGTTGCCAAGTGGTTGAGGGTGTTTCCCTCACTCCCCAATTGAAGGATTACCAATTTTGCCGGGTGCCTAGAGCCTAGAGGGGTGTTCCTTGCGGGAAGTGATGTTGAAGGTTGAACATCTAGTTGCAGGGCCCCACAACAACCCGCATCCACCCCCGCTCGCAATTGAAAGACCTCCACCCCAACCATGATGGTGAAAATTGGTCTTGAGCTCCTTGCGCCTCCCCTCAGTTTACGTGCATTTTGCAAACCACCCACCGAATCGCGGGATACATTTTCTTCAGGGGCCGGTGTGCCGGGTTGGCAGTTGCCAGGTAGATCCTTGCTCCATGCCGACGTTGAAGCGGACGGTGGCTCGGCTTGAGTCTGTCGTGGGAACCCGCTGGGAGTCTTACGGGTGGGTCAAGCTTCTCCCCGGAGCTATGCCTTGGAATGCGTGGGGAGGTTTTCCCTTCCCCCGTTTGCGGACAACTTACCAGCCTCAAGAGACGTGTTCACAACCAAACTCTGAACTGGTTCTACCTTTTTCCAATGGAAGTGGACATGGGTTCTGTTCAAAGGTCTTCCAACACATCGACTACTTGTGTTGGAGAGACTCCGGAGGGGGCCTAGGAACCGAGGAGCTTCCATAGGTGCCCTCAAAATGAAGACATTGGAGGATGTTCGTGGGACTACGTTGGTCCCGGACCCGTAGGATTCCATTTGAGCCACAATGAAAACCCGGGTAGATGAAGGTTAGTAAGGGCCAATCCCAAGCAGAAATAGCTGCGGGAATCCGCCTTCTTGATCATGGTTCTGGGATTACGACCATTTTAGTACCGGGTTTTGATTCTCACTCATTTGGGTATGGGTCAAAATTGAACCACCAGGAATCGGACCGCATGTTTTAGTCCTTCTTTCCATTTAACAGGGCAAGCCATGTGCGGGTTACCCTATTTTTGAGCCACAGGCAGCCACAGCCATTTGGTCTATTTGACATCCAACCCCTCAGCTTTTTGAATGAAAGCTGACCATTTGCCCACCCAGGGGCGTCAGGGCAGGTCGGCTCAGCCGCTCCAAACAATGCCCTTAGAGACATATCGGAAACCTGAAGCCCACCCCCAAATCACCTGCTTCAGTGCCAGGGAAACGGGGCATGTACCGTGATAGTGTTTTAGCTGTATATCCCGTCCAAGGGGTGGTTTGGGTGCGGCGTGGGTTTCGCATTGCTGCCAAAGAGAAGTGGATGGGCCTCAACCCACGAAGGTAGGAGCTCAGGTAGGGGTCTTGACCAACATAAATCAGATCAACGCCTACCTCCAGCAGTCTCTGTTTTAACATGTTGGGTGCTTTTAATATCTTGGGAAAACCTCAAACAACATCCAGCATAGGGCGCAAAGAGGGCGCCCTCGAAAAAGTGACGATTCGGTCCCCATCCATGTGCTTGAGACCCCAAGGGGAGTCCAGCAAAACCTCCCCGTGGCAAATGAAAAAGGTCCATTTCCCAGATCTGGAGATTGCGGTAATGGATCCCGGAGAATATTTTAGGGCAACTGGTGCGTTTTGTCCAGTGGTTCCCATTCACAGGGAGTCAAATGCCTAATTACCATACTCTACCATCATTTTGTTCCCTTGCCTGAAATGCGTAGGATTTGCCAAGCGTTTGGGAAAGGGTGAGTCACTGAAAACGCCTCTGGCAGGAAGAAATACGCAAAGGTTGTGCGTGATTAATCCATCATGTTCAGGTGAGTTCTGGCGACAAGGCTTCTTCACTGCTTATTCGCATGATGCCTATCATCCCCTAATCATATCCTTTGCAGTTCTCGTTATATTGACTTCTGCTTGTTTAACATTTCTGTTGGTCTTGAGGGAGGTGTGTGTGTGGATAATGTTGGGTTGTTTTTTTTGGCATTTGCAGCGCAAGTATCCCCCTCAGGGCATGGACATGAGGGTGGTATGAGTCGCTCCGTAGATGATGCTGTCCACCCGGCCCCCAGGCTTCTTAGCCCCCTCTTGGGGCCCAAAATTGATTCCCATGGCTTACTTGGAAATGTGGGGGGCGCGGGGGGGGGGGGGGGGGGGGGAATTCCCCTTTGGTTTCCCTTTGAAGTTTGGTCAGCGCTTCGAGCATTTTCATGTTCATGTTTTGCGGTGCATTCTCTAAGATTCCCACAAAACAGGAGGGGGCTCAAGAGTTCATCCGTGTCCATAGAGGATGTAGCAAAGTTTGATCGCGAACATATTTATTCTGCCTGTGATCTTCGCACAGCCATGATGTAGGTCCTTTAGATTTTAATTTTCGTGGATCTTGCATCTGAGGGACCTTCTGGATGAAGTGAGGTGGTGTCCCACTCTTGATGAGAACTTTCACCTTTGGAGGAACATGGGTTTGTCTCAAAATAGGGTTACTCCCAAATTCTCCCGTTCCCCTTGGGTTTCCCTTCTGACCAAGCCCCAAATGGGCACCTCCTAAAAACAAGCATACCCAACCAGCCCCCATCCGCCTCAGGAGCCTTCAGACTGGAAGCTTGGCAAGCGACAGACCGCGTGAAGTCCAGCCTCATCCCTTTTGGTCGGGCCCCCCCTTGAAACGAGAAAAAAAGCAAACCTCAAACGAGGGGTACTTAAGTATGTCCAAGCCTTTTGCCGCGAAGGGTCACTGCTTGCAATTTGGAGGCAAATGCGTTTGCGTTCTGCACATTCCATCAACGGAACCCCATTTTGTGATTTCGTCGTAGGCACCCGGGAAAAAAACAACTTGATTCGAGTCCGAACGCCACCCCAGTCCAACGGAACGAGTGCAGTTTGGGCTCCGCATGGACTCCTTCTTCGTTTGAACAAATCGATGGCGGCAAATTCCGGGTTTCGGACTGAAACCAGTGGATCTCTGTCTACTTGCAACCAAACGGACGACTAAAAAGGCATCGGAACTGACGGAATGGTTGAACCCAACTTAGCCAAGCGAGCTTCAGCTTGCACCAAAGCACGGTCACGTGGGGAGACGGTGTAAACTTGCAGGGAGAAGGTAGCATGTGACCAAAGACCGCAGCTTCATAAACAAGCGACAACTGAGTTTTGATGGGGTCCCTGTGGCACTATGGACAACTCGGTGGGTATTCAGTTCACCACCAGCCACCTTTTGGATTTGTTCGACTTGAAGTTGGACTTGAGTTCCTTTCCGGGCTTGGGCCATTTGGGAGTGAATCAAGATAGCGGACTGACCCCAAATGGATTTCGGTCTTTCGTTCCCTGTCAGACAACCCCAAACAGGCGACACTCAAGCATCCTACTACCACGGAAGTTTTCGGAAAGAGTCTTTCGAAAAGCCTCAGGACTTTGGCAAAGGCTAGTCCTGGGTCTTGGGGGGCGGACTCTGAGGATTCATGGGAAACCATCATGCAAATAGGGGTTTGATTTTCCATTTTCTAGGCCCCGTAAACACGTCCGGGGTCTTTGGGGCGCCATGTTGGAGAGGATAACAAACAAGTTCAGAGGGGTTCGACATGGGCCCGCTTTTTCCCGGGGCCCCGCTTACGGCGGCCCCGGGGTCTTTGGGGGGCGCTATGTGGGAGAGGACAACCCAACAAACCAGCTATGCTCCGGGCCCTAAAACCAGCAACACGCCCAAAGAAAAAGTGTATTTTTTGGAGGGTCCCCTTGTTCGCACGGTTTGAAAGGCAAAACCCAATTTGTGAACACCACTCACTTGGGGGATTCCCTTTAGAGACAAACCCTGGGGTAGACTTACAGTTTACCAGTGACTCAAAGTGAAGCAAACAATAAAATATACATTCTATGACTGGGCCATTGTCTCCCTTTTGCTGGGGTCTCTCCCTCGTCGGGTCGTGATGAGGAGCCAGCGGATTTGGTGGAGCTGGAGTCTGGACACCCAGGGTTCTCAAATGCCAGACCTCGTGGACCCAACAGAAAAGGTGAGGGGGGGCCTACAAAGAAATGTACTCTTGTGGTTGCAAGTGTCAAGAAAGCTTCCTTTGAAGTGATGTCTGTGTAGAGGAAATATTTCGGAACCATTTTAGTAAGTTGCCAAGATGTTCAGAGAGTTCTGTGGACAAAACCCGGCACTTGTTGACTTGGTGGTGTATTCCAGTGTTCGTTTTGTTTTATCCAGTATTGGTGCGTAATGAGTGCATCCTGTCCATGACATAAACACATTCCGCGGGTTTTCTCGGGTCGACCCCGCGGAATGGCTCTGGGGATAGCAATTTAAATGGGGTTGGACAGGTGAAATCTGGGGTCAACATGATTTGTGGGTCTGAACATGAAACAGAAACAAATCATCCCCTACCATGTTGTCCATGGAACCCAAAAAGAGCTGTCGTAAAGAGGATCATACCCTACCATGTTTTTTTCCAAACCCAAAAATGAAGGTTGTTGTTTTGGTTCCAAGGTAAGCTTGGTGCACTTTCACGCCGGGCCAAGAAGTTGAGCCACTCTATACAACCCCAGGCAACGGGGATAGCTGACCCCTCTAGTTGTTTTTTGTTTTAGATTTTTATTTTTTTTTAACCAATCTTTTTGGGTAGACCACGCTAGTGCTAAGGTTTTGATCACTTCTCAAAAACAAAAAGACAAGCCTGTAACGATTGGGGTCTTTGGCAGGGCGGTATTTATTCTCGAGCCACTGCACCCGAACATGGCTTGGTGTACAGGCCCCTGAGAAAACATGTTTTTCTAATCAGTCCTTGCGCCCAGCGTCACGTTTCAGGGGCACCGAAAACAAGTCCGGTTCGCAAAATGACCTTGTTTCCCCTTTCCCGGACCGGCCAGTTCTTCAACGGTCTCGGTTTCCTGCAAATCTGACTGCAAAGGGGCGCTTCCATTTCTCGGCCCCGATTTCCCACGGATTCTCCAATGCGGCTCAGGGAGGTGGGCTTTAATTAATTCAAATCAATGGGCGGTCATCCCGACTGGAGCCATACGGATTTCAGTAAACTGGAAACAATCAGCAGCAGGCAAGCCAACCGAAGAGCCAGCCATAAGTGTTCAGGAATCAGCCAAACCTCCCACCAGAAATCGGGAATGTATCCAACAAGCCAAGCGGAACAATATGACAACGCAACAACTACTACACAGAACAGATCGGTCGGGCTGTTGTTGTCGTTTGGGGGTGTACGAGTCCGAGTCTAATCAACGGACCCTTAGCACCCCTTTTCAGGTCTCTGTAATTTTTTAGGGCTGCAAACAGTGCTGTGCAACGCGTTTTATTAAGGGCTCGGCCGAATATTTCTGAGACTACCAAAAGAGCCAACAAAGGCAAACAAGAAACAGCCGCCAAATGAACATCAACCACAAAAAAGGCAAAAGAGGTATAAACAGCCACCAAATGAACATCAAGCACAAAAAAACAGCAACAGGGGTTGCTCGGGTTCCGCCGCTTTTCTCGCATTTCTTTTTCCGAGGCGAGATGCCCGGGAGGCGCCGGCATTGGGGCCCGAGGGCCCTCGGGGCGAGCCCGGGGCGCGTGGAGAGGAAGGCCCTGCGGGCGACAAAGGCGGGGGATCCCCGGATGCGAGGGCTGAGGGCAAGGTTCTAGGGCATGATTCGGAGCCTGACTCGCCGTGGCCAGCAGGGAGACACCCTTTTTGGTTAGGGGTTGTCGTTTTTTTTGGGGGGACAAACCAGATTCTAGGCTCTGATTCCTTGTCCATTCTTTTCAGCCATCGTTCTTTTCAAAAACCAGATCCATTCCCCAGGGTTCTTGGTGGTTTTCTAGAAAGATCCGGATCACTGGAAAGAATGGAAATGGAAGTTACCCCTAGAATAGTGCGCCCTTCCGGGTGCTCAGTTGCTCAGCCCAAATCGACCGATTTCTGACCTTGTGGTCTCCCATTTTTGGTTACCCCAAGAGGTGATTCTTGTAATATGCCAAGTGAGGCTGAGTTCTCCGAATTACTGGGACTGGTGCTAGGGCCAGATTCTCAGATCCGACACATGCGCTGGGCTTGAGTCACTTGGTTGGGTTCAGACCATTTCAGTGGCACAAAGTTCCCACTTGTTTGGCGGGGGGGGGGGGGGAGGGGCGCACGGAAGTGAGTTGCGAGGCCAGGGTTGTTCTCTTCAGCCATTAGTTTCCCTCAGTTGTGAGTGCTCACACCACGGCAGGTAAGTATGTAACAATGATCTAGCCCCTATCCCACTCATAGCCACGGTTATATCCTTGTTAAGTTCGAACATCCAAGTGGAAGCCCAGCAACGAGCGATTGCGTGATGGGAGTTTTGTCCGTCAGAATGCCCATCCCACGCCTGTGACAAAGCGGCCTTGAGATGTTCCGCCAACCCTTGAGGCCATTGAGGGCTTAGAAAGTCCACTGGTCTGTGTGTGTGATTGTGTTTGTCTTTCTGGTACCCTTTTGGGGGGCTTTGAGGGAGAGGGAAAAGCACAAGATCTTCAGGGCGTTTTTTGGCAAAGGCTTGGGTTTTCATAGACGTCCCCCAAATCCTGCAAGGATGGACCAGCCCCGGGTTTATGAACCTTCCAACTGGAGGCCAACATGTTGGTTGCGGTTTCCTTTTGGTTTCCCCGTACCATCCGGAAGGGTGCCCTCAAATGACGAGTCACCCAGACTTCTCGCCGCGAGGCCCGCAAGGGCCTCAAGGAGACAAAGGCCGGGCCGAGACCTTTAGCTGCGGAAAAGGCAACTAGGGACAGGAAGAGGACCCTGGCAAAAACGACACCAAAGTTGTTATCCCCATGAAGAAAAAGTCACCTGTGGCTTGTATCTTCCCCAGAATTCGCTTCCCCTTTTGATTTGATTTTTTGGGGTCCCCTTTGTTGTCCACTAACCAGGCAAACATTATCAAACTACATTTCTGAGCCTTGCAATATGTAGTGTAGGTTTGGGGGAGGACATGGGGGGGAACCCACAGTGCCCAGAATACAAGCTGGAACAACATGTTTTGCCCGAGTCCTTGGGACAAAAGTGATTTTGGTCCGACTTAAAGAGGCATCGTCCACTGTTGGAGGTGAGGTACGGTCAAAATCAGGCGCGCTCTATCGGGGGAAGCAACTATATGTTTGCCTCTTGTTGAACTCACAAGGACGAAGGTGCTATTATGATGTGTGTGTGTGTGTGCGCGCGGATATTCGGGTGTGTTTTGAACTTGGGGACCTCCAAACCTGTTTGGCTTCCTCTTGGTCTCCTGTTGAAACCAAGATTGGGCACCCCCCCTTCCCGCCCCCCAAAAATCGAGAACCCTTAATACTTTGACCCCCGCTCACCCCAGGAGTTCTGCTTCCGCGACAAACTTCTTCCGCTGGTTCCGCTCGTGACTCGAGTCCAGGTGCTCAAGGAGAGAAGGGCGAGAAAGGCCCGGGACTTCACGGCGCCTCGAGTTGGTTCTTTGAAGACTCCAAAGGGCGGACGAAACACAAGCCACGAACCACAAACGATTGTCCTTGAGAAGGAAGCAAGCCAGCAACAAACCACAAAGAAATGAACCTTTAGAAAGAAATCAAGAAATCAACCTAAAAAAGGAACCTTTACAACCTTTCAAAAAAACAACAGATCAAACCCCCGGAGGCATGTGGACAATTCGCGTCCCAAAAGTTGTGGCTGTTCTTCTTGGTTTCCCGTAAACACACCCAGGCAAAGGTACCCTCAAAAGCGCACGCACACACACACACACAGCCCACAAGACACAACACACACACACCACAACACACGTCACACACAGCACACACACACACCACAGATTTACGCAGACACACACACACACACTCACACACACACTCACACACACACTCACACACACTCACACACACTCACACACACACACCCACACACACCCACACACCCACACACACACCAACACACACCAACACACACCACACACACACACCACACGCACCACACACACCACACACACACACAACCCACACACACCACACACACCACACACACCACACACACCACACACACACACACCACACGCACCACACACACCACACACACACACAACCCACACACACACCACACACCACACACACCACACACACACAACCCACACACACAACACACGCACACAACACACACACAACACACACACACACTGACACACTGACACACTGACACACTGACACACTGACACACTGACACACTGACACACTGACACACTGACACACTGACTGACACACTGACACACTGACACACACACACACACCACACACACACACACCACACACAGACACACAGACACACCACCACCACACACACACACCACACACACACACGCACCACACACGCCCACCACACATACACACACCACACATTGACGCACACAGACACACACGCACACACACACACACACACACGCACACACACACACACACACACACACACACACACACACACACACACACACACACACACACACACACACACACACACACACACACACGCACCACACGTACACACACCACACATTTACGCACACAGACACACGCACACACACACACACGCACACACACACACACCCACCCACCCACCCACGCACGCACGCACGCACGCACGCATGCACGCACGCACCCACACACACACACACGCACACCACACATACACACACCACACATTTACGCACACAGACACACACGCACACACACACACACACACGCACGCACGCACACACACGCACACACACACCCACACACACACACACACGCACGCACGCACGCACCCACACACACACACACACACACGCACACGCACACGCACACGCACACGCACACACGCACACATGGAGACACGCGCACACGCACACACGCACGCACGCACGCGCGCACGCACACACGCACACACACACACACCCTTGACATTGGTTTGATCGCGAAAAAGGTGGTCGAAGGTCATTTGGCCATAAAGCCTTGAAAATCCCCTATGACCGTGTCCGTCCCAAATGACCGTGAAAATCCCACACTCTTGTTTGCCGCAGATATTTGCTGTGCCTCTGTCGGTCGCTTCGAGTCAGAGAAAAAGCTAGAGCGTGCTTGTGTGAGTGGGCGTGTTATGTTTTGTGTATGTACGGGCGCGCGTGTTTGTGTCTGTGTGTTTTGTGTTGGCACGTCTACACCAACGCATACTCAGAAAACGAGAACCCTGGGATTCAAAGGGCCTTAAAGAGCAAGGCCTTTATAGAAAGGGCCTTTGTGTATATGGCCTGTGGAATGGGGTTTGGTGGCGGTTCACGAGGTTTCAACATAGCATCGGTGTTGGTGTTTGTCATGGGGACTTTGTATCTTGAAGTTTGTCGCCGTCCAAAGGGCTTCTAGCCGGAGAGAGAGAGAGAGAGAGAGAGAGAGCGAGAGTGAGACAGGCATCAGTTTAACTTAGTTTCATATTGAAGGCTTGGCTAGCTCTGAGCGTGTTTAAACAACTTACTCTTCTTGACTGCGAGCAAAGAAACTAGCTTGCCATTCCATTTACAAGGAATTGCAGCCTTTTCAGAAGTAAGAACGCTAATGCAACGCAATTGGACATATGTATGATGCGGGGTTTGCTTGAATTCGCTTCCATCCGTGCTGCGAGCGCCAGGCAGAGGCTAGTGGTTAGGTTATCGTAGGCGTAGTTTCACGAAGGCAGTGCCTGAAGAGGAGGCGCTGCTTATGTTTAACATGAGCTGCACATTGGTGCTATATCGGGCTGTGAAACCTGCCAGCCTACCCTTACTCCACTTTTGATTTGTTCTTCTGCCCCACAATGCAGTTTTTGATTAATTTATACAACGCCCGTCGACGCGATTCGAGCGACTGCAACAACCAAACCCACCCGCGCAGGGGCCTGCCTGCCTCCTGTGGTCAGTTGCACTGGTGCTTGCAACTTTCACTGCTTTGGGAAGGGTCAGTGGTTCCTCCACTGCTTGCCTTGTGGGCGTTGCTTGTGCGCAATGCGTTTGCTTTTTCCGCGTTTGCAATTGCATCGCCATTTGCAAAGGTGTCCGTTGTTCAGCTGTGTGCCAGCCTGCGGGATCAAAATGGACAAATAATAACGGTAATAAGCATTTTCCTTCCAGTGAACAGACGTGAATGCACATGAACCATGTTTGGCAAACAACGCAAGGTCCAGCTCCTAGTTTCAACCACAACCTAACCAGCAGGGAGCCAAGCCACAAGTTCACGCCTAAAAACGGCCGTTCACGCCCTAAACAGGCCTTTCACGGTAGTTTCACGCTTGTTTCACGGTGCTTCATGCTTCCCAGCCCCGAAGGTTGCTGTGGACTAAAGATGTCGCTGCGTCCGGGGCGTTGTGTCACATGAGTGGTTGTCTAGACTTGCCCTGCTGGCATGCTTCAACTCACAAGAAGCATGTGCATTAAAATGTGTGAGCCCACAAAAATATGGGACGTAAGCAATTCGCAACAAGAATCGGGCTTGATAAGTGTGCCGCTTTGTGTACAGGCAGTGGCCGCAAGTTGAAGGGTCACTAACTGACACACTGACTGCGTGGGCCTTAACATGATTCATGATGAATACATGCCACATTCAGCTGTTCTCCTGGCCACAGTCATTTAGGTTGCGAGTCTGCCAGTTTGCTGATTTCAGGTCGTCTTGGGAAGTCAAATGCTGCAAGGAACCTCACAGTCCAATCCACGGACTAAGCTACTGCAGTTGTCACGGCACGTGCGTTGCTTTGTGTGAACTGCCTGACGTCATTGCGCCAGTGTGTTTGAAGTGGTGGGCAAGTACGTTTGACACACGTCACCGGCAGTACCAACAAAGTACTATAGTACTAGACTGGTTTTAACTGAATTTGAACACGAGGTTTGCCATGACCGACCTTTCTAGACGCAAAGGGCTGGAATATGTAGTTGTTTAACGTTTGTTTTCTAGGTTGTTTGCTGAGCCGTTCCTATATATATATATATATGTATTTGCCCAACGTGCTGGCCTGAGGTTGCAAAACCAATATCCTGCCTGTTTATGCTAACCTTCTTTCACATAGTTAATGCTTTTCCGGAAATTCCGACATCGTGCTAATTGTGACTGTCACCCTGGTCTAAGTACAGAAGCTAACATGTGAAGCTTCGCAAATCTTGCAATGGCAAGAACACAACGTTTTGGGTGAAACAAGGCTCACTCAAACATCAAGAGGGCGAGAGACAGAACGATGGGAAAAAGTGTTTCCCAAGAGCGGCTGCTAGAAGTTCCATGCCAAAATAATACTTACAAAACTGAAAATTTGCCAAAGGCCTTCACAGGCCTAGAGAGGCCGGGCTGGAAAGGCCTTTGTTTTAAGGGCCTCCGACTCCCAGCGAAAAATGTTTTTGAAGTGTTTCTTTTCACGGATTTTCACGGCCTAGTCACGGATTTTCACGGCCTTTTCACGATTTTTCACGCGAAGCGCGTGCCAGCGAGCGTTAATGACACGGCAGCAGCTCATCGCCCCATCGAATTGCCATTGGCTTGCAAAGGAAGGCTCAGTCAGCGTGTGTTAGAGGCTGCTCTTCCTGGCAGTTGGGAAAGTAAGGCCACCTGTGTAAAGATACGTGTTTGCAGCTGCCCTCAAAACATGAAATTCGTATATTCTACTAAACTATTAACGTCTTAAGATCTTAAAATGCGGAAATCTTAAGAACTTAAACTCTGAAGACCTTACACTCTTAAGATACAAAAGTCGGAAAATCTTAGAATCGTATTAAAATGTTCAACTATTAAAACCTGAAAATACTCATATTAAAAGATCTTAAGTGCATAAACCCAAAACATATTAAGATATTTCACTCTTGGAACCTTAAAGCATTAAAATCTGTAAATCTTAAGATATTCAAATCTTAGATTATGAAGATCTCAAAATTTCAGAATCTTGAAAAATTAAAACCTTAGTATCATAAAACCCTAAAATCTTACATTCCTAACATCTTAGAACATTTATACCTTAATATCTGAAAATCCTAAAATCTTACATTCCTAACATCTTAAAACTTTCAAAACTTAGCGTCTTAAGATCTTAAAATAAGAGCATCTTAAAACCTGAAAACATTAAAGTCCTAAGATCTTAACATTTTACATCCTAGAATCTTAAACTCTTAAACTAGTAACATCTTAAGATCTTAAAACTTGAAAACATGTAATTCTTAAAATCTTAAATTCCTAACATATTTACATTTTAAAATCTGAAAACCTCAAAGCCTTAAAATCTGAGAATCTTAAGATCCTAAGATCTTAAAATAGTAGATTCTTAAAATCTGAAAATCGCGGACTCTTAAAATATTGACATCTTACAAGCTTAAGATCTGAAAATCCTTTAATAATCAATCATAAACCATGTAAATCTTAAAATATTTAAGTCCTAAATTCTTAGAATCTGGAAATTTAA